AAGGCCATGGTGGTCGTAGTCACCATCCCGCCCCCACAGCCACTCCCCAACTCACCTTCAGCATCAGGGCCTCTCTCTCCCGCTCCTCCTCCTGGGCGCCCCCCCAGCCCCCCTCCCACTCCCTCTCGGCCCCCCGCGCCCCGTGGCCGAAACCCAGGAGCTGGGGGACCACGAGGGCCCCGAGGAGCCAGGCTGCCTGCATGGGGGTGGGCTCGCAGCACCCAAGGCCGCGGGCAGATGTCTCTGAGGAAGGGTGAGGGGTCTCTGGGGCTGGAGTGCTTGCAGATCCCTGGCCCCCGGTCCCCGCCTCTCCCAGCTCCGCCCTGGTCCCTCTCCTCTCAACTCCCTTCTCCGTTCCCAGTCTCAGTTCCTCGATGTGGGTCTCTCCCCGCCTCCCCTGGCTCCCTCCCCCGAGGCCCTGCCTCTGTGGCCGGAAACCTCCAGCGTTCCAAGGCCTGGATCCCGCCCCCGGGTCTCCCCTCACGCCTGCCGCCGCCCTCTTCCCACTTTTCCAGAGCTCACTACCCCGCCCCGTTCTTTCCTTCTGCCCCGGCCAAAAACCGCTCTGACGGGCAGGCAGAGCTCGGGGCTGGCTCTCCGAGGGATCCCGCAGACACGGCCTCCACCCAGGAGCTCCCTCAGGGGGTTGTTGGCCCGGGACCCTGTCCCCCTCTGTCGCTGGCCACTCCTCACAGGGGCGGGGAGCGGGGGAAGAGACTGCAGGATCCCTCCAGGGTTGTCATTACTCCGCTGGGAGAGGCTTTCCCACCCTCCGCAGGCTCTAGGGCGCCTTCTGCCCCAGGTCTCCCATCCCACCCTCCACGCTCTTGTTCCCTCCCCCCCCCCCCAAGACACAAGGGAGTGTGTGGGACACATACATACAAAAAGCATGCGTGTGGTTGCGTGTGCAGCCCCAGGAGGCCGGCCTCTGGGATGCATTTTGCCATATATTTCCCTGGAGGCCTGCAGACCAGGCCCTTCAGGACTGGGGACTCCAGACAGACGGTCCCACTGGGTGAGGGGAGGGAGGAGGAGGGGCCAGGGAGGAGGAGGGGCCAGGGCGGAGGGCAGGGAGGAGGAGGGGTGAGTGGGGGTCCAGGATGATGCGTTCTCCGGGAGGCGGGGCAGACAGGTGCTGGGCCGGGTGCACACAGAGCTCTGAGCCGTCAGCGAGGCTCATCTCCCGCCGGGACCACTGCAGTCGCCTCCTCCCGCTCGCCCCCTCCTTCCTCCCCAGCCCCTCCATCCAATCCACGCCGCTTGCCGCAGCCGGAGCAGTGCTTCCAAGCTGTAAATCAGACCGTGTCACTCCCCACTCCCCTGCTCCCCCAGCTTCCCATCACAGCGGAGGAGGAGCCAAAGCCCGCCCCTGGCGAAGGTCTGGCCTGCCCTGCGGGGAGCAGGGGGCTGGGAAGGGCGGGTCCTTTGCCGCTCTGCAAGCTCGTCACCCCCACGCCCCTGCCCCCTAGGATCCAGCCACGCGGGAGTGTGGGTACCCTCCTGGCTACTTCCTGAATGCTGAGCTCCTTCCCACCTCACAGCGTTAGCACCCGGCTTGCCATCCTTCTAGAACAAGGCTCTGAGGCCCAGCCCCTGCTCATTCCCGAAACCTCAGCCCCAGCCTTCCTTTTTTTTTTTTTTTTTTAAATATATTTTATTGATTTTTTTTTTTTTTTTTACAGAGAGGAAGAGAGAGGGATAGAGAGTTAGAAACATTGATGAGAGAGAATCATCGATCAGGATCAGCTGCCTCTTGCACATCCCCTACTGGGGATGTGCCCGCAACCAAGGTACATGCCCTTGTCCGGAATCGAACCCGGGACCCTTGAATCCACTGAGCCAAACCGGTTTCAGCAAGACCTCCCTTTTTATCTAAAGAAGCCTGGCTTCTGCAAATTACTTTATTAAAACAGTCCCTTTTGCCCCAGCCGGTTTGGCTCAGTGGATAGAGCGTCGGCCTGCTGACTGAAGGGTTCGATTCTGGTCAAGGGCACATGCCCGTGTTGCAGGCTCATTCCCCAATGGGAGGTGTGCAGGAGGCAGCCGGCCAATGATTCTCTTTCATCACTGATGTTTCTATCTCTCCCTCCCTTCTTCTCTGAAATCAATAAAAATGTATTAAAAAACAAGACCACCCCTTTTGCCCTTGCTGGTTTGGCTGGGTAGATGGAGCATGGGCCTGGGGACTGAAGGGTCCCGGGTTCGATTCTGGTCAAGGGCACATGCCCGTGTTGCAGGCTCCATCCTCAATGGGAGGTGTGCAGGAGGCAGCCGATCAATGATTCTCTCTCATCACTGATGTTTCTCTCTCTCTCTCCCTCCCCCTTCCTTCCTCTCTGAAATCAATGAAATCAATAAAAGCATATTTTTTTAAAAAAAACTTTTATCTTTTCAGTATACTCAGGATGGCATTGTCTTGCTTGCTTGTTTGTTTGTTTGCCGTCTGTCTCCTGCCAGTGAAGGCAGGGGTTCTGGTTTATGGCTGGATCCCCAGAGCTAGCACAGGGCCAACCCAGCACCTAGTAGGTGCGCCACCAGTTGCTGAGTGAGAAAGGAAGTAACCCTTCATGGCACGGTGGTCACTTGGCCAGGCAATGGGAAGCTTGACCATCGTGTTCCTGAGGCAGAGGCAGAGGGGCACCAGGAGGGGCCGGGGCATCCAGGGTGGATGAGGCGGCGAGGGCAGAGGGAGAGAGGATGCGCAGGCAGGAGAAGCGAGAGGCCACGCCATGCCCACTCAATGCCAGGCTCGTGACTCATGCAGGGCTTCCCCAGAGCTGGCCCGGCCGGTGGTGCCAGCGAGCATGGAGCTCACCAGCCAGGGACGCCAGGGCCCAGGCTTCAAGGAAGGAAACCGAGGCTCAGAGAGGGGACAACAGCCTGCTGGAGATCACCAGCATGGAGGCAGCTGGACAAGGCTTCCGGCTCCTAAGCAAGAGCATGGCACCCGCCCCCGGCTGCTGGGAGCCCCAGGAGGGGCCCTGGACATAATGTGCCCAGGCTTTCTCTTCCAAGAAAGCAGAAGGCATACCGAAACCGGTTTGGCTCAGTGGATAGAGCGTCGGCCTGTGGACTGAAGGGTCCCAGGTTCGATTCCGGGCAAGGGCATGTACCTTGGTTGCGGGCACATCCCCAGTAGGGGGTGTGCAGGAGGCAGCTGATCGATGTTTCTAACTCTCTATCCCTCTCTCTTCCTCTCTGTAAAAAAAAAAATATATATCAATAAAATATATTTAAAAAGAAAAGAAAGAAAGCAGAGGGCAGTGTGACCTTGGGCAGGCTGCTGCCACCTCAGAGGGTGCCGGGGACCCCTCCGCAGCAGCCACAGGCCTCCAGCCCTGAGGCTCAGACCGGGAGAGGCCTTGTGTCCCGCAGCCGGGTGCACAGCCTCTCTCGCCGATGTCACCACGCAGGCAGCTGTCCTCTCTCTCCCGGGCCCAGCTGCTCAGCACCTGGGCTGCTGGGTGGGTGTGAACCAGAGGGGGGCTGCCCGGAGCTGGGCTGGCACCTGCTCGGGCTCCCGCAGAGGCACCCGCAGCTGGAGGCGCCTCCGGAGGCACCCGGGGTGCTGTCGGAGGGAGCCGGGAGGAGGGTCCGAGGCTGGGCTAGGGGGGGCCATTCTCCGGGGCACCAGGCAGCTGACGGGGAGAGGGACTATGCAGCCATGGTGCTCCCCATGGTGGGTGCACCATCGCGGGGTGAAGACCGGGAGCCTCTGAGCCCCCCTACCGGTCCCTGACCCCTGGCTCCTCCTGGGTGACCTTGGGTAAGTAAGTAAGCGGCTTGGCCTCTCTGAACCTCCATTTTCCCCTCTGGAAAACGGGGTGGCGGGGTCCCCCCAGGCCCATGAGTGGGTGGGAGAATGGGAGAAGTCTGTGAGTAAATCCAGGCGGGAGCCCCTCACACAGGAAGTGCTCAAGATCCGTCAGCATTCGTCACGCAGGGCAGCTGTGGGGGAGGGGGACGCCCTCCCCCTCCGTTGCCCGAATCTGAATGGGCGTGTGCATACCTGGGTGGTGCAGGGTGCGGGAGGTGTCTGGGTGGCTGTGATGGGGGCGCATGCATGCACACATCTCCCCTACAAGTGTGTGTCTGCTTTGGGGGTGCGTGTGATCTGGAGGCCTGAGCGTGCCCGCGGGGTGCCTGTGGGGTGTGGGGGTGCATGGGTGCACAGGTGTGCGATGTGCATGTGCCACGTGCGGAGGGCGTTTGCGGCATCGCACACGCAGGCCAGGCCGCTGCGGAGGCTGCGCATGTGCGGTGTCTGCACCTGCGGGCCAGCCTGCGCCCCTGCACCTGTGTCTGGGGAGAAGGGGTGTGTGCGCCTTGGGGGGGGCAGCGCGGGAGTCGGCAGTTCTCAGGATCCAGTTAGAGGGTGTCAGTTCAGCAACCGAGATTGATTGTGCCCTACTGTGTGCGGAGAGGGTGGGCGGGGCTCCGAGAAGGGGTGGTCCCGGGGTGTGGGTACGAAGGGGGGAACCGTTAGGGGGGCGGGGCCCTCTGGTGTGGGGGGTCTGGGGGGCCAGCAGGGGTGGAGTCCGGGTCCGGGATCCGGTGGCGAAGAGGAATGGGGGGGGAGGGGGGAGGGGAGGGGGTTGGGGCGGAGCCGGCGTGGGGGGGGGGATGGGCGAGGTTTGGGGGCGCGGGGAGGGGCGATGTCTCCGCCACTGGTTCCCGGAGGGAGGGGAGAGGGCGGAGGGAGGGAAAGGGGGAGGGAGGCCGAGAGAGAGAGAGACCGGGTGAGGGAGAGACGGCGAGAGCGAGAGAGCGAGGAGCAGGGAGCCCGCGGAGGCAGGAGCGGGCGCGGCGGCCCGGAAGGAGGAGGAGGAGGAGGAGGAAGAGCCGGCGGAGCCGCGGCGCCCGGAGCGGCCGGGCCGGACCTGACCGAGCCGGGGCGGGCGAGCCGGGAGGGGCGCGGCGGCCGCGGCTGCGAGGGCTCGCCCTGCGGCTGGCCGCCGGGTCCCGGGCGGGGCTGAGGTCCGCGGCCCCCGCCCTCCCCCGGCCCCACCGCCCCCTTCCCGGCCCGCTCGCCCCGCGGGGCGGTGGGGCATGGCCTGAGGGTCCCCCGGCTCCGGGGGAGGGGGGTGGGGGGAGGGGGGAGGGGCTGCGGGCGCCGCCGACCGGGACTCAGCAGCCCCGCCAGGCAGGTAAGGGGGCCGGGGAGCCCGGGGTTCGGGGGGTTCGGGGCTGGGGAGGCGGGAGGGGGCGGGGGCGCCCGGACGTCCTTGGCCGCGCGCGGCGGGCTCCGGGCCCCGGCGAGCGGAGGGGGTGGGGGTTGGGGGTGCGGGGAGGGGAGGGGACCGTTGCCCCGGGAGACGCCAAATTGGGTGACGCCCGGGTGCCGGGTGCCCCGTCCCAGATGGCCGGCTGGATGGGAGGATGCGCCCCCATCCCCCGCCGGCAGGACCCCGGCCCCGAGCCCCCTCCCGCCCCCGGCCCGGCCCGGCCACTCCCCGCCCCCCGCGCCCCGGGCCCCTCCCCCGATCACCAGACGCCCACCCCCTCGGCGAGGGTCTGGCTTCGGCCTCCTCCGCCCCCTTCGACCCCCTTCTAGTTTCTGCTTCTCCTTCCGGCGCCTCCAAACCCCTCCCCACCCCCAGCGCCGGCTCCCCCTCCGCACCCACCGGCCCGCGCGCCCCCTCGGCCCCCGCCCCCGGGGCCCCGCTCCCCCGGGCTCTCTTCCCCGCGGGCTCCCTAGACCCGGCCCCGCACCCCGCCTGCCTCCCCCGCCTCCTCCCCGCCCCCCGAAAGCCCCGCCTGCTGCCCCGCCGCCCCCGGCCCGGCCCCGGCCCCCGGGCGCCCCCTCTCTCCATCCCCCCGCGCCTGCCGGCTCCCAGCCGTCCCGGTGCCAGCTGCGTGCCCGCTATTCTTAGCCGCCGCCGCGCGTTTGATTCATGCCGCCCCGGCGCGGGGTGCCCGCGGGGGAGGGGCCGGCTGGGCCGGGGTTCGGGGGGCGGCGCCCGCCCAGCTCTGCCTGCGGCCCAGGGGCACCCCCTCCCGCGCCGGGGGGGTTTGGGGGTGCGCTGGAGGTCAGCCAGGGGCAGCCGAGGGGGAGTGGCCGCGGGCCCCCCTGTTGGGAGGCGCAGGGGTGGGGCCGCGCGGTGAGAGGTGACGCGGGGGTTCCTCGGGGTTCCGCGGGGTTCCGCCAGGGCTAGGAGGGGCCGCGCCGCCCGGTACCTGGCGGGCTGGGGGGTGGGGCGGGGGGAAGGGGGGCCCACGGGCCGGAGCCCGCGTGGGGGTGCGGTTGGCCGGCGGTGCTGCCGGCTCGCCCACAGCTCTTGGAAGTCTCCCCGCGCACACAACATTTTGCCTTCCTCCCCCCCCCCCCCCGCCAGCCCATCCCCACTCCCCCAAAGTCAGCAGTCCCCTCCACTGCTTCCCATCTCCATGGCAACGGTGCGGAGCCGGGCCGGTGTGGGGGGGTGGGGGGAGGGACCAGGCCAGGCATTCTGGTTTCCGGCGGTGGTGGTGCCCGGGTATGAGTGGGGGCGACGGGGAGCCAAGCGGACCCTACTGGGGACCCGCTTCCCTGAGGCTGCCTCACTGGGGAAGAGGAGGGATGGGGAGGTGACCCCACCCCGGTCCCCGGACCCGCCTCACCCCCACTCATCCCTCCCCCCACTCATCCTCCCCTCAGAGTGGGGCCACCAGTGCCAGGTGGTGCTGGCCCACCCTCACCCTGCATCACCAGTTCTCAAACATGCCCACAGTCACCGCCAAACCCCCACCGACACAGGCCACCACGCCGCTGCCCCCTGGACAGCCCTCCCAGGGCCGCCTCCCCAGCCCCCCCCACACCCTCTCACATGCCCCCCACAACCTGCACAGGCCCCTCCTGCGGCTCCCTCAGGGACACCCCATGCATGGTGCTCTGCCCCATGGCACTCCATCCGGTGCCCCCCGGGACACTGGTTCCCCCGCACACGTTTCCAGCCACCCTTCAGCGGAGTCACCAGCTCCACCCACTCCAGGCCCACGTGGCTCGGCTCCCGCTGCCCGGGCTCAGGACACCTCCCTGCCTTCCTTACTACCTCTCAGCCCCATTCTCCCCCCCACACACACACACATGCCTATTCCCCCCCTCCCAGCCGGGGAGAGGGCGGGAGGCCGGGTGAGGGCCAGGCTGGGGCAGGAGGGCAGGGTGCCGGTGGGCCGGCCGTCCACCTGTCTGTCCCCGGCTAATTTTAGCCGCCCTCGCCGTGGCCCGGCAAAGTGGGCCAGCAGCTCCCGCGGTGATTCTGCGGTTTCTGGGACACCAGCACGCTGACCCAGCGGCAAAGTGGGGCGCAGGAGGGGCGGGGGCTGCGCGCAGGGCCAAGGGCAGGGAAGGAGACGCGTGCTGGCAGCGTGGCAGGCGTGGGGGGGTGTGCGCAGGCGGGGTGAGGGCGGGAGCGTCTGGGGGCGTGTCCGGCCTCGGGCCTGGGCCTCCGGCAGTGTGGGGCCACTGGCCTGGACTCCTGGGCCTCTGAAGGGTCGGGGCTCCGAGGCTGAACGCCACCCTTGCCTCCCCACCCCACCCCCGCCACCCCCACAGCGACCTGTGATGCTGCCGTCCCCCATCGCCCCGTGGCCCCACGATGACCCACAGCCCCGCCTCGAGCGAGGACGAGGAACGCCGCAGCGCCAGCGAGTGCCCCGAGGGCGGCTCGGAGTCCGACAGCTCCCCCGACGGGCCCGGGACAGGCCCCCAGGGGACCCGGGGCCGGGGCAGCGGCGGGGCGCCTGGCAGCCTGGCCTCGGCCGGAGGCCTCCAGGGCCGCTCCATGTCCTCCCTGGACGACGCCCACTTCAGCATGATGGTCTTCAGGATCGGCATCCCCGACCTGCACCAGACAGTGAGTGGCCGGTCCCCCCGAGGCCCCCCGCCTGGCCCAGCGTCCCCCGCACCCGCTCCCAGACCCGCTCAGGCCCTCCCCGCGGCCCGGCCGCCTCTTCCCGCCAGAAATGCCTGCGCTTCAACCCTGACGCCACCATCTGGACGGCCAAGCAGCAGGTGCTGTGCGCCCTGAGCGAGAGCCTGCAGGACGTGCTCAACTACGGCCTCTTCCAGCCTGCCGCCTCCGGCCGGGACGCCAACTTCCTGGAGGAGGAGCGGCTGCTGCGGGAGTACCCCCAGTCCTTCGAGAAGGGGGTGCCCTACCTGGAGGTGAGCCGGCCTGCCACACACACAGCGGCCCCTCCAGTCCCCCCCGCCCCCACGGGGGCCGAGCAGGAGCCCCGGAGAGCCGCCTGGGCGTCAGCAGGGCCCAGGCCCAGGGACGGCCCTGGGAACGCCCCGCCCGTCCCCGCTCCCGGCTTCCCCTCCCCGTCACGCTGGGGACGGAGTCCTAGTTTTGGCAGGCGTTTCAGGACGTTCCCTTATAGTCTGCACCCACTCAGCGGGCCTGTGCCCACACAGTGGGCCTGCACCCCCACACCAGGCCTGCACCCCCACAGCCTGTGCCCTCACAGTAGGCCTGCACCCACACTGTAGGCCTGCACCCCCACAGTAGACCTGTGCCCACACAGTAGGCCTGCACCCCCACATAGACCTGTGCCCACACAGTAGGCCTGCACCCCCACATAGACCTGTGCCCACATAGTAGGCCTGCACCCCCACAGTAGGCCTGTGCCCACACAGTGGGCCTGCACCCCCACAGCCTGTGCCCTCACAGTAGGCCTGCACCCACACTGTAGGCCTGCACCTCCACAGTAGGCCTGCACCCCCACATAGACCTGTGCCCACACAGTAGGCCTGCACCCCCACACCAGGCCTGCACCCCCACAGCCTGTGCCCTCACAGTAGGCCTGTGCCCACACAGTAGGCCTGTGCCACACAGTAGGCCTGCACCCCCACAGTAGACCTGTGCCCACACAGTGGGCCTGCACCCTCACAGCGAGCCTGCACTCCTCTGCCCCCCTAGCCCAGGCTGCAGCTGCTTGCACCCCAGCCCTGAGCTCAGGGGCAGTCCCGCCTCCTCCCCAGGCCCTGACTCTGGCCTTTGTCTCCCCCCCCCCCTTTCCCCACTTCCCCCTCCCCCCCGCAGTTCCGGTACAAGACCCGAGTGTACAAACAGACCAACCTGGACGAGAAGCAGCTGGCCAAGCTGCACACCAAGGTGAGAGGGCCCTGCCGGCACCTGTCTGCCCCTGCCCCTCCTCCCCCATCACCCTGTGCCCTGCCGAGCCCACGGCCCAGCCACTGCCTCCCCCACCTCCCCCTGACAGCCCCCCACAGGCCTCGACCCTTTTGTTCCTCTGCCAGGAGAGCCCCCCACGCCCCCCTCTCCGTATCGTCACTCCTTAACCTCCCCTTGGGCCCCTCACCCCACTGCCACCCGCTCCCACGGGCTTCATCCCTGGACTCTCCGGTCCTGTCTCCTGGGCCCCTCATATCCGTGCAGGGCCCCTCTCCCCCTGAGTCTGGACAGTGACGCCCAGTGTCCCTCTGCCTGGGACTGATTCATAGGTACCCCGAGTCCCCCCATCCCTCAGCCTGAATCTCTGCCAGACCCAGAGATGCCCCGGCCCCAGCCACATCCGTCCTCCAGGCGCCTGGCCTTCCTGGGCTCGGACTGTGTGTCTCTCCTGATCCCGGAAAAGCCGGGAGGCAGCCAAGGGGCTGCTTTGGTCACAGTGAAGTGAAGCCCAGCAGCGTGGCTCAGGGGTTGAGTACCCACCTATGAGCCAGGAGGTCATGGTTTGATTCCCGGTCAGGGCGCACGCCCGGGTTAACATGCTGGATCCCCAGTAGGGGGCGTGCAGGAGGCAGTCCATCAATGACTCTCTTTGTTGATGTTTTTCTCTCTCTCTCCCTCTCCCTTCTTCTCCGAAAACAGTAATTTTTTTTTTTTTAACAGTGAAGGGCCCTAACCAGTGTGGCTCAGTGGATAGAGCATCAGGCCTGCGGACTGAAGGGTCCCAGGTTCGATTCTGGTCAAGGGCATGTACCTTGGTTGCAGGCACATCCCCAGTGGGGGATGTGCAGGAGACAGCTGATGGATGTTTCTCTCTCATCGATGTTTCTAACTCTCTATCCCTCTCCCTTCCTTTTTGTAAAAAAATCAGTAAAATATATTTAAAAAAACAGTGAAGGATCCTTGTCATTTGGGGATTCCTCCTCATCTCCCCCCCCCCCACCCCCCACCATGCAGCCTAGTTCTTCCCCAAATGTCCCATCCCTCCACACCTGTGCTGCCCACAGTGGGAGCCACTGGCCATACTCAGCTCGTCAGCACCAGCACTTGTGGTGGGTCCCCAAGCTCGGCCAGGCTGTGTGTGTGAAATGCATGCCAGACTTCAAAGAAACATCAATGAGAAACATTGATCCGCTGCCTCCTGCACGCCCCCTGCTGGCGATCGAACCCTGACCTGAACCTGTGACCTCTTGGTGTAGGGATGGCCCTCAACCTGCTGAGACACACCAGCCAGCGCATTTTTTATAACTAAAAGTTTTATTTATTGGTTGGTTGATGAGAAAAAGAGAGAGAGGAGGGAGGGAGAGAAATATATCAATTTGTTGTTCCACTTATTGGCGCATCATTGGTTGATTCTTGTATGTGCCCTGACCGGGGATCAAACCCACAACCTTGGTGTTTTAGGACGATGTTCTAACCCGCTGAGCTATCCAGCCATGCTGTTCCCTGTCTTGGCTTTTATTATTTTTTTAAAATCCTCACCCAAGGATTATCCCTCCCCCCAATTGACTTCTAGAGAGAGTGGAAAGAAGGGAGGAGAGGGAGAGGGAGAGAGAAACATTGATGTGAGAGAGACACTTTGATTGGTTGCCTCCCACACATGCTCGCACCGGGGCTGGGAACCTGCAGCCGAAGCACGTGCCCTTTACTGGGAATCGAACCTGAGACCCTTCAGTCCAAGGGCCCATGCTCCAACCCCTGAGCCAAACCAGCTAGGGCCCCCTTTACTTTTTAAAATATATTTTTATTGACTTCAGAGAGGAAGGAAGAGAGGGGGAAAGAAGCATCAACGATGAGAGAGAATCACTGACTGGCTGCCTCTTGCACGCTCCCTACGGGGGATCGAGCCCACAGCCCGGGCGTGTGCCCTGACCGGGAATCGAACTGTGACCTCCTGGTTCGTAGGTCTGCGCTCGGTCACTGAGCTACGCCGGCAGGGGGCCCCGCTTCTTTCTTAAACAAGTGGCTATTAGGGACTCCCCGTGCCTGGTGTGGCCGCTGTGTATGTCACTGGGGACCCCGGCTTCCCCCCGACCCCCTCACAGGCCTGTCCTCTCCCCTGTCCACCCTCAGACCGGCCTGAAGAAGTTCCTGGAGTACGTGCAGCTCGGGACGTCGGACAAGGTGGCGCGGCTGCTGGACAAGGGGCTGGACCCCAACTACCATGACTCGGATTCGGGAGGTGGGCACGGGGCCAGGGGCCTGGGGGGAGAGGGAGGGGGCGCCCCCACCAGGCCCGGGGGCTGCCGCTGACTGTGGGTGTCTCACCCTCAGAGACCCCCCTGACGCTGGCTGCCCAGACGGAAGGCTCCGTAGACGTGATTCGAACCCTGTGCCTGGGCGGGGCCCACATCGACTTCCGGGCCCGCGACGGCATGACGGCTCTGCACAAGGCCGCGTGTGCCCGGCACTGCCTGGCGCTCACGGTGAGGCGCCAGCCCCCCGGGGCCCGCCCGCAGGCCCGAGGCACCCCCGCACACCGTGTCCCCCCCACAGACTGTCCCCGGCCAATGGCCCCACGCCCTCCCTCGTCCTCCCCCTCCCTCGTCCCTCCTCCTACTGGTCTGAGATCCCCCGCACCGGCCCCAGGTGCAGCTGCCACCCAGCTCAGGACCAGCGACAGCTGCTAGTCACACGGGGATCAAACCCACAACCTTGGTGTCTTAGGACGATGTTCTGAACTACTGAGCTGTCCTGCCCTTTCTTTTCTTTTAAAAACAAAACAAAACAATTTATTGATATATTTACAGAGAGGAAGAGAGAGGGATAGAGAGCTAGAAAATTCGATCAGCTGCCTCCTGCACACCCCCCACTGGGGATGTGCCCACAACCAAGGTACATGCCCTTGACCGGAATCGAACCCGGGACCCTTCAGTCCACAGGCCGATGCTCTATCCACTGAGCCAAACAGGTTTCGGCTTCTTTTCTTTTCTTTTCTTTTCTATCTTCACTCAAGGATATCCACCCCCCCATTGACTTCTAGAGAGATTGGAAAGGAGGGAGGGAGAGAGAGACAGGAGAGAGAGAGAGGGGGGGGGGAGAGAGAGAGACATCGATGGGTTGCCTCCCACACATGCTCCCATTACAGCTGGTAATGCCCTGTGCCCAGGTCGATGACATGACCCTCCCGACACCCGGATTCTTGGTGTCCCCCATTCCTTCTGACCCAGCAGCAAGCACCGTGCCATTGTCACCCTGAGGGGTCCCCCCCCCTCCTGCCCTTTGCAATGCAACGGGAGCTCCCTGTTTTGCCCCCAGATAGAGACCCTCCTCCACACACACACACACACACACACACACACACACATACACACACATACCTGCACACACAGCCCCCTCCACGCTTCACCCAGTGGTCCCTCCCCGAGCACACACACCTTCTCTCGCAAGCCGGCACGGCCCCTCCTCCCAAACAGAGGAGCCGCATCTACCCACAGAGTACATTCACGGAGTCAGCTTACACAGTCTTATTTTAAAATACTATTTCCTTAAAAAAATAAATAAATAAATATATATATATATATATATATATATAATTATATATATATAATATATATTATATATTATATATATATTATTGATTTTATACAGAGAGGAAGGAAGAGGGATAGAGAGTTAGAAACATCGATCAGCTGCCTCCTGCACACCCCCCACTGGGGATGTGCCCCCAACCAAGGTACATGCCCTTGAGCGGAATCGAACCCGGGACCCCTCAGTCTGCAGGCTGATACTCTATCCACTGAGCCAAACCGGTTTCGGCTTCTCTCTCATCATTGATGTTGCTATCTCTCTGTCCCTCTCCCTTCCTCTCTGAAATCAATAAAAGGAACCCCAAACGTAGTCAAACCCAGCCAACACACCTCTTACATACCCTGGAACCCTCAGACCCTCTTAACGTCCCCCAAAATGCACTGTCCCTCCGCCCCCAGATCCAGACCTCCCCGTCCGGTCCAGTAGCCACTAGCCACCTGGGCCGTTTAGATCTCAATTGACGGAAGTGAACGGAAATCAAAACGTAGGCTTCGGGTGCCCGGCTAGTGTGGCTCAGTGGTTCAGCATCGACCTCCGAACCGGGAGGTCAGGGTTCGATTCCCGGTCAGGGCACCTGCCCGGATTGTTTGCTGGATCCCCAGTGTGGGGCATGCAGGAGGCAGCTGATCAATGATTCTCTCTCATCATGGGTGTTTCTCTCTCTCTCCCCACCCCTCTCCCTTCCTCTCTGAAATATATATAATTATTATTTTCTTTTTTATTTTCTTTTTTATAAATTTATTGATTGTGGTATCACATAATCCCTGAAATATATTTAAAAACAAAAACCTTGGGCTTCCTGGGCTCACTAGCCTCTGGCTGCGGAGTTGGGGGGTGCAGCCGTGGCCGTGGCCGTGGCCACAGAGCCGGCCGTCCTCCCACAGGGCGCTGCCAAGCCGTCCTAATACCATTCGAACCCTCCCGGGCCGGGAGGGGTTCCTTGAGTGGGACCCTCCGTGGCCCCGAGCCCCTGGCCCCAGCGAGCCCCGCCCGCTCACCCCGCCCCTCACATGCTCCCTCCCCGGCTCCTCCTGGGCCCCATCCTTGGGATCTTGGTCCCAATAAGACCTCCCCCTGGCCCAGGGTCTCCTGCGGCCACACTCCGCTCGCCCTTTGTCCCCGCGTCCATCCCACCAAGTAGGCAGGCACGCGGCTCCGGGTCCCCTCAGTAGCTCATCCCGCGTCGGCCGAGGGGGCAGCTGGCCTGCAGGCCTCCTCCCGGGCCCCCCCGCCCCGTCCCCAGGGGGCGGGGCAGGCTCAGCGAGAGCAAGGGCCAGGCTCAAGGTCGCTCAAGGTCGCACCAGGGCATCGGACAGAACTGTGGCTTTTCAGAAGGAGCCAGTCCTCCCGCGACCGTTGTCTGTCTTGTCGCCCCGCGTCCCAGGCGCTCCTGGACCTCGGGGGCTCCCCCAACTACAAGGACCGCCGGGGGCTCACCCCGCTGTTCCACACGGCCATGGTGGGGGGCGACCCCCGCTGCTGCGAGCTGCTGCTGTACAACCGGGCGCAGCTGGGCGTGGCCGACGAGAACGGCTGGCAGGAGATCCACCAGGTGCTGGGCCTGGGGGGCGGGGCGGGGGCGGGGCGGGGGCGGAGCTGGGCACGGGGCGGGTCCCAGGGGCTGGGGATCCGGGCGCTGGGGGCCTCCCAGGGGGTGGAGGTGAGGGTGCATGGGGGTGTCCACACCGGAACCCGGAGGGAACATGGGCGGGGACGGCGTCTGCGGAGCAGGGCGCCCAGCCCAGCGGAGGCTCTGACCGGCCCCGGCCCCGGCCCGGCCCCAGGCCTGCCAGCGGGGCCACTCGCAGCACCTGGAGCACCTGCTCTTCTACGGGGCGGAGCCCGGAGCCCAGAACGCCTCAGGGAACACCGCCCTGCACATCTGCGCCCTCTACAACAAGGTCTGCCCCTTCTCCGTCCGTCCGTCCGCCCGTCCATCCTTCCTCTATCCATCCGTCCATCCATCCGTCCGTCTGTCCGTCCATCCATCCGTCCGTCCGCCCGTCCGTCCATCCATCCATCCATCCATCCTCCATCCATCCATTCATCCATTCGTCCATCCATCCATCCATTCATCCATCCATCTGTCCGTCCATCAATCCATCCCTCCGTCCGTCCGTCATCCATCCATCCATCCATCCATCCATCCATCCCTCCATCCATCCATTCGTCCATCCATCCATCCGTCCATCTGTCCGTCCATCCATCCATCCCTCCGTCTGTCCGTCGTCCATCCATCCATCCATCCGTCCATCCATCCATCCTTCCGTCCGTCCATCCATCCGTCCATCTGTCCGTCCATCCATCCATCCATCCCTCAGTCCATCTATTCGTCCATCCATCCATCCATTCATCCGTCCATCTGTCCGTCCATCCATCCATTCGTCCGTCTGTCCATCCATCCATCCGTCCATCCATCCTCCATCCATCCATTCATCCATCCGTCCATCCTCCATCCATCCGTCCATCCATCCATTCGTCCGTCCCTCCGTCCATGCGTCCGTCTGTCCGTCCCTCCGTCCATCCATCCACTCATCTGTCCGTCCAACAAGTACTCACTGAGCATCGTCCCTGTGTCCGGCCGGGAACTGGGTGCCGGGGGCCAGGGAGTGAGCGAGCGGGACAGCCCCAGGTCAGGGCCGAGCTCAGAGGGAGCTCCCGGGACCCGGGTCCCTGTGGGAGCCCCCGTGTGGGCCTGGCTCAGGGGGGCAGGTGTCAGCGGAGCAGAAAGGTGTGTGTGGGGGGGGGGGGAGACAGGGGAGGGCGCTCCGGGCCGGGCATGGCCAGGGCGGAGAGAGTCCAGGCCGTCACCGGACGGGTCAGTAGCCTGCGGTTCTGTCTCATGTGCGTCTCCGTTCAGCCGCCTGCTGAGCACCGGTGCATGGGGGGGAGGGGGCCTGCCCTGCAGGGGGCGGAGGAGAGGCCCAGCCCAGCCCCTGGCCGCCCTGCCCCCTCCCCCCGCGCCCAGGGACAGTGTGTTGTAAGTGGCAGCAATGCAGGACCAGCAGGTGGAGGCGGCCTGCAAGGAGCTGGCCGAGGGTCTCGGTTCCGGTTCTGGTTCCGGTCCCGGTTCCGCTGGGCCAGTGGGGTTGGCAGGAGCTGATGACCGGCCCCTTTGCGTCTTGTGTGGCAGGGTCGCTGGGCAGGAGCCCTCCGGAGCCTCAGTCTCCCCCTCACCTCCAAAGGCTCCCTGCCCCCCCCCAACCCCCAGGATGCTGACCATGGGGACCTGAGAGGACAGGGCCTGGTCACCACTGCCTGTTCACAGCCCCTTCCCCCCTCCCCCCTGCTCCGTCTCCAGAGCAGCCCGCCCCCTCCGCCTCACCAGCCCTCGCAGCGCTGGGATTGGCAGGTGGCCACCTGCCACCCGGGTGGCAGCACGCAGTCTGCTCGGCGCCTGCAGAGGGTGGACTGGGTGTTTGTCAAACCCGACCGCACGGTGCTTCTGTCTCTCCCGCTCCCTGACCCGGCCTCTGCCCCAGCCCCTGGCTTCCCCTGCCCGCCCCCCCCTCCCGCCCCCATGCATGGCCTGGGGCAGCCTGGGGCCCCCATACAAGCCCTGCCCCCGCGTCCCCTCTCAGAGGCTCCGCCCTCTCCCTGCAGTGGGAATGGCACCCGCTGATGGAAGGGGATGAGAGACCCTATATATTAAGTGCTCATCGCGGGAAGGCAGCTGCGATCATAATAATAATTATCGTCATTACCATAACCATTATCCGTCAGGGTCCCGTCAGGAGGTGGAAGCCACACCACTCATTTGAGCAGGGGAGACGTCATAACGGAGAATTAAAAGGGAGAACGGTTCCTCTCGGCACTGTCTGCGAAACGGGTCAGCCACAAAGGACCCAGGGGCTGAGTTTTTGTGTTAAATACATTTTATTGATTTTTTACAGAGAGGAAGAGAGAGGGATAGAGAGCTAGAAACATCGATGAGAGGGAAACATCGACCAGCTGCCTCTTGCACACCCCCCACTGGCGATGTGCCCGCAACCAAGGCACATGCCCTTGACCGGAATCGAACCTGGGACCTTCCAGTCTGGAGGCCGACGCTCTACCCACTGAGCCACACTGGTTCTGGCAAGGGGCTGTGTTTTTTTTGGGTTTTTTTTTTGTTTTTGCTTTGCTCTGGGCCAGGTGCTTTCACGTGTCTCTGCACATGTGAGGTCTTTTCCTGCTTCCCGCCCCTGGGTGCCCTCCCAGACCTTAAGGCCCAGCGCTGGGCGGGCATTCCTCACTCTCTGCTCCCCTGGCCCTCTGGCATGCCTGGCTAGGCTGGGGGGGCGGGGTGATGGTCAGGTCCATGTCGAGGCTGTGAGCTCAGTCTGACCCGTCCACTGCCCCAGAGCCCCAGCCCCGTGGTCGGCAAACTGCGGCTCGCGAGCCACATGCGGCTCTTTGGCCCCTCGAGTGTGGCCCTTCCACAAAATGCCACGGCCTGGGCGAGTCTAGGTTGAAGGAGTGGAGTTAGAAGGAGTTTAAGTTTAAAAAATGTGGCTCTCCGAAGAAATTTCCGTGGTGGTCCTGTCGGTATTTGGCTCCGTGGACGAATGAGTTTGCTGACCACGGATGCTAGATGCATCGTGGTTGAGTGAGTGAGTGAGTGAGTGAGTGAATGATGGATCAGCCACCTTCCATTTCCCCCAAGCCTGCAGCATCCAGCCCAGGTGCTCGCCTCGAGATGGATCGAATGACTCAAGGAATGAATGAATGACTCAGTGTCACACCCTCCAACCCCGTCCTTCCTCTGCCTGTTTCATATCCATATATGTTTTATTATTGATTTCAGAGAGAAAGCGAGAGAGAGAGAGAGAGAGAGAGAGAGAGCGAGCGAAACATCAATGATGAGAGAGAATCACGGATCGGCTGCCTCCTGCATGCCTCACACTGGGGATCGAGCCCTCCACCTGGGGGCATGCACCCTTGACTAGAATCGAACCCAGGACCCTTCGATGCACAGGCCGACGCTCTACCCACTGAGCCACACCGGCCGGCCAGGGCCACGCCTGTGTCTTGAGCATCGGCTGTGTGCGGGATGGGGAGATGAATCAGACCCAGCATGGCGCCCGCCCTGGGGAGGGGGAGGGGAGTCGCAGTCTGGCAGAGAGGCAGACGTGTAAACAAATAATTGCAGAGCTGAGAGCTACGTGCCAGGACACCAGTCCACACGGGGTTCTCGGGGAGGCGACGGCGGAGCTGGTGGAGCCGGTGCTGACACACTGGCCACGTGCTAGGCAGGCAGGGTGTCGGCTACAGGCGTGCAGACACGCAGAATCACCCCTGGCCGCGGCTGACACGCTGGCTGGGGGGACAGCTATGCACACACAGACACACACACACACACACACACACACACACACCTGTTGCTGTCCGGTGGCTGACCTGGGCCATCGGCGGTGTTGTGAGCACCCGGAGTGGAGGGTTAGAAGGCCGGGTCGGAGTCCTGGCTGCGCCACTCACAGGCGGTGTGACTTTGGCCACGGATCAGCCGTCTCTGAACTTGAACTTGTCCCGCGGGACGGGCTCCTAGGTCCGCCGTTGGCGGGTGTGTGGAGCGGAGAGGTCAGATCGCGGAGGTTCTTGGCGAATATGCCGGCTCCGTCAGTGTCTGGGGAGCTAGAGAAGGGCCGAGCTGGGGTTCGGGGACAGGGTGGGTTCGGCCAGGCGCAGGCAGAGGCCGAGGACCGGCCCTCCTTCAGCACCTGCTTATCGGACAGCTCCCCGGGCCGGCGCTGTTCCAGGTGGTCAGTGCCACAGACAGAACCAAATCCTCGGAAACGGACACTGCAGTGGGGGCTCAAGAGATGCTAAAGAGACAAGTAAAACGGAAATGTGGCTTCAGGGAGACAGTGTTAGGGAGACGACGACGAGCTAGAGCTGGCTTAGGAAAAGCATGCCTGGGGCGTAGCGGGTGTCTCCTAAACGAAAATAAAGCAGGGGTCCGGCCGGCGTGGCTCAGTGGCTGAGCATCGACCTATGAACCAAGAGGTCAAAGTTCGATTCCTGGTCAGGGCACAGGCCTGGGTTTCGGGCTCAATTCCCAGTGTGGGGCGTGCAGGAGGCATCTGGTCCATGATTATCTCTCCTCATTGATGTTTCTCTTTCTTTCTCTCCCTCCCCCACTTCCTCTCTGAAATAAATAAATAAATAAATAAATAAAACTTAAAGAAAAAGAAAATAGCGCTGGCTGGTTTGGCTCAGTGGATAGAGCATCAGCCTGCGGACTGAAAGGTCCCAGGTTCGATTCTGGCCAAGGGTGCATGCCTGGGTTGCCGGCTCAGGCCCGAGTGGATACTGCAGGAGGCAGCCAAGCAATGATTCTCTCTCATCATTGATGTTTCCATCTCTCTCCTCTCCCTCTCTCTCTCTCCCCCTTCCTCTCTGAAATCAGTAAAAATAAATGTAAAAAGGAAATAGATATATATAAAAAAAGGAAAATACAGCAGGGGACAGGACAGAGTTCGTTTTGACAGGGTGGTCAGCCACGCTTTCGCTGAGTGACGTGAGAATCTGAGTTTTGCGAAGATGGCAGGGCAGAGAGTTCTGAGCAGAGGAGCAGTAGGTGCAAAGGCCCTGGGGCAGGCGTGTGCTGTGCCTGTGGGAGGAAGGAGGAGCCCATGGGGCCAGGGCATGGGGAGCGAAGGGAGGGGGTACGAGATGAACTTGGTGAGGCTGGGGGGGGTGGGGCAGCCAGGTCAGGGGACACCTCCTGGGCCAAGGGAAGGACCTTGAGTTCGATCCAGAGTAAGAGGGGCCGACGTGAGTGACACGGGCAAGGCATTGACCTGGGTCTGGGCTGCAGGGCGACCGCCCCGCCCCCTTGCTTTTGGCTCTCGCAGAGTGTGTGATTCCCAGCAGGGGCTCAGGGGGCAGACACACCTGGGCTTGAACCCTGAGGCACCAGCCCCGTGACCTTGACCTCGGTGTGAAGCATCCATTTCCTCGTCTGAGAAATGGGAACAATACTTCCTGTCTCATGCAATTGTCGGGCGATTCCCTGACCTCCCGCCCCTGAGGTGCTGGGCACCTGGCATGAGGCGGAGTAAGCCCTCCGTGAGGGTTAGGGGGGCGGCTTCTGCCCCCCCCTCCCCCCCTGTCCCCCAGGTTACATTTGTCACACTGTCTGCTGACTCCCTTGGTTGTCAGGACTGGGGGATGCTACTGCCATCTAGTGGTAGCGGCCGGGGATGCTGCTCCACCTTCTTGTTTATTTACTTGTTTTTAGAGAGAAGCCCTGGTTTAGGTTAGCATCATCCAAGCCACAGGTGTAATTTTATTTATTTGTTTGTTTATTTTTTAACAGAGAGGGGGAGAGAGAGAGAGTTAGAAACATCCATCAGCTGCCTCTTGCACATCCCCCACCGGGGATGTGCCCTCAACCAAGGTACATGCCCTTTGAATGGAATCGAACCTGGGACCCTTCTGTCCACAGGGCGACGCTCTATCCACTGAGCCAAACCAGCTAGGGCGCAGGTGTAATTTTATTTTATTTATTTATTTATTTATTTATTTTTTACTTAAAAAAAATTTTTTTTAATTTAAATTATTGTTTAAAGTATTACATGAGTCTCATTTTCTCCCCATTGACCTCTCCCCAGCCACTTCTGCTCGCTGGCACCTGCCCTCACCCCCCTCCATCTGTGTCCATTGGTTATGTTCAAATACATGCATACAAGTCCTTTGGTTGATCTCTTACCCCCTCACCCTCTGCCTTCTTTCATAGGTTGGACAGTCTGTTCAATGCTTGTATGTCTCAGGTTCTATCTTTGTTAATTAGTTTATGTTGTTCATTATATTCCACAAGTGAGTGAGATCATGCGGTATTTATCTTTCTCTGACTGGCTTATTTCACTTAGCATAATGCTCTCCAGTTCCATCCCTGCTATTGCAAATAGTAAAATTCCTTTTTTTTTTTTTTTAACAGCAGCATAGTATTGCATTGTGTAGCTACACCACAGTTTTCTAATCCACCCATCTACTGATGGGCACTTAGGCTGCTTCCGCAGGTGTAATTTTAAATGTCCCAGAAACCACATTTGAAAGAAAAGAAAAGAAAAGAAAAGAAAAAGAAAGAAAGAAACAGGTGTCATTAGTTGTATTTTTTTTTTTTTTTTACCATTGAAGCCAAAATAGTATCATTGTAGCATGTTGTCAGTATAAACATTATTCTAGGTACTTACTTCATTTCTTTATTTATTTAAATATTTAATTAATTTTTTTTTTAACAGAAAAGAAGGGAGAGGGAGAGTCAGAAACATCGATGAGAGAGAAACATTGACAAGCTGCCTCCTGCACACTCCTTATGGGGGATGTGCCCGCAACCAAGATATGTGCCCTTAATTGGGATTGAACCTGGGACCCTTGAGCCCGCAGGCCGGCGCACTATCCACTGAGCCACACCGGCCAGGGTTACTTACTTCATTTTCTTCATGCTGAGCCAGCCTGTGTTTTACACACGGCCCCTGTCAGCTCGGCCACACCCCACACCTGGAAGGGCTGGGGAGCCTGGGCAGGGCAGGCTGACATCACACCGTTCCCAGGTCCTCTTGTGTGTGGACTGGTAGCCCTGCTCACATCCGCTCGCCCGAAGCTCTCCGCCCACTGCCCGCCCTCCTGTAGCTCCCTCCGCACGCCCCCCATAGCTTGCTGCCCTGCCCCCTCAGGTAGCCCTCCACCTCCGGCTCTCCACCCTCCCGCTGATCCGCGATCCGGTGGTTAAGCAGTCCGCCTTCATGCTTCGCAGCGTAACGACCGTTTGCTGATGACATCCTTATTACATAGGATTGATTTTTCATGTGTCGGTTTTGAGAGAGACACACATCTGTTTGTCGATCCAGGTGCTGACGCCTTCATGGCTCGCTTCTTGTAGGTGCCCTGACTGGGGGGATTGAACCCACACAACCTTGGCATATTGGGGGCAGGGAGGGGGGTGAGGGAGGAAGAGGAAATGGCGCTCTAACCACTGAGCCGCCCGGCCTGGGCCTGAAGCTCTTTAGGGCAGGGCTGTGCCCACTCGCATGACCTGCGTTGTCTTTCTCTCCCCCCCCCACCCTGTGCCCCCGCCCCCTCCTCAGGAGTCCTGTGCCAGGATCCTCCTCTACCGAGGGGCCAGCAAGGACGTGAAGAACAACAACGGACAGACGGCCTTCCAGGTCCGGCTGTGGGGTCGGGGCTGTGGGGTCGGGGCTGTGGGATCGGGCTGTGGGGTCGGGGCTGTGGGATCGGGGATGTGGGGTCGGGGCTGTGGGGTCGGGCTGTGGGGTCGGGGCTGTGGGGTCGGGGCTGTGGGGTCGGGCTGTGGGGTCGGGGCTGTGGGGTCGGGCTGTGGGGTCGGGGCTGTGGGGTCGGGCTGTGGGGTCGGGGCTGTGGGGTCTGGGCTGTGGGGTCGGGGCTGTGGGGTCTGGGCTGTGGGGTCTGGGCTGTGAGATCGGGGCTGTGGGGTCGGGGCTGTGGGGTCGGGCTGTGGGGTCGGGCTGTGGGATCGGGGCTGTGGGGTCGGGGTGGGGGGGTTTGGGGGGGTGAAGAACGCAGAGGGGTAGGGAGGTGGGGCTCTTAGGCAAGCTGGGAGAGAGGAGGGAGGGCAGTTTTGGGGGAGGGATGGGCAGAGGGAGCAGCCAGCCCGGGACCTGACTGCTTCCTGTCCCCTCCCTGTGCCCGGGCCCCCCTGCCCGCCTCTCTGTGCCCCCCTCCAGGTGGCGGTGATCGCCGGGAACTTTGAACTGGGGGAGCTGATTCGAAACCATCGGGAGCAGGACGTGGGTGAGTGGGTGGGGCTGGGCCCCGGGGAGCCTGGGGCACTGCGGGGTGCTGGGGGGCGCGAGGCGGGACCCCCCACTCTCTCATCTCGCTCTTTCTCCCCTGGTGCCTCTCTCACCACCTCCCGCCTCTGTCCCCCTCCCCTCTGCCCCCCAACCCTGTGCCCTCTCAGTGCCCTTCCAGGAGTCCCCCAAGTACGCGGCCCGGCGGCGGGGGCCCCCGAGCGCGGGGCTGACGGTGCCGCCCGCGCTGCTGCGCGCCAACAGCGACACCAGCATGGCCCTGCCCGACTGGATGGTGTTCGCCGCCCCGGGCGCCTCGTCCTCCGCGGCCCCCGCGCCCGCGCCCGCGGCCCAGGCCCAGGCCCAGCCCGCCGCCCCCGGCGCCAAGCTCAGCACCGGGACCCTCCGCAGCGCCAGCAGCCCCCGGGGCGCCCGGGCGCGCTCCCCGTCCCGCGGGCGGCACCCCGAGGAGGCCAAGCGGCAGCCCCGTGGCCGGCCCAGGTAGGAGGGCTCAGCCCCGTCCCAGGACAGAGCCCCCCCCGGAGGGATCCCCCCCCCCCAGAGCCGCCGCCCCGCCCCAGGCCAGCTCCGCTGTTTGCCTTCTGTCCCCCCAGCCCCCCACCCCCACCCCCCACCATCAACCTCCTGTCCCCCCAGGCCTCAATCCCCTCCCTCCCCACCCTGGCGGAGGGGAGGGTGCATGAGCCGGTCCCCAGTGCGCCTGCTCCACGCCAGGGGCCTGGGGGGGGGACCCCAAAAGAAATAATGCTTCTAACCCCTGAGAACAGATAGAGAGGCGGGGTGAGGTGAGAGCAGGGAGAGGGGGACAGAAGGCAGACAGCGGAGCTGTCTGAGTCTGGAAGCTAGTGGAGGAGGAGGAGGAGGAGGAGGGGAAGGAGAAGGAAGAGAAGGAGGGGAAGGAGGAGGAGGAGTGGGGCGGAGAAGGAGGAAGAGGAGTGGGGAGGAGGAGGAGAAGGAGGAGTGGAGAGGAGGAGAAGGAGGAGTGGAGAGGAGGAGGAGGAGGAGTGGAGAGGAGGAGGAGAGGAGAGGAGGAGGAGGAGTGGAGAGGAGGAGGAGGAGCGGAGAGGAGGAGGAGAGGAGTGAGAGGAGGAGAGAAGGAGGGAGAGGAGAGGAGGAGGAGGAGGAGGAGGAGAGGAGGAGGAGGAGGAGGAGTGGAGAGGAGGAGGAGGAGGAGTGGAGAGGAGGAGGAGGAGGGAGAGGAGGAGGGAGAGGAGGAGATGGAGAGGAGGAGGAGGAGTGAAGAGGAGGAGAGGAGGAGGAGGAGTGGAGAGGAGGAGGAGAGGAGTGGAGAGGAGGAGGAGGAGTGGAGAGGAGGAGGAGAGGAGGAGGAGGAGCGGAGAGGAGGGGATGAGGAGGAGGGAGAGGGAGGAGGAGCGGGAGAGGAGGAGGAGGAGGAGGAGAGGAGGAGGAGGAGTGGAGAGGAGGAGGAGAGGAGGAGGAGGAGCGGAGAGGAGGAGGAGAGGAGTGGGGAGGAGGAGGAGTGGGGCGGAGGGGAGCAGAGAGACCACTCAGGGCAGGGGTGGGGTGGGGGGCTGGCAGAGGAGGGAGAGGGGTCCCGGCCTGCATGGTCCGAGGGCATGGGATGGAGGAGACCATGGGCCTGGGAATGCGGGGCGGGGGGCCTGGACCCCAGCCTGAGGAGGCCTCACTCCTGAGCAGCGATTGGGGGAGGGGGTGTCGGGGGTCAGGGGGGCCTGCAGGCCTGGAGGAGGGGGCAGCGCCAGGAGCCAGGAAGGAGGGAAGGGCCTGGGGGGGGGGGGGCGGCAGGGAGCCCCAGTTCCCCCCCTTTCCCAGACCCCAGCGCCGGGACACCCACTCACACCCCCGCCCCCACCCGACGCCCCACGTCCTCCTGCCTCTCCCGCCCTCTGCGCGCAGCTCCAGCGGGACGCCCCGGGAGCCGGCCGGCGGCACCGGGGGCTCCGCGGGCCCCGGGGGCTCGCTGGGCAGCCGCGGGCGGCGCCGGAAGCTCTACTCGGCGGTGCCCGGGCGCTCCTTCATGGCGGTGAAGTCCTACCAGGCCCAGGCCGAGGGCGAGATCTCCCTGAGCAAGGGCGAGAAGATCAAAGGTGAGCGGGCGCGGGCGCGGGCCCGCAGCCCTAGGCTGTTCCGTGCGCCCGGAGGAAGGCCCTGGGGCGCCCCCAGTGCCTGGAGGAGCGCAGCGTGTGGCCCGGGCGATGCCGGCGGGAGGCTGCGGCCCTGGCACCCCGCCGGGCACAGGAGCAGCCTCAGGCGCTCCGGACCCTGCAGGGGGTGGAGGATGAGTCCCGCAGTTGGGGGACCAGAGGCGCAGGCAGGGGAGCCCCCGGTCAGGGGTCCCCAGCTGTGCCCGCCCCCCCCCCCAGTCTCTCGGGCCTCTGCCAGGTCTTCCCTCTGAGAAACGGGCGGTGCCCGCTGGCGGGGGCTCTGCTGAAATGGGGGGAGGGGTGTGTGAAGCCGGGTCCGGGCCCAGGGCTCCCTGAACGGGGACTGTTTCGTTTCGTTTTGTTTAGATTTCATTTTTTTAAGGTAATTTAAAAATATCTATATTTTATTGCCCTAACTGGTTTGGCTCAGTGGCTAGAGCGTCGGCCTGCAGACTGAAGGGTCCCGGGTTCAATTCTGGTCAAGGGCATGTACCTTGGTTGCAGCACATCCCCAGTAGGGGGTGTGCAGGAGGCAGCTGATCAATGTTTCTCTCCCATCCATGTTTCTAACTCTCTGTAAAAAATCAATAAAATATATTTAAAACCAATACATATAAAATTTTTTATTGATTTTTTACAGAGAAGAAGGGAGAGGGATAGAGAGTTGAAACATGGATGAGAAACATCAACCAAATGCCTCCCGCACACACACCCCCTCCCCACCAGGGATGTGCCCACAACCAAGGTACATGCCCTTGATCGGAATCGAACCTGGGACCCTTCAGTCTGCAGGCTGACGCTCTATCCGCTGAGCCAAAGCGGCTTCGGCATTCTTTTTGTTGATTTTTGTGTGAGAGGGAGAAGCATTGATCGGCTGCCTCCTACATGACCCCTGGCTGGAGGTTCAACCCCCTGAGCCACCCAGCCAGGGCGAAACAGGGACTGTGAATATAGGGCTCTGGCCGGCACACTGCGGCTGGCGAGCCACAGGCGGCTCTTTGGCCCCTTGCGTGTGGCTCTTTCACAAAACACCACGGCCTGGACGAGTCTAGGTTGAAGAAGGGATGTTAGAAGAAGTTCAAGTTTAAAAAATGTGGCTCTCACAAGAAATTTCCATCATTGTCCTGTGGATAGTTGGCTCTGTGGATGAATGAGTTTGCCGACCTCTGGAAAAGGTTGCCAGGCGTCTCCACGGCCGCCTGGACGGGCTGGTGACTGTCCTTGGGCAGCACGGGGCTGGGAGACGGGACTCAGCAGGCGTGTGGTTCACTCGGGCTTGGGGTGCGACTCTGTCCAGCTCCCGGCTGCCGAGGAGCTGAGGAGGATAGAGGTTGAGGGCCCAGCTGCTGGGGTTCAAATCCCGGCCCCACCCCTTCCAAGCCGGGCGGCCTCAGGCACAGGATTTCTCTGGGCCTCAGTTTGCTCATCTGTAAAATGGGCCCCCTGGGGAAGCCAAAGGGAATCGCCTTCCCAGGTGCCACGTGCAGCCGTCGGCGTCACCGGGGGCCCCTCCACGCCCAGCACTCAGAGGAGAGGGACCCCGGCCACCGGGGGAAGCCGGGCGGGTCCTCCATGGGGGAGAGGGTGTGTGGGCCTGGGACCGGGGCCTCGGGCTGGGGGTGCGATGGCACCTGTTTTGTGCTCCGTTTGCCCGCGGCCTGAGGTCACAGGGCGTTGGTCTCTGGGTCGCAAGGGCCCGGCTTTGTGAGGTGTGGAGCACACCAGAGGCCACAATGCACACCTTATGAATGAACGAACGAATGAATGAATGAATGAATGAATGAATGCAAGAGCTAATGGTGGGGGCCAGGCAGCGTGCAGGGAGTGGGGAGGAGGGAGAGAGAGAGACAGGAAGTATGTGTGTTCTCGAGGGTGGGAGGGGTGTGGACTGTGATTTGGGGTGAGGAAGAAGAAGGGGAAGCTGGGGGCGGGGGTGAGGGGCCTTGCGGCCAGGCAGAGGGCCCAGGCGGTATCCTCCGTGCGTCTTTCTGAGCTCCAAGCTCCAGCCCACCAAGCAGGCAGAGCACGCCCGGCCCGGTGGCTCACATCCTTCCCTTTCAATAAAAGGCACGTCCCTGCCTCCGAGCATTCCCTCAGCCACCACGCCCCTGTGTCTTGCCTCCTCCCAATGAGGTAGCCAGGCTCCCTCGGTGCTCAGGGTCCTGAGCCCGGCCTACAAGGCCCACCCTGCCCCCCTCCCCCCGCAATCTCACGCCACTTCTTCGCCAAGATCCAGGGACCCACCCCGTCCTTCTTGCCATTATTCCTCGAATGCCCTAACCCCATGGTCGGCAAACTCATTAGTCACCAGAGCCAAACATCAACAGGACGACGATTGAAATTTCTTTGGAGAGCCACATTTTTTAAACTTAAACTTCTTCTATATATATATATATTTAATATATTTTATTGATTTTTTTACAGAGAGGAAGAGAGAGGGATAGAGAGTTAGAAACATCAATGAGAGAGAATCATCAATCAGCTGCCTCTTGCACCACCCTTACTGGGGATGTGCCCGCAACCAAGGTACATGCCCCTGACCGGAATCGAACCCGGGACCTTTCAGTCCGCAGGCCCACGCTCTATCCACTGAGCCAAAGCGGTTTCAGCTAAACTTAAACTTCTTCTAACGCCATTTCTTCAACATAGACTCGCCCAGGCCGTGGTATTTTGTGGAAGAGCCACACTCAAGGGGCCAAAGAGCCGCATGTGGCTCACGAGACGTGGTTTGCCGACCACGGCCCTGAACCCTTCTCCAGACCAAGCTGCCTGGACAGCCTTCCCTCCCTCTCCCCGCCTCCGCCACTCGGGGTCCTTCATCCTTCCTGGTCCCCTTGACCTGCCAGTGCACATGCTGCCCTCTGCCTGTCTCCGGAGACCCTGTCTTTTCCCCCCAGTGTGTGCCAATCTCGGCTCCCCCCTCCCCCCCGTAGACTTCCGCCTCCAGCGGGCGCCCGTGTGGAAGCTGGGTGAGGGCAGGAATCACACCCGTGTGTCCCACGGCTCCGCCTGGCGTCCGCGCGGAGGCCTGACTCACAACCGGCCCTAAATAAACCTCAGCTCAGGGAGCCAACGACCGGCGCCAAGGCTGCCCACAGGCCTGGCAGAGCCTGCCAAGAGCCCAGACGCCGGTCGCCCTGTCCCCGGTGCTGCCGCGACCTTGAGCGTCTCTCGGTGTCATTTCCCAGCTGCTCCCGGGGCAGGGGGCCCGCTCAGGGGAAAGCCCCATCGCGCGGCGGCCCGGATCAAACCCTACCACGGCCGGCGCCTTCTCTGGGCGAGGGGCTTCTCTGCTACAGCGACAGCTGCTGCTGCTGCTGCTTTTTTTTTTTTTTTTTTAATATATATTTTTATTGATTTTTTACAGACAGGAAGAAAGAGAAATAGAGAGTTAGAAACATCGATGAGAGAGAATCATCGATCAGCTGCCTCTTGCACACCCCCTACTGGGGAGTGTCCACAACTAAGGTACATGCCCTTGACCGGAATCAAACCCGGGACCCTTCAGTCCCCAGGCTGATGCTCTATCCACTGAGCCAAACCGGTTTCGGCTTTTTCTTCTTTTTTAAAAAATACATTTTTATTGAGGGAGAGCTGGATACACACACGCTGTCCACGCTGTCCGGCGCTGAACGCCAGTGCCCCGCACGGCCCCCCGGGCGTGTCCCAGGCTGTTGCTAACCGTGTGCCGGGGGCTTCGGAGGGAGGGCCGGCAGGAAGGGCCCTCCAGGCCTGTGCCGTAGAGAGAAGTAAAGGGGACTCTCATCCCTGCTCCCTCTGGAGTGGGGGAAGCAAAGAGAGGCAGAGGGGAGTGTCTGGGAGCAGATGACACAAGATGAAGTGGCAAGGAGACTGTGGGAGGTGGCGGGGCAGGAGGGGCAGGGATGGGGCTGCCTGGGAGGGTTTAGTCTAGGGGTGTCGAACTCAATCAGAGAAGGGGCCAAAATCTAAAATCCAGCCTAAATCGCGGGCCGAATGGTTTACTGAACAGTCATAAACTGTCATTGTGATTGGAAACGCAGCGGAGTGCAGTGATGACAGCGAGGTGCGGGCCACATTGCAAGGCCTGGCGGGACAGATTTGGCCCGCGGACCTTGTGTTTGACACATGTGGTTTAGGCCAGTGGTCGGCAAACTCATGAGTGCACAGAGCCAAATAGCAACAGGACAACGATTGAAAAATTTATATAAATATAAATAAATATAAATATAAATATAAATATAAATATAAATATAAATAAATATATATATATTTCAGAGAGGAAGGGAGAGGGAGAGAAAGATAAAAACATCAATGAGAGAATCACTGATCTGCTGCCCCCTACTGGGGGTTGAGCCAGCAACCTGGGCATGTGTCCTTGGCCTGAATCGAACCTGGGACCTTTCAGTCTGCAGGCCAACACTCTATCCACTGAGCCAAACCGGCTAAGGCGCGACTGAAATTTCTTTGGAGAGCCACATGTTTTAAACATAAACTTCTTCTAACGCGACTTCTTCCACATAGACTCGCCCAGGCCGTGGTGTTTTGTGGAAGAGCCACACTCAAGGGGCCAAAGAGCTGCATGTGGCTCGCGAACCACAGTTTGAAGACCACGGGTCTTGGGGAAATGACAGAACAGCTGAGCTGCGACCGGTTCCCAGGGGAGATGAGGGCCACTCGTGGACGTCTCCCTACCTGGGGGGGGGGGGGGGTGGCATGAGACACGCCCTCTTCGCCCGGGGCCTTTGGGCATCCCCATCCGGTCCCGAAGGCTAGGCATGCTTCCCTCAGCCCTTCCTCGGACACTTCAATTTTTGTTTATTGGTTTTGGAGAGAGGAAGGGAGAGAGAGAGAGAGAGAGAGAGAGAGAGAGAGAGAGAGAGAGAGAGAGAGATTTGTTGTTCCACTTACGGATATATCATTGGTTGATTATCGCATGTGCCCTGACCAGGGATCGAACCCATAGCCTTGATGTATCAGGACACCGCCGAGCTCTAACCAGCCGAGCTCCCAGGGGAGGGAATTGTGGGCCTGAATGGTGGGAGGGTTGTGCATCTGTGAGCTGGGGCCGGGGCTCCGTGGACGCCGAGGAAAGCTTCTCTGTTCCTGCTCCCCACCCAGTGCTGAGCATCGGGGAAGGAGGCTTCTGGGAAGGCCAGGTCAAAGGTCGCGTCGGCTGGTTCCCCTCCGACTGCCTGGAGGAGGTGGCAAACCGCTCCCAGGAGGGAAAGCAAGGTACGAGGGGAGCTGGGGCTGCCGCCGATTTACCCCGGCTGCTCGCCCAGTCCTTCCCTCCCCTCCTTTCCCGGCGGGGAGGGTGTTGGGGGAGGGAGGAGGCTGGGGCCAGGAGCCTCAGGGGTGGGCTCGTGGTATCATAGCGAGTGAGGGCCAAGGTCACCCCTTGTCCCCCCCGCAGAAAGCCGCAGCGACAAGGCGAAGAGGCTGTTCCGGCATTACACGGTGGGCTCCTACGACAGCTTCGACGCCCCAAGGTAAATGTTCCTGCACCCTCACAGCGCCCTCTGCGGGTGGGCAAGGCAGAGCTGGCTTCTGACCACACAGCCCGGTCCCCAGCCTGCCTGGCTCAGCAGCTGCTGAACATGCTCAGCCCTGGGGTAGCCAACCACCAACGGGGTGGGCCTGGCGGGGTGGGGTGGGGTGGGGTGGGGGGCGCTGCCTGGGGGTCCCGGATCCCGTGTGTATGGCTGACTGCGGGCCCCAGGCTCCTTCACGTGCCCTGTCTCTGTGTGGTCACGTGCTATGGAACCGCATGCTCCCCTGCCTGGCCTGGGGTGTGGGCGGGGCCGGGCCAGGCGGGTGGGGCCGGGCAGGGGGCGCTCTGACACCTTTCCCCTCCCTGGCTGCTGGCTGGCTTGCTTCTGAAGCTTGATGGATGGGATTGGCCCAGGGAGGTGAGAGGGGAGGTGGGGAGGAGGGGCGGGATGGGGGGGGTCAGGCATGGGAAGGAAGGGGTGCCTGGGGGCGTGTGGACGTGTGTGCGCGCGTATGCACGACCAGCACTGGTTCCGAGCGCCCCTGAACGGTCTCCCCGCGTGCGTCCTTGCCCGTGTGTCTCTGTGGGTGTGCATGGCACGTGTCCACACGCATGTGTGACTTGGGGGGGGGGCGGATGTATAGCCCGGGCGGAGGGCCTGGCCCGCGGACAGGGGCGCGTTCCGGGGCCGCCCCTTACGGCTAGCGGTGCAGCTGGCTCTGCACGTCTGCTTCCCCCGAGCCTACACGTCTGAGGACGAGGGCGAGTGTTTCTCGGGATGGCAGCGTGTCTGCCCGCGGCGTGTGGGCAGGCGGGTCTCGGCACACGTCCGTCCCCCTCCGTGCATGTCACTGTGCAGGCCGATTCGCAGCCCCTGTGACCGTGCGCATGTCTTTGCATCCGCCTGACTGACTGCAGTTCAGGGCCTTGGGTGCTGGGGGGGAGGGCCCGGGGGTGGGGGACGGGACTCTGGGACTTGGGCTTCCCGAAGGGCCAGGCTGTACGGGAGGGGTGGTCCTCATTGGGCATCCAAGATGACACCCGCTCTTGTCCCTCCCCCCGCCCCCAACCCCCAACCCCCAACCCCAATCAGGGAAGGGTCTCCTTGTTTGTAGCATCCTTCCATTAAATGTGTCCAAACCTCCGTGTCTGTGTCCTGCCAGTGGGGATGGGGTGGGGTGGGGAGGAGGAGGAGGAGGAGGAAGGACGAGGTGGGGAGAGGGGGGGGGGCTGGGTTGCCACCCTGCGCCCCAAGTGTCAGAGGCGCTGGACCATGGTTGTGCGTCTTCGCCTGGCCCGTCTCTCCGCTCTGGGCACCGGGTGAGTATGGAGGTCCTCCCCACCCCAGCCTCCTCCCATCAGCCTCTGCTTCTTGTCTCCCGTCAGTGTCGCCCTGGGCCTCTCCTTGGCCTTGGTGTCGGGGGCCACTTGCTCTGCGTGGCCAGATGGGGGTGGGTCCCCCTGGCCCTCGGCTGTCCTGTGGGTGCTTCCCCTCCCCTCCTCCTCCACGCCCTGTGCCCCTGGAATGTGTTGTGTGTGTGTGGTGTGTCCGAGCCTCCTGCCTGCCTTCTCCTGCCCTGCCCTGCCCGACCCTGTCCTGTTCTGTGTGTGCGCCTTGCACCCCGCAGGAGCTGGGGGTCCGCCCCCCTCCCCCGGCCTGGGGCCTGTGCGCCCTCTCTCCTCTCCCTTGTGTCCACCGGGAGGTGAAGTGTGGGTACGCCCCTCCGCCTGGGGCTCTTTGGGGGAGGCTTGTCTCTCTCTCTCTCTGCTTTGGGGCCCGGTCTGAACGTCCTCACCTTCCCTTCCCGGCCCCTTCCAGATTGCATTGGGGTGCCTCTGTCTGTCCGCCTGTGGTGGGGTGAGGGGTTGTCTCTCTCCCCGTGGGGTCCCTGCCCTGCGGAGCGGGCTCGGGTGCAGGGGCGCGCGGTCTCCAGGCATCTTGTGCGCGCGCTGTGTTGTGTGTCCCTCTCCCGCTCTCCCTCGCTCTGCACCTGCGCGCGGGAGGGCTCCGGAGGGAGAGGGGGTGAAGGGGGGGGCCCCCCCAGACCGGAAGTGCCTCCCTCCCCTCCCCCCCGCGCCTCGCCCCTCCCCCTCCTCCCGCCAAGGGGGCCCCGCGCTCCCCTCCCGGCCCCCGCCCCCCGGCCCGGCCCGGCCCGGCCCCCTCCGCCGCCGCCGCGGGCGCAGGACGCCAAGGGGTTAAGCCTCGGCCGCCGCCGCGGAGCGGGAGCTGTCCGCGGTGCTGAAGCTCCGCCGGCGCCCGCGGCCCCTGCGCTCCGCGGCCGCCCGCCCCGCGCCCCGCGCCCCGCGCCCGGCATGTGAGCCCCCGGCCCTGCCCTCCCCGCCGCGGGGGGGTGCGCGCCCCCTCCCCCTCCCCCTCCCGGCGCGGGTCAGCATGAGGCGGGGCCTGGGGGCCCGGACACGGGGGTTCGGCCGAGCGGGGACGGGGACTCGGCGGCGGCGGCGGCGGCGGGGGCGGCCGGGACCCGGACCCGGAGCCGGGCCAGGGCCGCGGCGGCCGCGATGGCTTTGTCTGCGCTCGGCGGCGGCGGCGGCGGGGGGCTCGGGGCCGGCCCCGGCGGGGGCTCCCTCCCGCAGCCGCCCCCCGCGCTCTCCTCCAGCTGGCCGGCCCTGGGGCCCCGGCGGCGCAGCGTCTGGTACATCTACAGGTACGAGCGCTCCGGGCCGGGCTGGGCGGCGGGGCCCGGCGCCCTGGGACCCTTCCCCGCCTCTGCCTCCTCCCTCTGCCTCCCCCAGGCCGCCCCCTCCTCCCCCGCCGCCCCCCCAACCTTCTCCGAACGTAAACCCTTCTCCATCCTCTCATCCTTTTCCTGGGCCGCGCACGGCCCCCCTCCCCCCACTACCCCCTCACAGGCCCTTCCTGGTCCCCCTCAATCTCTCTCCCCAAGATCTCCCCCCCCAGATCGGCCCTCCAAACGGGCCCCACTTTGGGGTTTGGGGCTCATTTGCCCTTTCTGTCTCCCCCCCTCTCCGTCAGCGCCCCCACTCCTTGGAGTCCTCCTCTTGGGGAGCCACAGTGGCTCTCCCCGAGGCGCCTGTACCCCAGGCCCCTGCGCCTCTGATCCCCTTTCCCCCTACACCCCTTCCCGGAGTGGGCAAGTCCCCCCCATTCATACCCCGTCTCTCTTCCATTCACAGCCACCACCCCCCTCGCCCCCCAATCACACACGCATCTCGCCCGGCGGCCTGCTCTCCCCTCCGCTTTTTCCGCTGCGTGTCACTGTGCGACTGTGCGTGTGTCAGTGTGCATGCGTGTGTGTGACGGCCTGCAGCTGTGTGTGAGGGAGAGGGAGGGAGGGAGAGAGAGAGTAGGACGGGAGACGGTGGGCTCCCAGCCCACCCCCCAGCTGTGTCCATCTGTGAGTCCCTGTTTGACGGTGTCTGTCTGTCTCGGTGTGACTTGGAGCGGCCGAGAGAGGCTGCCTGGGGACTGCGTGTGTGTGTGTGTGTGTGTGTGTGTGTGTGTGTGTGTCCCAGGCACTGCGGCTCTTTCCCCACACCCACCCTCCTGTGCCAGGCCTGCCCCCCCTGTGTCTCTGTGTCTCTGCACCCCTCCTCCCTGCCCCCAGGGGGCTGTGCTGTGAGGGGCACGTGTGTGCGGCCATGGCTGAGCTTCTGCACGGGGAGCTGCATCTGCTGTGTGTACCCCTTCCCGGCCAGGAGGGGGGCCGCCTCCCAGCACGGGGACCTCCGCGCCCGCCCCGGAGGTGCCCGCGGAGATGGGTACACGGGGAGGGGCCGAGGGCCAGAAGGCTGTGGGCTCCTGAGTGCGAGAGGGACCTCCGGGTGGGGGCGGGGGGAGTGGACGCTGCTGCAGTCTCCGCGTGTGGGATCCGGGGAACAAGAGCCGGCCGCTGCGGAGCTCCGAGCCCCCGGGGTGGCCGCGGGATGGCCGGCGGGGGGGGGGGGGGCGGGGGAAAGGAGAATTGTGTGTGTGCCTGCCGGCAGGTAGTCAGCAGCACGGATCATGAATGGGGTGCTGCGTGGGTAGCGAGCCTGGAGCAGGGGGTGGGGCCCGCGGGGCCGGGCGGGAGGGTGTCAGGGCGGAACGACGGGGCACAGGGAAGTGGGGGAACGGGACGCCGGAGCCGGAGCGTGGGGGGCGCCGCGCGGAGGGTGCGGAGCAATGGGGTGAGGAGGGAACGCGGGACGGGGAGGGGGGTGGGGGTGGGGTGGAGGCTGCGTAGACAGAGGGAGCAGGAGATGCAAATGAAATGCAGCTGCGAGGAGCAGGAGGCGCAGGCAGCGGCGGGGAGAGGTGTGTGATGGAGTGAGTGGAGGAGCAAGAGGCGCTCTCAGATAATGGTGGGGGGGGGCGGGGGGAGGAGGGACCAGGGAGTATGAGAGGGACTGAGGGTGCTGTAGGGGACACAGTGGGGTTCATGCAGCGGTGCAGGAGGACGTGGGCAGGCTGAGGGCAAGGGAGGGGGAGAAGGGGGAGAAGGGGGGGAGGGAGAGGTCATAGGAATCTGAGGACACTTGGGAAAGGGGGCGTGGGGCGTACCGTCTTTGGGAGGTCATGGGGAGAGGCGAAGGGGCGGCCCCCGGTGTGAGGAGGGCTGATGGTGGGGGGTTCAGGTGGAGGGGAGCTGTCAGATGACAAGGAGGAGCAGGGACCAAGCTGCAGAGACGGGGGATGCACAGGCGTGAGGAGGGGGTACACAGTCTCAGGAAGCCCCACGGGGCAGGAGGGCAGTGGGGAGCTCAAGGAGATCGCGGTGGGGTGAGGGAGGCCCCACGAAGAGCGGGGACGGGGTGCGAGAGTCACAGGGGTGGGGAGGAGAGAGGAGCATGTGTGTGACGGGGATGCATGGGGGGGGACAGAAGGGGTGTGGCGATGACCTGGGGGTGTTTGGACGTGACTGGGGTATATGGATTGCCTGCTGGGGGGGTTAAGTCCTGGCTTTGATGCTCTTCTAGCTGCTGTGGTTTTGGAGCAAGCGATTTCTCTGTGCCTCAACGTGCCTCATCTGTAAAATGGGAACAGTCACGGCCCACCCCTCTCCCCCCGGGGGTGCTGTGAGGACTGAATGAATAAATCAGCAGGAAGTGCTTGGAACACGGTCTGGCCTTCGGGAGCCGCTGGGTGTAACTGTCGCCCGTTGTTGTGCTGTTGGCCTAGCCTGGGGGGACATGCAGCCCCCGGAGGGGCACGTGGAGCAGGTGGGGGGCAGGTGCGTGTGGCTTGGGGTGTCCGGGTGCTGCGGAGAGAGCGGAGGCTGCGGTACCGCTGTCTGTCCCCCGGGCGTCTCCCTGGAGGGTGGTTGGAGAAGGTCATCCACTCTGACCTCGAGCCCATTGCTTACCCTCTCGGAGCCCCTGTTTCCCGACCGCCAGCCCTCGCACCACCTTGGGGCCTGGCTGTGGAGACAGCTACGGGCACCGCCTGGCACACAGCAAGGACTGCTCCTTGGCGGGCGCTGGCCATGGGGCTTGGTTTCCTGCAGTAAATGGGAGGCTGGGGTGTGTGGGGGAGGCTGGGGTGTGGAGGGAGGGTCAGGATAACCAGGGGGTGGATCAGAGGTTCCCAGGGCAGGGAGAGGACTTGGGGAAGAAGGTAGGGGTTTGTGGCTGTAAGTGAGAAATAAAGGAGAGCCGGAGGGCACCACTGGCCCCTGGGGGTGGGGGTGGGGGGCTGGAGACCTGGAAGGGATGTGGGGGTCGCCAGGGCAGCAGGGCTCAGAAGAGGGGGTGCCAGGGGGTGCGGTGGGGACAAGGGCGTCAGGGTGCATGCGTGGTGAGGAGCAGGCAGCTCTGGCCTCCACCAGTTCCTGTCGGCCCTGTCCACTCGCTGTTTGGCCTCTCTCCCCTCCTATCTGTCCCTCCAAGCCACTCCTCCTCCCCACCTCCAGCAGCAAAGATGGCTGATAAAGGGCCGAATCTGGGATCAGGAAGGCGCGATGGGTGTGATGTGGGCACGGGTGCTGGACCCTGTGAACTTGAGCGAGGGCGGTGACTGGGGTGAGTCTACCTGTAACACCCCCGGTGTGAGCTCACGGGTTACCATGCGGGGCAGGGTGGGTGGAGGCAGGGCTGGCATGCCCCTGCAGGCGCAAAGCACACTGTCGCCAGGGTACACACGTCGGGATTTGACGGTGGAAGCCTTTGGGGATCCTGAGAATGTACAGGGGTGCTCGTGCGGCTGGGGGGGGGGGGGGGGTATCAAAACACAGGAGGAGCACGTGAGGTATTCCTGGTGCATGCTGGGAGGTGTTGGGGGGGGGGGGCGTGCACTGAGATCGAAGTGAGGGGGCGTCATGAGCGGAGCGTCCTGGGAGGTGCGGGCTGTGACTGAAATACGCCGTTGTATTCAGGGAGGGCTGCTCCGCCGCTCTGTGTGGGCAGGTAATTGGTGAGCGCTCACTATTATTAGCACGTGCTGGGGCCGGTGGAGATCACAGGGAGATGTTGGGGGGTCTGTGTGTGCGCCGGGGCGGGGTTGAGGGGAGGTCCCCACACAGCAGTGCCGGATGCCGGGGTGCGTTCTGCTTGCCTTGGGGTTCCCGGATGGGGTGGGAGCCGGGGTGTCTGGCTGTGCCTGCTGCACCCCGGGGTGCCTGGAACCGAACGGGTGTGCGATGTGGAGGTGCACGCGGGACGGCGAGGTTTGAGGCCGGGTTTGAGCTGGCCCGGGCGGGCGGGCGGGCGCTAAGATACAGGGAATGTTTTTTGAGTGTCCTGGGTACGTGAGCATTACCTACACGTGCGAGCAGGCCTTCGGGGCTGTGCTGAGGCCCACCCCCACCTCCACGGGGGATGGCATTTGCGTTTTGCCAGGACCCACCGGCTGGGCGCAGGAGGTACACTTGAGGCACACCGGGGAACAGAGGAGTCCCGCTGTCCACCGGAACTTTCCGTGGCCACGGCATGGCCTGCCTCTGCGACGGCCAGCGTGGTGGCCACCGGCCTCACGCTGAAATGCAGCGAGTGAGACTGGGGGACTGAATGGTTCCATTGGACTTTTAATTAATTTGCATATAAATAGCCACGTGCCGCTATCTAGCAGCCACCATATTGGACAGTGCCGAATAAGCACTGGGGACCTGGGGAGGTGTTGCTATAGCATATATATATATATATATATATATATATATATATATATATACACACACACATACACACCAAGTGGCCAGGTTATGATGATCTCTGAGCGCATAGTCATCTGGCCATTCAGTGTGTGTGTGTGTGTGTGTGTATGTGTGTGTGTGTGTTTGTTTATTTATTTAAATATTTATTTATTTATTTATTTATTTGAGGCCCAATGCATGAATTCATGCATGGATAGTGTCCAGCCAGCCTGGCTAGGGGAAGGGGAGATGGCGGGTGGCCGGCCTGTCTGCTGGTCGAAATCCTGGTCGAGGGGACAATTTGCATATTAGCCTTTTATTATATAGGATAGACACGGAGTGGCCAGATTATTATGCATACAGAGATCATAATAATCTGGCCACTGTATATGTAGTCAAGGAGTTGAGAGAGGCATCATCAAAGTAGACATGTCCTCTTGACTTAAAAACTTGACCGGAGACGAGGAAAGCATTCTACTGAGCGTGTTGGTGCGCTGGGCACCGTACTGAACACTATAGGTACTTGGTTGCTGCAGCATCATGGCAGGTAGAGCCCGCTGTCACAGATGCCCGGCCAGTGTGACTCAGTGGTTGAGCATCAACCCATAACCAGGAGGTCACGGTTCGATTCCTGGTCAAGGGCATATGCCGGGGTTGCGGGCTCCATCCCCAATGTGGGGCGTGCAGGAGGCAGCCGGTCCATGATTCTCTCTCATCATGGATGTTTTTGTCTCTCTCTTCCTTCCTCTCTGAAGTCAATAAGATATATATATATTTTTAAAAAGATGAGAAGCCAAAACCGGTTTGGCTCAGTGGATAGAGCGTCGGCCTGTGGACTTCAAGGGTCCCAGGTTCGATTCCGGTCAAGGGCATGGACATTCGTTGCAGGCACGTCCCTAGTAGGGGGTGTGCAGGAGGCAGCTGGTTGATGTCTCTCTTTCATCGATGTTTCTAACTCTCTATCCCTCTCCCTTCCTCTCTGTAAAAAAATCAATAAAATATATATAGTTTTTTAAAAAGATGAGGAAACTGAGACCCACACGGTGCATGTCTGGGCTCAAGGTCACAGACAGGAAGTGGCGAGCAGGGCCTGGAGCCAGGCTGTCTGGGGGGGCCTGCTGCTGAGCTCGGGAGCCGCGTGCTGAATGGATGGGTGGATGGGCGCGGACCGATGAATGAGGAAAGAGTGAGTGGGAGAGCAGGCGCCCGGGCTCACGGGGGAGGCACGGCAGCGCAGCCGGGAGCAGGAGCAGACGCGGCCGCTCCCAGTGGGTGAGGGAGGGCCTCGCTGGGATGAATGGTCCCGGAGCAGGGGCCTGGGCCACCGGGTCGCCGGTGGGGCCCGGCTCCCGGTCTCATGATCCCTTTTCCACCCACCCCGCCCCCGCCCCCGCCCCTGCCGCCCTCCCGGCCAGCGATTACATCATCAAGGAGAAGACGGTCCTGCTGCAGAAGAAGGACAGCGAGGGGTTTGGGTTCGTGCTCCGGGGGGCCAAGGGTGAGTGCCGGGAGGGGGCGGGAGGGAGGGGCTGGGGGATGGCCAGGGGGAGGGACCCCGGCCCGCCCACCACCCCAACCCCAGGGTGCCGCCACGGCAAAGCCTCCTCCAGTGACTTGGGTCTGAGCCCATCCCCTGCTCGGCCTCTCCACCCCCACCCCTCCCCTCCGACCCCGCCGGCTCCTCCCCTCTGCAGCGCAGACCCCCATCGAGGAGTTCACCCCCACCCCGGCCTTCCCGGCCCTGCAGTACCTGGAGTCGGTGGACGAGGGCGGCGTGGCATGGCGCGCGGGACTGCGCATGGGCGACTTCCTCATCGAGGTGGGTCCCGCCCCCGGCCCCCCGCCCCCGGCGCGCCCGCCACAGACACCCCGCCCGGCCCAGGGCCCGGGACAACCCTCAGGGCCCCTCGGGCTCCTCGCCGTGACCTGGCTGCCCGGGTGCAGGTTCTGCTTTGGCACCAGGCTCCCCAGCCCCCGCTTTCCGCACGGATTTACTCCGAATGGCCTTTCCGAAGTGTCTCAAATGGTGGCAGGGCTGTCCCCCATGTGGGCACGTCCTCTCTCTCATCCTCTCTCTTTCTCTCTCTGTCCCCCATATGGGCACATCCTCTCTCTCATTCTCTCTCTCTCTCTCTCTCTCTCTCTCTCTCTCTCTCTCTCTCTCATCCTCTCTCTCTCTCTCTCTCTCTCTCTCTCTCTCTGTACCCCATATGGGCACATCCTCTCTCTCATTCTCTCTCTCTCTCTCTCTCTCTCTCTCTCTCTCTCTCTCTCTCTCTCTCTCTGTACCCCATATGGGCACATCCTCTCTCTCATTCTCTCTCTCTCTCTCTGGGCTGTCCCCCACATGGGCACATCCTCTTCTCTCATCTCTCTCTCTCTCTCTTTCTCTCTCTCTCTCTCTCTCTCTCTCTCTCTCTCTCTCTCTCTCAATGTGAGCGGACAAAGAGGAAGAGAGGGGAGTGAATGGAGTGGGGTCAGTCCCTCCCACAGCCCCAAGGCCAGGAGAGTTACAGGAACGGGGGGGGGGGGGGGGGGCTCGCCAGGACAGAGGGCGGTGGGAAGGGTCCGAGGGAGGGAGGAGAGGACCCGGGGACGGGAAGCACCCCTCCCTCACCTCCCGGTGCCGCAGGTGAACGGGCAGAACGTGGTGAAGGTGGGCCACCGCCAGGTGGTGAACATGATCCGCCAGGGCGGCAACACGCTGATGGTGAAGGTGGTGATGGTGACCCGGCACCCGGACATGGAGGAGGCCGCCCACAAGAAAGGTGAGCCCGCCCCACCGGCCGCCGGCCGCCTCTCAGCCGCCCTTCCGGGCCACGGCCCTCCTGGGGAGAAACTGAGGCAGGAGCTTTCGTCGCTGCCGGTGGCGGCTCTCTGAGCTCCGGGGGCGCGCTGCGGTGGTGGCTGTGGGGGGAGGGGTGTGTCCCGGGGCTTCCCCCCCACCACGCTGCTGAGGCCTGACCCCGACCGACCGACCGACCGACCGTCCCCTTTCCAGCACCCCAGCAGGCTAAGCGGCTCCCGCCCCCAGCCATCTCCCTGCGTTCCAAGTCCATGACCTCAGAGCTGGAGGAGATGGGTGAGCCTGCGGGGCTGCCAGGGCCCAGTGTGAGGGCGAGGGGCCGAGGGGGCGGGCGTCCTCGAGTCTGTTAGTGTCGTTAGTGACCAGGGCTCCTCGTCCTCCTCCTGTCCCCCCCGTCCACGTCCACGTCCACGTCCACGTCCACGGGCCAGGGCTCCTCGTCCTCCTCCTGTCCTCCCCGTCCACGTCCACGTGCACGTCCACAGGCCGGGCTCGCTGCGGCCTGTGCGTGTGTGTGTCGCTGGGAAAGGGGCGTCTGAGAGTCGACTTTCTCTGTCCTCTTGCATTTGTCTCTTTGTCGGGGTCTCTCTCTCTCCCTCCCACCCCATTCCGGGTCTGTGTGTCCCACGCTGCAGCTGCGAGCCCCGTCTCCTGCCCCCTGGCCCCTCTCCATCTGCCCCACCACCTGCCACCAGCTGCCCCGCCCCCACCCTCCAGGCAGGCGGCGTGGACCTGCGAGTCCCATTTCCACCGACAGGGGGCGGGCCAGGCAGCTGACAGCCCCGCCCCCCGGGGGCCAGGGGGGAGGCGGGCCATCCAGACAGGGGGCCCCTCGCCTCCCCCTGACGTCCTAACTCTTGGCTCCTCTGCTGCCTCTCCCCCGGGCTAGTCTCCCCCTGGAAGAAGAAGAGTGGTGAGTGGGCACAGGACTGGCGGGCGGGCCCCCATCCCGACCCTCCCCGCCCCGCCCCCGGCCCCTCACTGCCCCCCAACCGCGCGTGCGCAGCCGCGGGGCCACGCCCCACCGGTGGCCACGCCCACCACCCGGGCCACGCCCACCGGCCGAGCGCTCCGCCCCGCCCCGCCCCGGGCGCCCTGGGCCACAGCCGCCTCCTTTGCCCACAGAGTACCAGCAGCAGCCGGCGGCGCCCCTGCCCAGCATGGAGAAGAAGCGGACCGTGTACCAGATGGCGCTCAGTAAGCGGCCCACCCTGCGCCCCCCGGCTGCCCAGGGGCCCCCCTGACTCCCATCCTGCTCCCCCATCCCGTGCCCATCCCGTGCCCCCTGCAGCCCTGGGTCCACTTTGACCCTCACCGCCCACTGACTGTCCTCACACCCAGCTTTGCCCCCGTTTCAAGTCTAAGCTGCCATCTCCCACGATGGCACCCTCGCTGCTTCTTCTTCTTCTTCTTTTTTTTTTTAAAATACATTTTATTGTTTTGTTGTTGTTTTTTTACAGAGAGGAAGGAAGAGGGATAGAGAGCTAGAAACATCAATGAGAGAGAAACATCGACCAGCTGCCTCCTGCACACCCCCCACTGGGGATGTGCCCGCAACCAATGGACATGCCCTTGTCCGCAATCGAACCCGGGACCTTTCAGTCCGCAGACCGACTGAGCCAAACCGGTTTCGGCTGCGCTCTCGCTTCTTCCCATGACCGGAGATTGTGTCTCCAATGGGGCTGCCCCCCTCTTCTCCCCCCCCCCCAATCCCCCCACCCCCCGTGGAGATAGGGGCCCTTTCCTGGTTCTCACCAGACACTAGGTGGACTCCAGGCTGCTCGGGGCCCAAGCACCCCCGTTTCGCCGTGTCCCACCCCTCTCTCCCTCCCCCAGACAAACTGGACGAAATCCTGGCGGCGGCTCAGCAGACCATCAGCGCCAGCGAGAGCCCGGGGCCCGGGGGCCTGGCCTCCCTGGGCAAGCACCGGCCCAAAGGCTTCTTCGCCACCGAGGTAGGCGCGGGGCGGGGGGACCGGGGTCTCGGGGGAAGGCATCTGACAGGCGCACACGCCAGCCTGGAGCCACCATCCCTGTCCTTGCAAACGCTTCCCGGGGTCCTCCACTCCTCCCACCCGCCCTCTGGGGCCTCCTTTCCCCTCTGCCCATCCTCTTCCTCCTCGTCTCCCCCAGATCCGCCCCTGGTCCCCTCTCTCCGCCACTCTCCACTCCTGCTCCTCCTGCTTGCTCCCTCCTGCCCATCTCCGCCCCACCCAGAAGGTCCCAGGAAGAGAAGCAGGAATGATGGAGATCCTTGGCCCAGGCCCAGCATGCACTAGGGTGCTCCACAAGTGGTGGCTGCTGAAACATTCATTAGGATCTCTGTCTTGGCCCTGCCCGCTTTTCCCTGCGAGGGAGGCTGGCTGGAGCCGTGTGGGTTGTAGGGGGGACACTATATTTTACACGGGTTACGTCATGCAATCCTTAGGAGCATCCTGTGAGGGCGCGGTAGCCCGTTTACAGAGGGGAGGGACATGGGGGGCTCAGAGAGGGAGCCCGATTTTTAAATATATATATATATTTTATTGCCAAAACCGGTTTGGCTCAGTGGATAGAGTGTCGGCCTGCAGACTGTAGGGTCCCAGGAACCCCTCTTCTCACAGGCCATACCCACCACCTGGTGGCCCAGAGGCCATTTACTTTGAAACTAGGTCCTTCGGCTTCTGGGGAGGTAGCGGGGGGCATGGACCCCTTTAAGGTAATGCTGTGAATGATGCTTGTCAAGGCATGGTGAGCCCTGGCCGGTTTGCTCAGTGGTTAGAGGGCTCGTCCTTGAACTGAAGGGTCGCAGGTTTGATTCCGGTCAAGGGCTCGATCACTGGCCCTGGTCAGGTCATGTGTGGGAGGCAACCCATCGATGCATGTCTCTCACATCAGTGTCTCTCTGTCTTCCCCCCTCCCTTCCACTCCCTCTAAAAGTCAATGGAAAAAAAATATCCGCTGGAAAGGATTAGCAAAAGCATACGGTCACATACATAAGGTACCAAAAGAAGCCAGTGACACCGAAATGCACTTACCAAAATACTTTGAAATAGCAAATTTATGATCTAGTCCTATCAGTGCCTTTTTTTTTTTTTTTTTTTTTTTTTTTTTTTTGCAACGTTAGCCAGCAAGATCTGGTAGCGAACCTTACACTCCAACCTCAAAGACAGAGGAGCATAAAGCACCGTTTTGAGACGTCGTAGTCATGGCAATGGGGTTTGGTGATAGCCCTGATTTCTGTTGGGGGTATAGTCACAGGTCTTGCATGGTTCCTGGCCTGCATTTCTAACTGAGGAAATGTTGCGTTTTTAAAAAAATACGTTTTTATTGATTTTTCAGAGAGAGAGAGAGGGAGGGAGCGGGGTGAGAGAGGAACATGATTGCTTGGCTTCCTGCTGCACACCCCCTTCTGGGGATCAAGCCCACAACCAGGGCCTGTGCCCTGACTGGGAATTGAACCAGTGACCTCTTGGTTCCTGGTTCAATGCTCAACCGCTGAGCATTTTAATTGGAGGATAATGAAAAAATAAAAGTTAAAAATAAAGATGTAGTGTTTTCTCCCGTCCAAGTGCCTAGACCCCCTGAAGTCTGTCCATAGTCCCCTGCTAAGGGTTTGATGGCCCATTCTAGAGGCTCTGGTACTTATACAAGAACCCAGTGCACGCTGAAGCCAGTTTGGCTCAGTGGATAGAGCATCGGTCTGCAGACTGAAGGGTCCCAGGTTCAATTCCGGTCAAGGCCATGTACGTTGGTTGCAGGCACATCCCCGGTAGGGGGTGTGCAGGAGGCAGCTGGTCGATGTTTTCTCTCTCATCGATCTCTCTAGCTCTCAATCCCTCTCTCTTCCTCTCTGTAAAAAATCAATAAAAATATATTCAAAAAACAAAAAACAGCCCAAGCCGGTTCGGCTCAGTGGATAGAGCGTCGGTCTGCGGACTGAAAGGTCCCGGGTTCGATTCCGGTCAAGGGCATGTACGTTGGCTGCGGGCACATCCCCAGTGGGGGATGTGCAGGAGGCGGCTGGTCGATGTTTCTCCCTCATCGACGTTTCTGGCTCTCTATCTCTCTCCCTTCCTCTCTGTAAAAAATCAATAAAAATATATATTGCTTAAAAAACCAACAATCTGGGGACCCCACCGTGACTTGTGCACCCCAGAGGCCCCACGGTAGCCCATCAGGCTCAGTGCCAAGCCTCCAATACCAGGCCAGGGTGTTCACTGGGCGACTCATGGAGCGCCAGGCAGCCAGGGGGCCACCCCCACCCTGCGCCATGAACCGTGGTTGCAGGAGAGACGAAACCCTGGGCCCCAGGAGTTCACCGTCTGAGCACCAAAGACACCCCCAGGTAGGGCCAAACACCTGCCAGTAGTAACACCCGCTGCCCACCCCCCCTGCCCCCCCTCCCCCGCCACGAGGTCTTCCTTGGGGCCTCCCTCCCCTCCTGGTCCCAGAGGCCAGTGGTCGTTTTTCCCACCAGACCTCCCCTTTTCCTCTCTCCCTCCAGCCTGTCCCTGGGCCCTCCCTCTCACATGGCGGCTCTCCCTCCCTTCTCACCGGCCTCCCGACCGTCCTCACCGTGAGCCCCGATGTTTCAGGTCTCCTCTCCGGCCCCTCTCCTGGCCTGTGGTCTTGTCCTCTGTGTGTCCGTCTCCCGTTTGTTCCGGCTTCTGTCTCCTCCTCACTCTCCCACGTGGAGCCCTCTGCTCGGGACCAGAGGGGACAGGTGGCTAGTGTGGCCTCTTTATATATATATTTTTTTCTTTAAATTGATTTCAGAGAGCCCTAGCCGGTTTGGCTTGGTGGATAGAGCATCGGCCTGCGGGCTGAAGGGTCCCAGGTTCGATTCCGGTCAAGGACACGTGCCTGGGTTGCGGGCTCCAATCCCAATGGGGGGTGTGCAGGAGGCAGCGGATCAATGATTGTCTTTGTACATGTCCTTGACTGGAATTAAACCAGGGACCTTTCAGTCTGCAGGCTGATGCTCTATCCACTGAGCCAAACCAGCTAGGCCCCTCTGATCATTTTTTAAAATACATTTTTATTGATCTTAGAGAGGGAGGGAGAGAGAGAAACGTCAACGATGAGAGACAATCATCAACCGGCTGCCTCCTGCATGACCCCCCCGGGGATTGAGCCCAACCCTGGGCATGGGAATCGAACTGTGACCTCCTGGTTCATAGGTCAACACTCAACCACTGAGCCCTGCCAGCTGGGTCCTCTAATCGTTTTTTGTTTTTGTTTTTTGTTTTGTTTTGTTTTTAAATATATTTTATTGATTTTTTTTTTTTTTTACAGAGAGAAAGGGAGAGAGATAGAGAGTTAGAAACATTGATGAGAGAGAGAGAAACGTTGATCAGCTGCCTCCTGCACACCCCTTACTGGGGATGGGCCCGCAACAAGATACATACCCTTGACCGGAATCAAACCTGAGACCCTTCAGTCCGCAGGCGGACGCTCTATCTACTGAGCCAAACCAGTCAGGGCCCAATAATCATTTGTATCACACCCTCTCGGTTGCATTCTCTGCCTCAGTCTCCCCTGGGACCGCTCCAGCCCTCTCCATTCTAGGGCCTCTCAGCACTGACTTTCTCTCCTGCTCTCACGGGTGGCTTTTCCTTCCCATCGCTGTCACAATTCCTCTCCTGCCTCTCAATCTCTGTGTCTCCCTTCTCTGGAACTGAGTCTCTGTCCCTGTCTCCCCCATCTCTCTCTTCTCTCCCATCTCTCTGTCTTATCTGTCTCTCCATCTGCCTCCCCCTCCAATCTCGCTCCCCGGACCCCTCCCAGGGGCGGTCTCCACAGCGCGAGTTTCCTAGCCCATCCTCAGCCTCCAGCCCCTGTGTGTTCAGCACTGGGGCACAGACTCTGTCCCCGAGGCACCAGACCCACAGGCCACCCGCGAGGGGGCACAGGAGGAGGCTGGGCCTCTGGACCACTGGCTGGGGAGGAGTCTGCCCGGCAGCCGGTGACGTCACGTTCACCAGGCGCATCCCGATTGGCTGTCCCCTCCACACGCGCGGGAGAGGGTGCTGCCTGGTTGTTGGTTTGCTGATGGAGGTCAGCCTGTCCCACCTGGAGTCAGTCCGCCTGTCCAGCAGGCAGTGCGCCTCCTCAGAGGCTGTTATGGCTCCTCTGCCTCCTCATGACCATTATTTGATCCCTCCCTTCCAATTCGACATGTCCTCGGTCAGTTTGCAGATCGGATGCCTCTCTCTTTATTCTGCACCCTCTTCAGTTAGGGGCTCTGTTCCTCTGTCACTGTGGCTCCTCTTCTATCTCTCTGCACCCCCCCCCCAACCCCCTGTCGCCGTCCCGCCGGCTCCCATCCTTCCCAGGCCCACCTCATGCAGGATGCTTCTCGCACCTTCCTCCCCGCCTCACAGCCATCCCCTTGCCCGTCCCCCACGCACGTCCTCTCCAGCCTGCTCCTGTCCCTGCGTCCCTTCTGACAGCCACATCCCTTCCTTTGCTCCTTGTATCCGCCTTCCCTCTTACTTTTTAACCTCAGCATTTTCTAGTCACTCCCCTCTGTTCTCCACAACGGCCCTGTCACCTCCTCCTTACATACTGGCTGGCCTAGGTCAGTGGTCAGCAAACTGCGGCTCGTGAGTCACATGCGGCTCTTTGGCCCCTTGAGTTTTTAGCAAAGGCCAGCTAAGGAGAACCCTAATTATGTTAATAACAATGTACCTGCCTATATAGTTTACGTTTCAAAAACGTGGCTCTCAAAAGACATTTCAGTCGTTGTCCTGTCGATATTTGGCTCTGGTGACTAATGAGTTTGTTGGCCACTGGCCTAGGACATGACCATCTCCTTGACCCATAGCCTCTTTCATGGCCATCAGAATGGGTGTAACCAACCCTAAGACACAGCGTTGAGGATTCAGTGAGGACTTAACACGTAAAACAGCCGGCAAAGTGGCTTGCCCAGAAATGGCCCCCTTCACTTCCTCTCTCTCTCTCTCTCCCTCTCTCTCTCTCCATCTCTCCCTCTCTCTCTCTCTCTCTCTCTCTCTCTCTCTCTCTCTCTCTCTCTCTCTCTCCATCTCTCTCTCTCTCTCTTCACCTATCTCTCTCTCTCCATCTCCCCCCCCTCCATCTCTCTCTCACACACACACACCCATCACCACCCCACACTCTCCTCCTTTGCGGGGTTCGGCTCCCTGGTGCCACACAGAGCATTCTGAGCTGCAGGACAGGATGTTCGGCGGAAGCTTAGGAGAAAGGCTTCAGGAGGATGTCTGAGGAAAATATGCAGCCAAGGCCAGAAGAGTTGGCAGCTGAGAACCCTGCTCAGAGGAGATGAGAATTGGGGAGACCAGTCAAAAGGCACCCCTTTAGGGGCACAGAACTGGCGTCTGGCCTTCAGGCTACCCCCTACCTTGTGAGCGTGTGTCACTTCCATTCAGTCCTTCATTCTACAAATATATATATTTTTAAATATATTTTATTGATTTTTTTTCCAGAGAGGAAGGCAGAGGGAGAGTTAGAAACATCAATCAGCTGCCTCCTGCACACCCCCTACTGGGGATCAAGCCCACAAGCCAGGCATGTGCCCCTGGATAGAATCAAATCTGGGACCCTTCAGTCCACAGGCGGATACTCTATTCACTGAGCCACACTGGCTAGGGCTACAAACATTTCTTGAGCACCTACTATGTGCTAAATCTGCTGCTGGACCCTGGGGGTGTAGGAGTGAACCAGCCAAGCATCCCTTAGGAAATTTACCTCTTGTGGGGGAGAAGGGAGTTGTGGAACTTACAAACAACAGTGCCGGATGTTGGGTCTTTCTTAGTCACTTGTCCATTTGACCTGAGCTGTAGAGTATCAGCCCTGTGTAGGGCCTGGGGACCCACCATGGAACCAGAATAACAAAGTCACTATCCTCCAGAAATTACCCATTACCCTTTTTATTTTTATTTTTTAATTTCAGAGAGGAAGGGAGAGGGAGAGGAAATAGAAACATCAATGATGAGAGATAATCATTGATTGGCTGCCTCCTACATGCCCCTCACTGGGGATCAAGCCCACAATCTGGGCACATGCCCTGACTGGGAATTGAACCCTGAGCTCCTGGTTCAAAGGTCAGCACTCAACCACTGAGTCACGCTGGCCGGGCAGTTATCCATGACATTTAAAATATATATATATATTTTTAATTGATTTTAGAGAGGAAAAGAGAGGGGGAGAGAGAGAGATAGAAACATCAATGATTGCAGAGAATCACCAATTGGCTGCCTCCTGCACACACCCCCCACCCCCAGTGGGGTTTGAGCCTGAAACTCGGGCATGTTTCCTGATGGGAATTGCACTGTGGTTGATAGGTCAACCCTCAACCACTGAGCCACACCGCTGGGCTTCTCCGTGACTTTCATGGGCCTTTAGCAATTTTGCCTTCTGAGTCCCTACCTTCTAAAAAAAAAAAAAAAAAAAAAAAAAAGTTAAAAAAAATCTGTATTTTATGACTGTGTTAATACCATGATGAATATTCAAACGGGGCATCTGAGTCTGGGTCCCCTATAGTCCAAGCCTGATGTGGGGATTCTTATGCCAACTAAGTGGGGGAGGGGGGGAATGGGCTTCAGGGGATGGCAGACCTGACACCCCCCCCACACACACACACACATACACGCGCACACACAGCTCTGGAGTGTGACCTGCCTGGGGCGTTGATCCTGCCTTGGACCTCCGTGTCAGTCAGTCGCTGGCTGCAGGTGGCTCCCACACGTGGGGGCACATAACCACTTGGGCAGGTCCCCCCTGTGGGGGAGGGCGATTCTTCAGAGCCGAAAGCACGTAACGCAGCCGCTGGGGATGGGCAGGGCATCCGGCCAAGGGGATCTGGTTCGGCTGGGAATTCAGACCCCCTTCTCCCCGAGGTGGGGAGGTGTGACTATAGGGTTTTAAACAGGGCAATAGCATGACCTGAGTTACTTTTTTAAATACTTTTTTTAAAAAAAATTAATTTCAGAGAGGGAGAGAGAAACATCGATGAAAGGGGATCATTGGTCGGCTGCCTCCTGCACGCCCCATGCTGGGGACCGAGTCCACAACCATCATCACCTCCTGGTTCATAGGTCGATGCTCAACCACTGAATCAGCTGGGCCTGAATTACTTTTTGAAAAGATCCCTCTGCCCTAGTTGGTGTGGCTCAGTGGGTAGAGCATCGGCCTGCAGACAGAAGGGTCCCAGGTTCCACTGGGGCAAGGGCTTGTACCTTGGTTGCAGGCTCCTTCCAGGCCCAGACAGAGGCAACCAATCGATGTGTTTCTCTCACATCCATGTTTCTCTCTGTCTTTCCCTCTCTCTTCCACTTTCCCTAAAAATCAATAGAAAAATATCCTCAGTGAGGATTAACGACAACAGAAAGAGCCCTCAGGCCCTTTGTGGGAAGCAGGCCAGAGGGTTTGGGGGGTAGAGTGGGACAAGGGAAGAGGGTACTGCCGCCCTCAGGCTGCTGGGGACTTGGACCTGGGTGGTGGCTGCAGGAATGGAGAAAAGGACCCGGATTAGTGTGGGATGCCGGGGAAACAGAGCACACAGGGTTGACCAAAAAAAAAAAAAAAAAAAAAAAATCTCCCTTTTCCTTTCTTTCTCTCCATTGCCTGGACTCAGAAACCTTTCTGTCCACAAGAATTCCGTTCCACCTCCTGCAGGCCCCGCCCCTCTATGCAGGCCTCGCCCCCTTCCGGCCAAGGACCGGGAGCAGGGATGGGGTTTGGCCGGCTAGGAGCCTGCATCTTCCTTGCACTGACCCTTCTTTGCTATCTCTTCTCTCTCCTCCCCGGCTGCCACCCCAAAGTCGAGCTTCGATCCCCACCACCGCTCGCAGCCGAGCTATGAACGGCCTTCCTACCTGCCTGCAGGACCTGGGCTTATGCTCCGGCAAAAATCTATTGGTATGTCACCGTCACTGCCACCGGGAGCGTGGGTGTCAGGGATGCAGGCAGGGGCAGCCTGCAAGGGTGGCGTTCTCAGCAGAAACGGGGGGGCCGGGACGCGAGCACAGTTCCGTGGCGCCGGGCAGACCTGGGTGTGGATCCTGGCCCTTGTCCCTCCCAGCTGTGTGACCTGGGGCAGGTGGCTCTCTTTCTCTGGGCTGAGGGCTCTGCATCTAGAAAATGGGGAGATGGCTGCCCCGGCCCAGACGCAGAATGTCGTCCCCACCACAGACCCTGGTTCCTTCTCTCTTTTACTTGGCTTCATTCATTCACTCATTCATTCATTCATTTTACATGAGTTTATTGAGCACTACCATATGCCAGGTTAGACTTGGGGGGGGGGGGATATGTCAGAGAAGAAAACGGACTGAGGAGCCCAGCCCTTGTGGCATTTACATGATAGAAAGACAGACAACATACTAAAAGGATAAGAAACAAGAAAGTGATACTGTCTGTTAAAGGTGATAAGTGCTATGGAAAAAACAGAAAACGTAGAGTATGATAAGAGAGGTCACAAGTGCCGGTGAGGGCAGGTTTGGGCTGAAATGTGGAAATAAAGCCAGGAGCCATGGAGGTACCCAGCGGGGAGGGCTTCCAGGCAGCAGGCACAGCTCGTGCAAAGGCCCTGGGGTAGGACCAAGCTGCCATTGGCTAAGGCGGCAGAGACCAGGGGCAGGAGGAGGTCAGGAGCTCGGTGAGGGGCCCGCTAAGTCTGAGATGCCGGTGAGACACAAAGTGGGTGTGGCATTCAGATCTGGGAGCCGGGAGCTCAGGAGAGAGCCATTGGTCCCGAGACAAAGGTGGGAGTCTTAAGCTGAGAAGTAATGAATGGAGCCTCTGGGACTCTGGTCAAGGGAGAGAGAGAGAGTAGCCAGAGGCTTGGAGGAGAGCATCAAAGACAGCCCTGACAGGCGAGAAGCTGGCCAAAGACTTCACTCCTCCACTCTTCGCCGAGTCGTCCGGTAATTGGGTCTAGCGCTTCCTGAGCTTCCAGGGTCCACAGCCTACCAGCTTGGTCTCTCATCTGTGAGATCTACCTACCTCTCATCATTTACCTAATGCCATCCACCCAAACTCCACACAGCATCGCACCCCTGCCAAACGCCTCCCTCTCTTGTTTATTTATTTTATGTGTGTCACATCACCTGTCAATTCCTAGTTATTATTTTTGTCCACATGCTGTTATGTGTGTGCCGTTTGAGGTCCTCGATGGCAGAGACACCTTTATTTTTTTCATCTTTGTATTTTTTTAATTAAATCTTTATTGTTGAAAGTCTTACATATGTCCCTTCCTTTCCCCCACTAACCCCTTCTAGCCCCCTTCCCACACCCTCCCTCCACCCCAGGCCTTCACCACCCTGTTGCCCTGTGTCCTTGGGTTATGCATATATGCATACAAGGTCTTTGGTTGATCTCTGTCCACCCACCCACCCACCCACCCCCGCCTGCCCTCTGAGATTCCGCCAGCAGCTCCCTCTTAGTAGCTTCATCGTGAGCAGTTCTGCCTGTGAAACCCCAGGTTTGATGTGCTCATTGCATAAAGAAATCTATCATTAGTGCACATCAAGCCACTTTCGCTCACCTCACCCCAAGCCGCGGCTGCCACCACCAGCCTGTACCGTGTGGCTGTGTGAATTAGAAACGGCGCCCCCACCTGGCCTGGGGTGGAAGTGCAGCTGAGTTTCACCCCAGCCCCCTTTGCCCCCTTTGCTGTCGGGCGGTGCACGCGCTATGTTACTGCATCCTGCATCGAGCTGGTTTGGATGCACCGTAGCTGGGGGAGCTCTGGACGAATCCTTGGGAAGGTCTCCCATGTATGGGCGCCATCATCATCATCATCAACAACAACATCGTTATTATGATCCCTTTCCCGAGGATGTGGCTCCGCGGAATGGGGGAGGGGAGAACAGGGAGACCCCCACCCCGTCCCATCCCTGCCTCCTCCGTGTCTCCCCAGGGGCTGCGGAGGACGACAGGCCTTACCTAGCGCCCCCGAGCATGAAGTTCAGCCGCAGCCTGTCCGTGCCCGGCTCGGAGGACATCCCCCCGCCCCCCACCACGTCCCCGCCCGAGCCCCCCTACAGCACGCCGCCCGCCCCCTCCATCTCGGGCCGCCTCACGCCCTCCCCCCGCTTCAACCCCAGCTCCGGCGGCGCCCTCCCCGCCTCCTCCCCGGCCTCCTTCGACGGGCCCTCGCCTCCGGACACCCGCCTGGGCGGCCGGGGGGAGAAGGGCCTGTACCACGGCGCGGCCCTGCCCCCCGCCCTGCACCACCCGCCGCACCACCACCACCACCACGCGCCGCCGCCGCAGCCGCACCACCACCACGCGCACCCCCCGCACCCGCCCGAGATGGAGACGGGCGGCTCCCCCGACGACCCCCCGCCCCGCCTGGCCCTGGGGCCGCAGCCGAGCCTGCGCGGCTGGCGGGGCGGCGGGCCCAGCCCCACGCCGGGCGCCGCGTCCCCGTCGCACCACGGCGGCGGCGCGGGCGGCGCGGGCGGCCCCTCGCAGGCCCCGGCGCTGCGCTACTTCCAGCTGCCGCCGCGCGCCGCCAGCGCCGCCATGTACGTGCCCGCGCGCTCGGGCCGCGGCCGCAAGGGCCCGCTGGTCAAGCAGACCAAGGTGGAGGGCGAGCCGCACAAGGGCGGCCTCCCGCCCGCGCCCTCGCCCGCGCCCGCCTCGCCCGCGTCCCCGCAGCCGCCGCCGCCGCCCGCCGCGGCCGCCGCGTCGTCGGAGAAGAACTCCATCCCCATCCCCACCATCATCATCAAGGCGCCGTCCACCAGCAGCAGCGGCCGCAGCAGCCAGGGCAGCAGCACCGAGGCCGAGCCGCCGCCGCCGCCGCCGCAGCAGCAGCAGCAGCAGCAGCCGCAGGCGCAGCAGCCGGGCCCCGAGGGCGCGGGCGGCTCCTCCTCCTCCGCGCCCGGCGGCTCCCCCGCGCCGCCCGCGCCGCCGTCCCCGACGCCCGCGCCCGCGCCCGCCTCGCCCAGCGGCCCGGCCACCCTGGACTTCACCAGCCAGTTCGGGGCGGCCCTGGTGGGGGCGGCGCGGCGCGAGGGCGGCTGGCAGAGCGAGGCCCGCCGGCGCTCCACGCTCTTCCTCTCCACCGACGCGGGCGACGAGGAGGGCGGCGGCGACGGCGCGCTGGGCTCGGGCGCGCCCCCGGGCCCGCGGCTGCGCCACTCCAAGTCCATCGACGAGGGCATGTTCTCCGCCGAGCCCTACCTCCGCCTGGAGGCCGGCGGCGGCGGCGGCGGCTACGGGGGCTACGGCGCCGCCGGCCGCGCCTACGGGAGCAGCGGGGGCAGCAGCGCCTTCACCAGCTTCCTGCCGCCGCCGCGGCCCCTGGTGCACCCGCTCACCGGCAAGGCCCTGGACCCCTCCTCCCCGCTCGGCCTGGCGCTGGCGGCCCGCGAGAGGGCGCTCAAGGAGTCGTCGGAGGGCGGGGGCGCCCCGCAGCCGCCCGCCCGGCCGCCGTCGCCCCGCTACGAGGTCCCGCCGCCCGCCACCCCGCACCACCACCACTCGCCCCTCGCCCACCACCACCACGAGCCGGTGCTGCGCCTCTGGGGCGCCGCCCCCCCGGACCCCGCGCGCCGGGAGCTGGGGTACCGGGCGGGGCTGGGCGGCCCCGAGAAGCCGCTCACGGCCAGCCCGCCCGCCGCGCGGCGCTCGCTGCTGCACCGCCTGCCGCCCACGGCGTCGGGGGTCGGGCCGCTCCTCCTGCAGCTGGGCCCGGAGCCCCCCGCGCCGCTCCCCGGCGGCGTGAGCAAGGCCTGGCGGGCCGGGGCCGCCGACGAGCCCGAGCGGCTGCCCTTGCACGTGCGGTTCCTGGAGAACTGCCAGCCGCGGGCCGGGGGCGCGGGGGGCCGGGGTCCCCCCGCGGAGGACGGCCCGGGGGTGATCGCCGCGCCGCCCAGCCCGCGCCGCTCCGTGGCCCCGGCCTCGCCCACCTCCCCGCGCGGCGGCGGCGGCGGCGGCGGCGAGGAGAACGGGCTCCCCCTGCTGGTCCTGCCGCCGCCCGCCCCCTCCGTGGACGTGGAGGACGGCGAGTTCCTGTTCGCCGAGCCGCTGCCGCCGCCGCTGGAGTTCTCCAACAGCTTCGAGAAGCCCGAGTCGCCGCTCACGCCGGGGCCCCCGCACCCCCTGCCGGACCCCCCGACCCCGACCACCCCGCTGCCCCCCGCCGCCGCCGCCGCGGCCCCCGGCGCCGCCGCCCCGCCCACCCTGGACTCCACCGCCTCCAGCCTCACCTCCTACGACAGCGAGGTGGCCACGCTGACCCAGGGCGCGCCCGCGGCCCCGGGGGACACCCCCGCGCCCGGCCCGCCGGCCCCAGCCGCCGCCCCGGCCGCCCCCGCGCCCCAGCCCGGCCCGGACCCCCCGCCCGGCACGGACTCCGGCATCGAGGAGGTGGACAGCCGGAGCAGCAGCGACCACCCGCTGGAGACCATCAGCAGCGCGTCCACGCTCAGCAGCCTGTCGGCCGAGGGCGGCGGCAGCGCGGGCGGCGGCGGGGGCCCTGGGACCGGGGTGGCCGCCGGGCCGGAGCTGCTGGACACCTACGTGGCCTACCTGGACGGCCAGGCCTTCGGGGGCAGCGGCCCCTCCGGCCCCCCGTACCCCATGACTCCGTCTAAGCTCCGCGGCAGCCGGGCCCTGGGGGCCGGCGGCGGGGGCCTGCGCTCCAGCCCCGGCGGGGGCCTCCGCGACCCCGTCACCCCCACGAGCCCCACCGTCTCCGTGACCGGGGCCGGGACGGACGGGCTGTTGGCCCTGAGCGGCTGTTCGGGACCCTCGGCGGCGGGTGTGACGGGGGGTCCGGTGGCTGTGGAGCCGGACGGGCCGCCGGTGGTGCCCCTGTCGTCGTCCGCGTCGTCCCTGCCGCGGAAGCTGCTGCCCTGGGAGGAGGGCCCCGGCCCGCCGCCGCCGCCGCTGCCCGGGCCCCTGGCCCCCGCGCAGGCCTCCGCCCTGGCCACCGTGAAAGCCAGCATCATCAGCGAACTCAGCTCCAAGCTCCAGCAGTTCGGGGGCTCGTCCTCCTCGGCGGCGGGGGGCGCCCTGCCCTGGGCCCGGGCCGGCAGCGGCGGGAGCACGGACAGCCACCACGGGGGAGCTAGCTACGTCCCCGAGAGGACCTCCTCCCTGCAGCGGCAGAGGTGAGCGGGGACTGCGGGTCGGGGGCCGAGGAAGCCAGAGTCCACCTTCCCCGGAGCCCTGTAAGATCCCAGGGGGTAGGAAGAAATCAGGAGCCGGGCTGGCTCCCCGACATTTGCCCTTAAAGAAGCATGCTTCCCCTTTATCTCAGTAGCGTCTGTGGTCTCCTCCCATCACCATGACAACCCACAGCCCATGAACCAAAAGAGTTACCAACAAAGGAGATTAAATATATATATATATATATATATATATATATATATATATATATATATATATATATATATATTTATTGATTTTGTACAGAGAGGAAGAGAGATAGAGAGTTAGAAACATCGATGAGAGTCATCCATCAGCTGCCTCTTGCACACCCCCTACTGGGGATATGCCCGCAACCAAGGTACATGCCCTTGACCGGAACCGAACCCGGGACCTTTCAGTCCCCAAGCTGACGCTCTATCCATTGAGCTAAACCGGTTTCGGCTAAAAAAAAAAATATATATATATATATATATATTGATTTTTTTTTTTTTTAACAGAGAGGAAGGGAGAAGGATAGAGTTAGAAACATCGATGAGAGAGAAACATCAGCTGCCTCCTGCACGCCCCCTACCGGGGGTGTGCCATAACCAAAGTACATGCCCTTGACCGGAATCGAACCTGGGACCCTTCAGTCCGCAGGCCGACGCTCTATCCAGTGAGCCAAAACGGTCAGGGCAGCCAAGGAGATTGGAGCACAAACTTGCAGATGTCTGTGTCCTTCTCGGGTTGTCAGTTCTGAAGACCGCTGAAATCTGCCAGTCCCTTGAGCCCTCTGGAGGGGAGTGGGGGGCCTCAAGACCAGATGCGTTAGGGCACGGTGGTTAGGTGTGTGGTCCTGGAGCCAGCCCTGCGTTTTCTAACTGGGTGGCCGTAGGCAAAGGAATCACCATAGCATAAGGTGACCAGACGTCCCGCGGGACTGTCCCGCCAAAAAGTGGGACGTCTGGTCACCTTACCATAGCACCCACCTAAAAGGCCTGCAGAGGCCATTGTGATAACCTGAGCTGGAGGAGGGGCGGGGCCTCTTACAAACACCCAGCAAGCATAGATGGGGAATGACCCCACCCCCCCGATGGTGCCTATGTGTTCCAAAGCAGCTGGCCAGCTGGGATCGCCAAGTTCAAGTTCACTCTAGTCTTAGGGAAAGTAGAGTCACATTCCTGATTTAGACACCCCAGAGAATGAAGCGAGGTTTTGTGTGTTTTTTAAATTCCCTGCCCATCTGTGGAGTTCACTCTAATTGTTTGAAGGTCTGATGTCCTTTGAACGTGGCTTTATCAGGCCATTGAGGATTCTTTTTTTTTTAATATATTTTTATTGATTTTGTACAGAGAGGAAGGGAGAGAGATAGAGAGTTAGAAACATCGATGAGAGAGAGTCATCGATCAGCTGCCTCTTGCACACCCCCCACTGGGGATATGCCCGCAACCAAGGTACATGCCCTTGACCGGAATCGAACCTGGGACCCTTCAGTCCCCAAGCCAACGCTCTATCCATTGAGCCAAACCGGTTTCGGCCATTGAGGATTCTTTAAAAATATCTATATCTATATCTATATCTATCTATATAGATAGATAGATAGATAGATACATAGATTATTGATTTTTTACAGAGAGGAAGGGAGATAGAGTTAGAAACATCAATGACAAAGAAACATCCATCAGCTGCCTCCTGCACACCTCCTCCTGGGGATGTGCCCACAACGAAGGGTACATGCCCTTGACCGGGATCGAACCCAGGACATTTCAGTCCGCAGGCCAAAGCTCTATCCACTGAGCCAAACTGGTTAGGGCCCATTGAGGATGCTTAAGTATTTTGGATAGAGAAAAGGATGCTTAATGTAGGCAACAGCTGAACCGATTATTTACCACCTACTAGGTGCCGGGTGCCCTTATGGGTGAGAGGGCGCCCCCCAGTGGACAGGACAGGCAAAGTGTTGCCCTCAGAGCTCACAGCCTAATGAGACAGAGGGAGAGGCCAGACGGCAAAATAACTGCAGTTTGGGGGGCCGGGGGAGGGCATGCAGTAAGGGGATGGATAGAGAAGGTCCCTCAAGAGCAAGAGGAGTAGAGACTGGAGGAGGGGGGAGGGAAGCAAACCCAGAGCTGCTTGGGGGAACAGCGAGCTAGGCAGAGGGAACAGCCAGTTCAAACCCCCTGAGGCTGGACTGTTCCGGAGGGAGCTAAAGGGATGAGGGGAACCTTTTCCTCCCCTCGTTTCTTCTCTCTTTCATCTCCCTCTCCTCATCTCTCTCTCTTTCTCTGTTCCCCGCCCCCCTCCATCTCTCTCTCCCCCCAATGCTCACCTTCTTTTTGTTCCTCTCCCACCGTCTCCCTGTCTTCCACTCCGCTGTGACTGGCCATAACCCAAAAGGCAGTATAGAATAGTGGTTAAGAGCTCAGACTTCGGTGCCATCTAACCGGGCTCTGCCACTTCCTGGCTGTGTGTCCTTAGGCAAGTTCCTTAACCTCTCTGTGCCGACGACAATAAACAGCAACCCGCACCGGGGCGGCCGTGGGGGGTGCTCAATTGAGATGCGATGCGCAAAGCACGTAGAACAATGCCTGGCACACGTGAGCATCAGTAAGTGGTGGAGATGATGATTATTATCACTTAATGTCTCTTTTTCTTTCATCTCTCTCGACTGTCACCCTCTCCCTGTCCTCTCATTTCTCTCTTCCCTCCATCTCTGTCCTGACATCCATCTTCCCCCTCCCCCGCCCCCAACTCGCTCCTTCTCTCTCTTCTCTATCTCTTGACCCCGCCCCTATGTCTTCCTTCCTTCCTCTCTCCCTCCATCTGGACCTGTTCCTCTTTCTCACCTGCCCTCACCCCACCCCCACCCCCTGCCCTCCACCCCGCCCCCCTTGTCACATTCCAGACTGTCCGAAGACTCCCAGTCCTCCCTCCTCACCAAACCCGTGAGCAGCCTGTTTCAGAACTGGCCCAAAACGCCCCTGCCGCCGCTGCCCACGGGGACCGGAGTCCCCTCCGCCGCCGCCGCGGCCCCGGGGGCCACCTCGCCCTCGGCCGCCTCCTCCGCGTCCACCCGCCACCTCCAGGGCGTGGAGTTCGAGATGCGGCCGCCCCTGCTCCGCCGGGCGCCCAGCCCCTCGCTCCTGCCCGCGTCGGAGCACAAGGTCAGCCCTGCGCCCCGGCCCTCGTCCCTGCCCATCCTGCCTTCCGGACCCCTCTACCCGGGCCTCTTTGACATCCGAAGCTCTCCCACGGGAGGGGCCGGAGGCTCGGCCGACCCCTTCGCCCCGGTCTTCGTGCCACCGCACCCCGGGATGTCCGGGGGCCTCGGGGGAGCCCTGTCCGGGGCCTCCCGCTCCCTCTCGCCGACCCGCCTGCTTTCGCTGCCCCCGGACAAGCCTTTCGGCGCCAAGCCCCTGGGCTTTTGGACCAAGTTCGACGTGGCCGACTGGCTCGAGTGGCTGGGCCTGGCCGAGCACCGGGCCCGCTTCCTGGACCACGAGATCGACGGCTCCCACCTGCCCGCCCTGACCAAGGAGGACTACGTGGACCTGGGCGTGACCCGCGTGGGCCACCGCATGAACATCGACCGGGCTCTCAAATTCTTCCTGGAGAGGTGATGGCTGGCCCGGACGGACCAGCCCGTCCGCGGAACGCTGGGGCTCGCCGGCCTCCGGACCTCTGACCCCTGACCGTTATTCTCTCCCCGGGCCAGGGGCCTTGCTACAACTGTGCCCTGCCCCCATCTCCCGAGGCTGGAGGTCACCGGGTGGCCTGATTCCAGCCAGACATTTGCACCTCGCCGGAGGGGGCAGCTAACGGGACTGTGTGTGCAGCTGGGAGCCGAGGGGGCGGGCACGGAAGAGACCGGAGGGGGAAGGAGGAGGAGGGAAGGGTCGATTCCGGGGAGGGGGGACCGACAGCCATAGAGGGCCAGCCCCGAGCCTGACTGGGTGGGGGGGAGGGTCGTCCCCCAGGCCGCAGGGGAAGGGGGTGCCCTCAGATTCCACCACCTGCCACCCCTCCAACAACCAATCCTTCCCCCCTTCTCCAGGCCCCTCCGTTCTCCCCGCCTTCCCCTCCCTCAGCACACACAGCGGCCCCCCCCACCCAGCCTCTTGCACGCCCCTTTGCACGCCTGCTTGCCTCTCCCCGCTCCCTCGGCTACAATTTTGCACAAATTTGCCCCCTCGCCGTCTTGCACACGCCGCCGCCTTTGCTTCTGGCCTGCGAGGCCTCAGCTCTGCTCCCCTCGCGCTCATCGCCCCGCGCTCCCGGCTCCGGCTTGCACGCTTGCTTATGCCCCATGCACCTCCTCCTGGGAACCTCCGGGCCCTTGCTGCAGACACACTTGGGACACCCGCCTCCTCCCCCTCTTCCCCCCACGCTCCCAGGCTCCATGCACACGCCGATTCTCTGGAATCCCCTTCTCTCCCTTCAGCCCTTGCACACCCGCCGTCCGTCCGTCCGGCGCGTCTCTCCGGACATGCTCGCCTCCGATTTCTTTAAGCACTTTGCCCTCTTATTCTGGAACCCGACATCCTTCCCCTGCCCGCCGCCGCCTGCCACGTGACACCCGACCACGCCCCCTCGTTGCCCCGCCCCTCATTGCCCCGCCCCCTCGCCCTGTCACTTCCATCGCGTGGCTTCCCGGGGACTGTTTCTCTCTCCATGCTCATTCCTCTCCTCCCTGCCGGGCTCCCGCGCTCTCGCCCCTTCCTTCCTCTTCGTCATCTTTGTCCACCCCCATCGCCTCTTTTGTGGACCGTCTCGCACACGCATTCTTGCACACGCATCCTCCCGCACTTCCGTCCCGGAAGCCCCTCTCTGTTCCTTCAGGATGCCCTCGCACCCCGGCTTTGCTGCGCTCTCATTCCTGAGTTTCGACTCGTTCTTGTCAGCTCCTGGGCCACGTCCTCCATCTCCCTTTGGGGAACACTTGCCTTTTGCACACGGGCCCCCTCCACACTCCCGGGGGCCCCCTCCACACCCGGGCCTGTCTGACCGCTTCCTGTCCCGGCCGGCGCCCGTGTGTTCTGTCCCGGGAAGGAACCGCTCCGCAGCCTCCTCTCTGCCCGTTCTCTCCCGTCTCCACGCGCTTCTCCCTCTCCGGCCAGAGAGGATCACGTCCTGCTCCCCCCGCGTCCCCTCCCGGCTGAAGGCTGTGCCCTCTGGCGCAGGCTCCCTCCCCGCGCTCCTCCCAGTCTGTCGTTCCCGGCCGTCTGTCTTTCCATTTTGCACGAAGGCCGTCGTGTCCCCCCTCTCCGCCCTCTAACCCTCCAGTCTCTCCGAGAAACTGCCCCCTCCAGCATGGCTGTTCCTCCCTGCACGCCCCCTCCCCCCTCTGTTCCTGGGGCTTGGGAATGTTAAACCCCTTCCCCTGGGAAGCCCCGTCCCCTCTGTGGGTAAAGGGGGGAGGGCATCGCCCTCAGGTCCCCCATGTTCAGCTGCCAAAGAAGGGAGCGCCCCCTCCTTCCCCCAAGCCCATTCCCCCTCTGCCGCCCCCACCCCCGAGGGGGGGCTCCGTCCACGGGGGGAGGGTGCTTGCAGCCCTCTCCCCTCACCACGTCAGGGATCTGCGGGGAACCTTGCGGGAGGGTCCTGGGAGGGGGGAGGGGCGGCGAGGAGGGGGTGGAGGCGGCGCTGGGCCCCTCCCCGCCCCCTCCCCCTTGTCGGATGCCCCCCGTCCGCAGGGGGCCTGCGCGGCGCCCGTCTATCAAGGGCTTGTTCATTCTGGATGGGTGCCGCGGGGTTGGGGAGGGAGTAGGGAGTGGGGAGGGGGGAGGAGAGGTAGGGGTGGGAGGGGGAAGGGCCTGGATGGGGTTGCAGCGCGGGAGGAGAGGAGAGACAAAGCAAAAAGTTACAATATCAAAAGAAAATACAAGGAAAAACAAAACCCTAGAACACACAAAAAAATCCAGAAAAAAAACACACAAACAAAAACCTGAAATAAAAGCCCGGAGAATTGTCTTCCAAGGGGGGTGGGAGGAGGAGGAAGAGGGGGGCGGGGCTGGACGTCCGCTTCCCGCCGAGCGTGGGGTCGGGACGCGGGCCTCAGTCCATCCCTGAGGGCCCTGGGACCCAGGCGTCCGTTTGCAGGGACGGGGCGGGGGGTAGGGGGGAGACTAGGAAGGTGGGATCCTATTATGGGGGTTCGACCCTTCCCCCCTCATCATCTCCCCTGGCTACCCAACAAGATTTTGCAGAGAGAAATGGCTTTTGTACCAGGTCATTCTTTATAATTAAACTCACAGTATCCACCCCCTCGAGCCGGCCCCGCCTCCTTCGTGGGGAGGACGCGCCCCCTTTCCTCGCGGGCCGGGGGGTGGGGGTGGGGGGAGGGGGGGCTCCGGGTGAATAGCCTGAACCGGCCAGGCGGTGCGCATGCGCGGCCAGAGCCCGCCCCCCAGCTGTCAGTCTTCCTCGGTGGGATCCGCCCCCAGAGCCTCGAGCATGCGCCGTCGGACCAGCGAGCGGCGGAGGTGCAGGCGGTAGTCGCTCAGCAGCAGCTCGTCGTGGCGCAGCAGCGGGTGCGCCGACCCGCGGAGGCGGAGCCCCGAGCGCAGCAGGCGCGAGCGGGTCTGGAAGTCCGAGACGGTGATGAGCCACCTGAGAGGGGCCGGGCCGGGGGCAGAGGGGCCGGGGTGGAGACGGCCAGTGATCGCTGGTGCTCCCGGCCCCGCCTTGGATGGTCGCGGTGTCCCTGCCGGGTCCCTGTGCGTTTACCCACTCCGGTTCCTCAACCAGCCCCGCCCCCCGCCCCGTCCCGAAACCCCTCCCCAGCCCTGCCCTTCGGCCCTCACTGGGTCACTCTAGGCCCCGTCCTCCCTCTCAGCCTGGCTTTCGTCCTCTAAGCTTTCGTCCTGTTCGCTTTCAAACCGCCGCTCCCTGGCCAGACCTTCACCCAGCAGTTCTAGGCCCCGCCCCCTCTTCCGTCCAAGCCCCGCCTGTCAGTGTGGCTCTTAGGCGAGGGCTTCCGTCTGTCCCTCCTGGACCCGCCCCCAGCCACACGCCAATCACTCTGGGCCCCGCCCCTGCAATGTGCTCAGTCCAGGCCCGGTCCCCACGCCTCGGTCTGGCCTGTCCTGTTCATCCATCACCTGAGCGATTAAAAATCCCTTCACTTCAGCTCCCGCCTTCTCTCTGATCTCACCTGGCCCTGCCCCTTGACCGCGCACATCACGCTTGGCTCCCTTCCCTGTTCCCATCAAACTCTTCATCATCTCGCCTTACATAAACTCTGTTCTCCAGATGCTCCAGGCCCCGCCCTTCCCCCCACCTTAACTTCCCGGACCCGCCCTCAGCCCCTTGGACCCCGCCCCACCCCCTCCAAGTAGGCCCCGCCCCTCCAAACAGGCCCCACCCTCCAAGCCCCGCCCCCATCTCAAGTCCCCCAGGGTCTGCTCCTCCAGCTCCCGTTAGGCCCTGCCCTGCCTCTCCACGCTCCACCTTTACCGCCTCTCCAGGCCCCAGGCCCACCATGGGCTCACCGGTTCCTGCGCCCCGCGGTCCCACAGATGACGTTCATGTTCTCAAAGCGGATGCTGCTCACGCAGCCGCTCTCCATGGCCCCCGGTAGTTCGGCCTCCAGCGCCTCCAGCACCTCTAGGTGGGTAAGGTCCTGCTCAGGCTGGGGGAGTCAGAGAGCAAGCTTCAGCCGGTGACACCGGGTACATTCCGGGTTCAGAAGTTCCACCCCCCCACCCCCCAAACTCTACTTGCAGAACTTGCCAGAGTCCCAGGTGGCATTCCAGGGGCAAGGATCACACCTGATCAAAGGGTCCCATCCTTCTCTCGACAGAGTGGGGTTCAAGGTCATTCTCCAAAATATCAATTCTCACCAACTGATTGGTCAGAAGCCACCAATGGGGCCCACTTGACCAATCTACCGAAAACCTCCCCAGCAGCCTGCACGGGATGGCAAGCTTTCAGCAGCTCTTGAAGATTTTCGCAAAGATTTAAGTCACACACTTTCCCTCTCATATTCATACTAGAGACCCAGTGCACAGATGTGTGCACCAGTGGGGTCCCTCAGCCTGGCCTGCGCCCTCCTGCAATCAGTGACCCCTGGGGAGATGCCGCACTGCCGGTTCTGGCCCGATCCCCATAGAAGTGCACAAAGCAGCAGGCGGCTGGGAAAGAACTCTAGCACAGTGGGGCTCTGCCTGCTCCCGCTCATCCCCGCCCACTGCTCCGCTCAGTAGCGCTGCCAGAGGCAGAAGAGGCTCCTGCCACCACAGCTGTGCTGGGCAGCTATGAGCTGGGTAGTATCTGGCGTCCATCCATTAGCTTAGTGGCGCTCCCGCTGTGGGAGTGCACTGACCACCAGAGGGCAGCTCTTGCGTTGAGTGTCTGCCCCCTGGTGGTCAGTGCATGTCATAGCGACCAGTCAACCAGTCATTTGGTCGCTTATGCTTTTATATATATAGATTAGATCAGCAGTCACCAACGGTGGTCCCCGAGCCACTGGTGGTACGTGAGGTCCCAAAGGTTAGTAACCACAGGATTAGATGTTCTGTTGTCAAAGAACTAAGGGTCATCGGGAGTTTTAACTTCCTGAGTTTTAACTTCCTGTGAGTCTATTTAATGATCAGAAGCACACATTAGTCATTATCACATTTTCAGCATGACAGTACCAAGAAATGTCATCGTCATAGCATTTTAGAGGAACTAAAAGGAAGTCATAAAATTGGTCTCCAGGAAGGCAAGCTTTGGGGGTTGGGGGAAGGAAGGAGGTCCCACGTTCAAACCCATAAAGAAGAGGAACAATGGGATGGAGATTTGTTGCTAAAGTGAGGACAGCAGACCTTGGCTGGGGTGAAGTCACCCAGACCGCCGAGGGAGGGCCTCTGAGTGGCACCTGACAATGGGAATGTCCACTAACGCCCAGTCTTCTCGCTCAGCTCCTGCCCGAGTGAGACCCTGATAGTTATCTCTGACCGAGGTCAGGGCTGCCAAAGGATCTGTACACTGAATCACCAGTTCACGGGATCTACTAAAAACACGAGCCTTTTCGTAGGTGCTTGCTATAGCTGTAAACTTTACGGAATTTCAGAGTAGATGCACAAACAGTGGCCGGCAAACTGTGGCTCTCGAGCCACATGCGGCTCCTTGGCCCCTTGAGTGTGGCTCTTCCACAAAATACCACGGCCTGGGCGAGTCTATTTGGAAGAAGTGGCGTTAGAAGAAGTTGAAGTTTAAAAAATGTGGCTCTCCGAAGAAATGTCAATCGCTGCCCTATTGGTACTTGGCTCTGTGGACTAATGAGTTTGCCGACCACTGGGCGGGCAGATTCCCTTTGTCCTCAGTCTCCCCCCTCTCTGCCCCTGGTCCTCCCCCTCCCCCTGCCCCTCTGGGATTAGCAGTGATACATTTGCCAATTGACCCAAAATTCACAATCAATTTTCAGCAACCTGTGCTGGTGCCAAGCCCGCAGCTGGTAAACCCAGAGCCTGTGCCCTTTCCACCACCCCAGCCAGGGCCGCAGGGCGAGGGGCCACTCACCGAGACCTCCATGCACAGGCAGAGGGGCTCGGCGGTGGGGGCCATGAGGAACTTCCGGATGCACGGGAGCTCTCGGTCCAGACTTTCATATTCTGCTATGACCTGGCGCAGGTACTGCTTCCTGGGAAGAGAGCCCATGGGCAGCCGCGAGCGCCAAGGCCGGGGGTCGCTGTCCAGGGTGCTGATGTCGGAAATCAGGGGGCCAGGGGCGACTCACGAGTATTTGTTGGACCGGCACAGGCTCCAAGCCTGGTTCTCTTCCGAGGCCTCGAGGTCCGCACGGAGGGCCCCTGGAGACAGAGAAGCCAGCTTCCCTGAGCGCTCCTCCCGTGCGATGAAGCCTCCTGATTGGAACTTGACTGGCCCTTCTACACAACCTCAAGGTGGCTCACTGGACCTTCATGGCCAGTGGCTAGCCGCCTCGCATTTTCCTCTTCCTCTACAATCCTCAAGTTCTACCTGCACGTGATTTTTCACAGAGAGGAAGAGAGAGAGCTAGAGAGCTAGAAACATCGATGAGAAACATCGACCAGCTGCCTCCTGCACACCCCCCTACCGGGGATGTGCCCGCAACCAATGTACATGCCCTTGACCGGAATCGAACAGACCGATGCTCTAGCCACTGAGCCAAACCGGTTTCCGCTACCCACAATTTTAACAACCAGTTCGCAAAACTCAGCCATGGGCTCCTGTGAGCCAGCACGGGCTGCCTCCAGCACTGAGCTGTCACCACGGTGCTCCTGGTGCTCTCTGACTTCGGGGCTCTGCTCCCCGTCCTCCCACCCCCTGCATGTTCCCACAGAGCAGTGGAGGGGATTGTACATCCCAGCATCCCATGCTCACAACCATCAGCGGCTTCCTCTTGCCTTCAGGGTCCACCCCAGACCTCCTGGGTCAGAACGAGCATTCTGACAAGATCCCCTTTGAGAAGCACCTGCCCTGTGTGTGGTCGCTCCTGCTGACCTCGCTGACCATCTCCCTCCATCCCTCCAACACAAGAGTCTCCTTCTCCGTCCACTTAGTAACTCCATGGTTACTGTCCCTTTTCAAGAGCCAAGCACGCTCACAAGTGCTTCCCATGGCGTCTGCATGACAGCTTTCTGGGACAGTGGAGTTTAGCAAATGATGGAACGGAAGCACATGAGAGGCCAAGTGGCCTGCCCAAGGTCACAGAGCCCAAAGCGCTAGGATCAGGATAAAAATCTAGGTGTCGGCGCCAAAACCGGTTTGGCTCAGTGGATAGAGCCTCGCCCTGCAAACTAAAGGGTCCCGGGTTCGATTCCAGTCAAGGGCACCTGCCTAGGTTGCTGGTTTGATCCCCAGTGGGGGAGGGGGAGGGAGGGCAAGAGCAGGAGACAGCTGATCAATGATTCTTTCTCATCATTGATGTTTCTATCTCTCTCCTCCTCTCCCTTCCTCTTTAAAACCAATAAAAATATATTTAAAAATAAAAACTAGATAGATGCTAACACCCCAGTCCTAGAGATTCAGGTTAAATTGGATCTGAAGTGCAATTAGGTATTGGTTTTTAAAAAACTCTTCCACCTGGTGGTTGAGCTGACTAAATAATTGTGATCATTTCATTCCTGCTGCCAGCAGTTGAGATCAGCGTGATCAGTGAAATATGGACCGTTTGGGAGTTCTGAAGATGAAGGCCCTGGAAGTGATGCCTGGGACTGCGCAGCCATCCTGTGACCATGAGGTTAGCTGGCGTGCACAGGGACTCTATTCCTGACCAAAATGCATGGAAATGGACACAGCTCTCCATGGCATCATTGAGCTGCTGACTCAACCAAACCCGCCCCACCTGGGGGCTTCATTTTGGGTGAGATAATGACTCTCTTATTCTTTAAAAAAAAAAAAAAAAATATATATATATATATATATATATATATATATATATATATATATATATATATAATTGATTTTTTTTACAGAGAGGAAGAGAGAGGGATAGAGAGTTAGAAACATCGATCAGCTGCCTCTTGCACACCCCCTATTGTGGATGTGCCCACAACCAAGGTACATGCCCTTGACCAGAATTGAACCTGGGACCTTTCAGTCTGCAGGCTGACGCTCTATCCACTGAGCCAAACCTGTTTCGGCATGACTTTCTTATCCTTTACACTAAGTCTCATTTTCTATTGCCTGCTAGGCCAGTGGTGGCAGACTCATTAGTCAACAGAGCCAAATATCAACAGTACAACCATTGAAATTCCTTTGGAGAGCCCAATTTTAAAAATATATATTTTATTGATTTTTTACAGAGAGGAAGGGAGAAAGATAGTTGGAAACGTCGACGAGAGAGAAACATCGACCAACTGCCTCTTGCACACCCACTACTGGGGATGTGCCCACAACCAATGTACATGCCCTTGACCGGAATCGAACCTGAGACCTTTCAGTCTGCAGACCGACGCTCTACCACTGAGCCAAACCGCCTTCGGCTGGAGAGCCCAATTTTTAAAACTTAAACTTATTCTAATGCCACTTCTTCTAAATAGACTCAGCCAGTCCGTGGTATTTTGTGGAAGAGCCACACTCAAGGGGCCAAAGAGCTGCATGTGGCTCTCAACCCGCAGTTTGCTGACCACTGTGCTAGGCAAATGCACCTTTACCCAGATACATTATTCAGTAAATGTTGAATGAGGCAATGAATGAGTGTGCAAGTTGGGAGCCCTGGAAGCTGAGCCTGAGGTTGTCGGCTGGTGTCAAGCCACAAGGGGCCTGGACCACCAGGCTGAAGGTCTGGGACTCTGTCCCTGGAGTGATGAAGAAAGAAGGGGAGCTGTGAGCAGGGGAGAGACAGAATCCGCGCTGGTGCCAGGAAGACCCATCTGGAGCCACGTGGGCAGTGGCTGGAGGGGAGAAACTGGAGATCAAGGCAGTCAGGCTGAGAAAAGGTCCAAGGAAAGAGGACAAGAGCTGATCTGGGGCTGTGGGATGCAGCGGCAGGGGTGGGCAGGGAGAGTGGATGGGAAGATGGGGCTGGGGACTGATGGCCATGGCAGGGGCTGGGGGCAGCACCTGGGATCTAGCCCAGTGATCAGGTTGGCAATGGGGCCAGTAGAAGATGGGAAACAGGGAGAAGGGGTGACTTTTGGGGAAGATGCTGAGCTCAGTGTGGAAGACAAGAAAAGTGTGAGGGTCCAGCCGGTGTGGCTCAGTGGTTGAGCATTAACCTATGGAGCCAGGAGGTCAGGGTTGGATTCCCAGTCAGGGCACATGCCTGGGATAGGGGCTCAATCCCCAGTAGAGGGCATGCAAGAGGCAGCCGATCAATGACTCCCATCCTTAATGTTTCTCCCTCTCTCCCTTTCCATTCCTCTCTGAAATCAATTAAAAATTAATTAATTAAAAAAGAAGAGCCGAAACCGGTTTGGCTCAATGGATAGAGTGTCGGCTTGGGGACTGAAAGGTCCCGGGTTCGATTCCGATCAAGAGCATGTACCTTGGTTGTGGGCATATCCCCATAGGGGGTGTGCAGGAGGCAGCTAATCGATGACTCTCTCATTGATGTTTCTCTCTATCTCTCTCCCTTCCTCTCTGTACAAAATCAATAAAAATATATTTTAAAATAATGGAGAGTGTGAGGGATCAGGGCAGGGCTTCAGAGGGAGATAATGGCCTCGGAAGAGTAGGTGGGGCCCCAGAGGCTCATGGGAAATGTAGTTCTGTGTCCAGAATATTGGCCAGGGAACTGCAGAGGCTCATGGGAAATGTAGTGTGAGGTCCAAAGAGTACTAGTCGACCTAAGAATCTGGGTGGCTCTCTCTTGGGAAGACCAGTGACTAATGGAGGCCATACCACAGGCCGAGTCTACCACTCAATACATGAAGAAAATTCCCACGCTACCCCCCACCTACACACACACACACACACACACACGCACGCACGCACGCACGCACGCACGTGCACGCTTACAGACAGACCCAGCTTAGTATACCTGATTCCCTGTGCGTGCTGGGGGTGCCCAGGGCGGAGGAGCTCAGGGGCTCCCCCTCTTGCTGTATCCTGGGAAGGCGGGTGGGGGGTGTCTCAGGAGGGTGGGAAGAACTGCTGTGACTGAGCCACCCATCCCAGCTCCTTCTTGTCCTTCCTTTCTCCTCTTCTTTTGTGACCCTCCGGGGCACACTCAGGGCAGGAGAACGGGCCGGCTGAGACCGCATGAAGATCCTGCTGCCCCTGACCTTGGGGGGCAACTCGGGGGCCCAGGCCCTTCTCTCCCACTTCCCTGCTGCTTCCCCTGGCTCTCGCTGTCTCCTGGAGTCTCTCCTCTCACCCCTCTCTCTCCCTCTCTCTCCTTCATTCTCCCCCCATCTCTCTGACCCCCTCCCCCTCTCCTTCTCTCCCAATTTGGTTTCCCTATCTCCTAATCTCTCTCTCCATCTATCATCCACACTTGCCCTTGATTTCTTGGATACCTTCCTCGCCATTTCTCTCCCCCTTCCTGGTTCCATCTTCCCTGTCGCTTCCTTTATCAATTTCCCCAACATCGCCCCCGGCCCCCGTCCTCCCCTCTATTCATTCGTAGTTGCCTGCTCTTCTCCGACCCCCTCTCCCTCTCCCTGTCTCCAGGCCCCTCTCCCCACCTCTCCCCCCGGCTCCCTTCTCCATTTCTCCCCGCCTCTCCGCCTCCCGGGGCTGCCTCTGCCCCACCTCTTGGCTTCTCTCCCCTCTGTCATCCCCCTTCTGGTCCCACTTGCCCTCCGTTCATCCCTGTCTCAAGCAGGAACTGGTTAGACACGGTCAAGATTTAAACGGAAACTGGGTTCTAGATGGGGGAGGGAAAGGTGAGCCGGGGGCTTGGTTGCCATGGTACCGACAGAATCCTGGGGCGAGGCTGGGGACTCGGACCCCTGGGTCTGTGGGGAGAAAGGGGCGGGGTCTGGCCTCCTGGGTCTGAGGGAGGGAGGGGCGGGGCCTGGAGCCCTGGGTCTGAGGGAGGAGGGGTTGGGGGCCTGGACCCCTGGGTCTGAGGGAAGAGGGGCTGGGGGCCTGGACCCCTGGGTCTGAGGGAGGAGGGGCTGGGGCCTGGGTCTGAGGGAGGAGGGGTTGGGGGCCTGGACCCCTGGGTCTGAAGGAGGAGGGGCGGGGCCTGGACCCCTGGGTCTGAGGGAGGAGGGCTGGGGGCCTGGACCCCTGGGTCTGGAGGAGAAGGATCTAGGGGCTCCTGGGCCCCAAGTGAAGGAGGGAAGGGGTATAACCACATCGGTGCCCATTAGGCATCCCTGTCTTTGCCAAACGCTCGGCAGAAACTGTGCCAGAGAAGGCTGGACTTGCTCACTCACTCTGTCTGCCCTCCCAGTCTGTGTCTGTACTTGTCTCTCTTTCTGCTCCCAGAGGTCTCTGTCCTGACTATTATTCCTGGAGATAAGCATCAGCTCCCTGCTTCCTAGGTGGTAGCGCCTTCACCTTCCGCATGACCTGTTCAGGACTGAGCTCAGCAACCAATAAGGAGCCGGTCAACCCATGAACCAGGAGGTCACGGTTTGATTCCCAGTCAGGGCACATGCCTGCGTTGAAGGCTTGATCCCCAGTAGAGGGCATGCAGGAGGCATGTTTCTCTCATCACTGATGTTTCTCTCTCTTCCTCTCTCTGAAATCAATAAAAACATATTTAAAGATAAAGAAAATCAATCAAGGAAACAGCGTCAACCCTTGGACTTTTGCTGAACTCGTTATTAAAGAGGATCTTTCCCCCCCCCTGAGGTTGCCAAGCCAGTGGGGGTCCAGGTTGGAGCTGCGGGGGGAAGGGGAAGAGGGGGGAGGGGTATCAGGTTGCCATATGCTGAGACAACTTGCCTAAAAGCAAAGGCCAGAGGAAAGCAGACACCAACAATGCCCACAGTCAGATTCCTGATGATGACTGGGGTACCTGGATCCAGCCGTGCCTGAAACCCTCTCCCACACAGTCAACTCCCCCTTATGCTCCGGTCATTTGGGTTTGTGTCACTGGCAATGAAAACAAAACAGTCTGGACATCGTTAGACTCATTTCCAGACTCAGTTCCCCTGTGGCCCTGACTCCCTGCCCCCTCTTCACGTCTGGGTGTCCCCTCAGGCTGTCCTTCATTTCTGTCCCCGAGCCCATCCCTATGGAAAGGGAACACTTTTCTTTTTTTTAAAAAAAATATATATATATATTTTATTGGTTTTCTACATAGAGGAAGAGAGAGGGATAGAGAGCTAGAAACATCGATGAGAGAGAAACATGGATCAGCTGCCTCCTGCACACGCCCCACTGGGGATGTGCCTGCAACCAAGATACATGCCCTTGACTGGAATCGAACCTGGGACCCTTCAGTCCCCAGGCCGAGGCTCTATCCACTGAGCCAAACCGGTTTTGGCAAGGGAGCACCTTTCATCCCATGAACACAGGCACACCAGCCTCCAGGCACAATCCTTCCTGCCTCCTGACCTTGCTTCCTCTCCTCCTCGTTCCTGGAGCCAGGACACACCCTGGGCTCCACCTCTCCTGCCGGGACCCTCTCTCTCCCCTGCCTCTTCCTGGGCTCCCATCCTCATTCCTTTCCCCACAGGGTTCCGGCGGGTTCTCTCTGTGCCCAGAGCTGACCCTGCCCCACCCCTGAGTCCCTGGACCACATTTCCGCCCCTCATCCGGGCATCTGAGATTTGCCTCATCTGGCCCCACGCTCCTCTCCCATCTCACCCTTTCGAACAGCTTCCAGTCACCTTTGATTAAGATTTTTACTTAGCCGAAACCGGTTTGGCTCAGTGGTAGAGCGTCGATCTGCGGACTGAAAGGTCCCGGGTTCGATTCCGGTCAAGGGCATGTATGTTGGTTGCGGGCACATCCCCAGTGGGGGTTGTGCAAGAGGCAGCCTGTTGATGTTTCCCTCTCGTTGACGTTTCTAGCTCTCTATCTCTCTCCCTTCCTCTCTGTAAAAAAATCAATAAAATATATTAAAAAAAAAAAAAGATTTTTACTTAGCCAGGGCCTTCCAGGCCATTCCTGCCTCCACGCCCCCCACGCTGTGCCTTCTGGAATGCCCCTCTGGACCCTCCTTTTCCCCGAGGGAAGGCTCTCCTCCTTCCGCAAGAACCTCAAACGCTCCCTCCTGCCGGCAGCCGCCTCCGAGGCGTGTTTGCTGTGCTCTCCCGCCGTGTGTGCTTCATCAGCTCCTGGCCCAGACTTCTGAACACGTCCACGCCTCTGCCTGGTCCAGGGATCGCCCTGGGTCAGCCTCCCGCGCCAGGCCAGCAGCTCCGAACTCCTCCGGCTCTCAGCTGCCCCCACTCAGGGAGGTGCAGAATGTGTATGTTGAGTGAATACACGCGTGGCTATGTCTCTCTGTCGCTGGGACCCACACTCAGCAGCCCCAGCCCCACCTTCCCGTCCCTTTGGGTCCTCCTGAGGCAGCACAGGGTGAAGGCGAGAACCTGGACTCTGGAGTCAAACAGGCCGGCACTGGGAGCCATGTCCAGGCTGTGCAACCCGGGCAAATGTCCTCTGCTCGCTGCGCCTAGTATTAGCTGGCTCTTCTGGCTCTATCTATCTATCTATTGATCTATCTATCTATCTATCTATCTATCTCTAGATCTATCTCTCTGTTTCCCTCTGCGTGTCGCCATTTCTCTCCGTGCCTTTATTTTTCTTCCTCTCTCTCTACCTGTTTGTCCTTGGAGCCCTGCCTTATCTCACTCTGTGTCTGAATTTGGATTTCTGTTTCGTGTATCTCTAGCTTATATCTTTCTGTGTCTGTCTCTATGCCTTTCTGCATGCCTGCCTGTCTGTCTGTCTGTGTATGTTTGTCTCCGTTGCTCTGTTTCTCCGTCTGTTTCTCCATGTCTATTGCTCTGTCTTAGCCCCACCTGCCTCCCTCTGTTATTCCCCCCCCTCGCCCTCCCCCCCTCTCTCAGGCCGGATCTGTCCCACTCCCTGGCCTGGCACGCAGCCTGGGGCACAAAACCCTGAATCAGCATTTTCCTCCTCTTCCAGAAATTATCTCAGCATTGTGGGGCGGAGGCGGGAGGCGGGGGGAGGCGCACAGGGAAGCTGGTTGTAGCCGGTCAGAGGGTCTGCCTCCTGTGTCCTCCTCCACAGCTGGCCTGCCTCTCTCCACGGGGCGCCCGGAGGAGTACGTACGTGTGAGACTGCATTTATTTCTAGTCACGTGTGTGTGTGAACCTGTAGGTATTTGTGCAAGCTCATTCATTCACTCATGCATTCATGCATTGCCTCCATCTATCCAACCATCCACTCATCCATCCATTTATCCTACATCATCCTTCTATCCATTCACCCACCCATCCATCCACCCTTCTATCCAACCATCACCCACTCATCCATCCATTCATCATCTACTCATCTATCTATCCATTTATTTTTATATCATCCTTCTATCCATCCACCCACCCATCCATACACCCTTCTATCCATCCATCCATCCATCCATCCGTTCATCATCCACTCATCCATCCATCCTTTTATCCAACCATCCATCCACTCACCTATCCATCTGTTCATCCTTCCACCCATCTGCCCATCCATCCATCATCCACTCATCCATCCATTCATCATCTACTCATCTATCTATCCATTTATTTTTACATCATCCTTCTATCCATCCACCCACCCATCCATACACCCTTCTATCCATCCATCCATCCACCCATCCATCCATAATAAACTCATCCATCCACTTATCCATCCATTCATCATCCACTCATCTACCCACTGATCCCTCTATTTACCTATCTACTTGTACATTCATTTATTCCTTCAACTAACCAATATTTTTTGAGTGCCTCCTGTGTGCCAGGCACTGTGTCAGGCAGTGGGGACACAGCAGTAAACAGATCAAAGTGCTGCCCCCATGAAGCTTATGTGCTCAGGAGTCCCCCTCTCTGAGCCAAACTCCCTCCTGCCCCAGGCCTTGCTCAGGCTGCTCCTTCTCCCTGTAGCTGCCCCTACCCGCCATCTTCACCTGACTCATGGAACTCCCCCTCTGAGCTCAGTGCAAATAGCCACACACTCACAGCACCTGGGCTTTCCATCCTGTTCCCTGTCCAAAGGCTGAGAATCTGGACTAGAACAGTGCCTGGCAAACGTCCTGCAAACGAGGTAGCAACTGAAAGGCAGGCTCTAGCTTCCGAGCTGCGTGGCTTTGGATCTCACCTCTGATGCTTCCCAGCTGTGTGGCGGTGGACAGCGCACTTCCACTCTCTGAGCCTCACTTTCCTCCCCTGCAAAATGCAGAGCACACACACAGCCCCGGCCGGGCGGCTCCGTTAGTTTGGCATCAGTCCCATCAACCAAAGGTTGGTGGTTCGATTCCCCGTCGAGGCACATGCCAGGGTTGTGGGCTGGGTCCCCGGCAGGGGGTGTGCAGCAGGCACCCAATTGAAGTGTCTCTCTTCCTCTCTCTAAAAATCTGTAAATATCTATTTTAAAGAGAATGCATAAGCAAATGTGTGTAATTACTAATTATTACAATAACACTAACCATTTTCCACCTTGCATGCTTTTAACTTAACCCTCACAATAACTTAATGACGTAGAATCTGGGTTTTTTAATTTTTCCTCATCTGCCCTGGCCAGTTGCTCAGTCGGTTGAGTATCATCGTGTGCACCAAAAGGTGGCGGATTGAGTTCCTGGTCCGGGCACATGCCCGGGTTGTGGGTTCGATCCCCAGTTGGGGTGGGTATGGGAAGCAACTGACCAATGTTTCTCTCTCACATTGATGTTTCTCTATCTCCATCTCCCTTCCTCTCTCTAAAAACTCAATTAAAAAAAAGAAAGAAAGAAAGAAAGAAAGAAAGAAGAAAGAAAAGAAAAAGAGCCGAAACCGGTTTGGCTCAGTGGATAGAGCTTCAGCCTGTGGACTGAAAGGTCCCAAGTTCGATTCCCGTCAAGGGCATGTACCTTGGTTGCGGGCGCATTCCCAGTAGGAGGTGTGCAAGAGGCAGCTGGTAGATGATTCTCTCTCATCCATGTTTCTAACTGTCTATCCCTCTCTCTTCCTCTCTGTAAAAAAATCAATAAAATATATTTTAAAAAAAGAAAAAAATAGCTTCTCACATACAAACAGGGAAGCGGAGGCTCTGAGAATATAATCCATTCAGGGCCACACAGAGCAGAGCTGGGATTTGAACTCTGGTGCTTTGCACCCAAAGTCACACACACTGATCAGAGCGCTACAGCCGCCTCTCAACGCTTGGGCAGCCTCGGAATCTGAGTGTCTGCAACGCGCCCCGGGAAGCTGGCAAGGCCACCTGCGCACACGTCTCTGAGCGCATGCGTCCTGGCACACTTCCTTCCGCGTCTCTCCCTGGGCGCCCTATATGCTGGGTGCGAGGGTCAGGCTGGAGAGCGGGCTTTGGGGAGCCTGGACCTGACGATGTAGCTCTGGACCTTCTCCACGGGGGGTCACCTCCAGGAGCCTCAGTGGTCTCCGCTGTGAAATGGGAATAACAGAACTGCACAGGTGTCCTGGCCACCCTGGTTCAGCTGATTGAGCGTCTTCCCGTGCACCCAGAGGTTGATGGTTCAATTCCCCGTCAGGACGCATGCCGGGTGGGGGCTGTGCAGGAGGCAGCAGATCCATGTTTCTCTCTTTTCCTCTCTCCCTAAAATCAGTAAGAACATTTAAAACAAAAAACAAATCTGTACATTAGCCGAAACCGGTTTGGCTCAGTGGGTAGAGCGTCAGCCTGGGGGCTGAAAGGTCCCGGGTTCGATTCTCGTCAAGGGCATGTACCTTCGTTGCGGGCACATCCCCATGGGGGGTGTGCAGGAGGCAGCTGATTGATGTTCCTCTCTCATTGGTGTTTCTAACTCTCTATCCGTCTCCCTTCCTCTCTGAAAAAAAAAATCAATAAAATATATTTTAAAAAAACAATTTCATAGCACTTAGTCCAAGGTCCGTGGGGATTACCGTTAACTGCTATTAATACATCAGTGACTGTTTCTTGATTATTTTAAGAAATAGCCCTTGCCCTGGCCGGTGTGTTCAATGGTTAGAACATCGCCCTGCACACGGAAAGGTTAGAGGTTCAATTCCAGTCAAGGGCTTCTACCTAGGTTGCAGGTTCGATTCCCCACCCAGTCGGGGCATGTTTGGGAGACACCCAATCAATGTGACTCTCTCACATCAATGTTCCCCCTCCCCTCTCTTCCCTCCTCCCTTCCTTCCTTTCCACTCTCTCTAAAAATCAATAGGAAAAAAAAATCCTCGAGTAAGGATTAAAAAAGAAATAAAAAGCCAAAACCAGTTTGGCTCAGTGGATAGAGCGTCGATCTTCGGACTGAAGAGTCCCAGGTTTCATTCTGGTCAAGGGCATGTACCTTGGTTGCGGGCACATCCCCGGTGGGGGGTGTGCAGGAGGCAGCTGATCAATGTTTCTCTCTCATCGACGTTTCTAACTCTCTGTCCCTCTCCTTTCCTTTCTGTAAAAAAATCAATAAAATATATTTTTAAAAAATAAAAAAGAAGTAAATATTCATTAAGCACCTACTGGGTGTCCATGCTTTACCAATACTGACTTTCCCCTTAAAACCTCTAATCTCTTTGGAAACAGGTTTATTGTCCGTATTTTTATTTTATTTTAAACATATTTTTATTTATTTCAGAGGGGAAGGAAGACACACACACACACACACACACACACACACGAATGATGAGAATCATTGATCCGCTACCTCCTTCACGCCCCTCACCAGGGATCCAGCTGCAACCTGGGCACGTGCCCTGACCGGGAATCGAACCAGGACCTCCTGGTTCATGGGTCGACGCTCAACCACTGAACCACACTGGCTATCGTCCGTATTTTTTATTTTTATTTTTTTGGTGAGGAGATTAGGGCTCAGAGCAAAGCGCGAGATGACAAAGGCAGGAGCCGGCCCAGGCAGGATTCAAACCCAGGTGCCTGCTGGCACCTCTCCGCGGGCTGCGGCCCCGCCTCCCCTCCCACCGCGGCCCGCGGGAGGGGGGAGGGGGTGCCCCCTGACTGAGGTCCCGGGCCCCGGAGGCGGCGGCGGCGGCGGGGACGCAGGTCCCGGGGTGGGAGGGAGGGAGGGGCGGGAGGGGCGGATTCCTAGATCTGAGGATGGAGGTGGGTGGGAGCTCCGTGCCCCTGGGTCCCGGGAGGGGAGGTGGCTGGGCTCCCCGACTTCTCCGTCTGAGAGAAGGGGGGCTGTGGGCTGGGACCCCTAAATCCTGGGGGACCAGAAGGTCCTCCAAGGAGGCGCCCCGGGTCCCTGGCGCTCCCTCCTTCCTCCCGGCAGCCGCAGGTTCGGAGGGAAGAAGGGGGTGCAGGGAGGAGCGCGGACCTGCGCCGGGAGCGGGGGGAGGAGCCGAGCGGGCGCCGCGGCGGGCGGCGGGCGTGCGGGCTGCGGCGGCGGCGGCCGCGGCTCCGGTGAGTCCGCTCCTCCCTCCCTCCCTCCCTCCCCCGGGCCCAGCCCCAGCCGCAGCCGGGTCTTTGGGGGCCGCCCGGGCTCATGGTTCGGGGGTGGGGGAGAGTAGGTGCAGAGGCGCGCCGATCTCCCGCCGGGGAGTGGGAGTGCTGCGGCGCTCGCTGGCTGCCCCGGGGGAGGGGCAGGTGGCCCTGGAAGAGGGGGTGGGGGGTGGGTCCCGAAACACCTGGGTGTACCCCAGCCTCTCCGGCCGACCCCCCTGGGCGTGGGGATCGTTTATCCACTCCACGGCCCCTGAGGACTTAGGACTCCGAGGCCACTCTGGGTCCCAGGCTTCATGCCTGTCCCCTGCAGTGCTTTGGGACCCCAGCATCTCCGAACCCCCCCTCCCCCCCCCCCGTAAAAAAATTCCCATCCTCTGCAGCCGGGAGAGGCATCAGGGACTTCAACTTCCAGCAGCCCCTGCAGCGCCAGGGCCTGTAAAGTAGCTGCAGTGCGAGCCCACGGCCCGCCGGGAATTGTAGTCTCTAAGCTCCACGGGAGGTGGGGGCCCCGGAGGTGGGAGCGGGTGGCTGGATCTCCCCGGGTGCCCTGGGGTCAGCAGCTGGCCAGAATCGGACAAGATGTGAGGCTCGGGTTAAGCTTCTTCTCCCGCCAACGGCCCTCAGATCCGGCACCCCCCTCTCACCACCTGGCGCTCGCGTGGGGACGGGTCCACAGTCCCTGGCCCGCCCTCCAACCCCCATGGGCTGCCGCCCGCCGCCTCGGCTGCCACCCAGGAGCCGGCAGGGATAAGCGCAGGTGAGTGTGGCCATGCCCGGCTCGGAGCCCTGGCCCGTGCAGAACCCCCGCACCTGTCCGTCTGGGAGCCTCCATCCCCTGTCCCCAGCCTCCCCTGCACGCTCCTCCAAACCTTCTCTCTGGTGTCTGGCTCCCAACCATGTGTCGCTATGTGCCAGATCCACCTCTTTCTCCTGGTCTCCTCTCATTCATGCTCCCCCCCCCACCTCCAACCTGCCTTCTGGACCCAGCCCTCCTCCGGATCCTTTTGTCCCTCTGTGATCTCTGGCCATTATCTGTCTGTCTCTCCTTTATTCCTGCACACCATCCATCCTCCTTCTGTTGTTTCTCTCTGAGCTACTGCTGTCCACCGCCCGCCTGGCCCTCGCCACTGCCCTCTGCCTGCCCAGCTCTCACCCTCGGGTGCATTGCACGGCTGTTAGCTCTGTCCACCCCAAGGCTTCTGTCTGTCTGTCCATCTGTCCCTCTCTTCTGGTCTCTGTCTCCCTGCCCCTCACTTCTCCCTCCCTCGGCGTGGTCTTATCTCTGCATCCTGCAGCCCCATCCCTCCCCGGCCACCACCACCACACAGAACCGTCTCTGCTCTCCCTACCTCCATGCATCCCTCTCTCTGAGTCCTCCTGGCTCTGTCCACTCCGACCTGGCCTCCTGTCCGTCCCCGGGACCCGCCGAGTCCGTTCCCACCCTGGGCGGCTGCTCATGCTGTTCCCCTGCCGCTTGGAATGCTTTTCCCGGCTCCAGCCCCACCGGCCGGCTCCATCCCAGCCTGCGGGTCTCCGAGACCGCCCTCCCCAGTGACCGCCTGCCTCCTGGCTCCTCCGTGGCACCTCCTGCCGCTATTTTTTTTTTCTTTCTGCGAGTGTTGTGCTGTTTACGTGGCTGTGGACGTGTTTACTCACTGTCACCTCTCGGGGGGCTGTGACACCAGGAATTGGGGGATGCGTGAGCTTTGCCCGTTCCGGCGGGCTCTGCAGCCGCTGGCGCGGTGCCGGGCACGTAGTTGGTGCTCAGTGAATAGGAGTTGAAAGCACGAGTGGTGAATGGCCGTCCCTACATTCTGTCTGCTCACCGCTGCTCCCCGATCTGTCTCCTTGTTTGCTCACCCCCTGCACTTGTGCATCCCCAGTCTCTGCCCCGTGTGGCCTTCCCTGGATCTCCCTCCCGTCCAGGTGTCCCTGTTCTCTGTCTTCTGGTCCGGCACATCCATCTCTGTCCCTGGTTTGTCAGACCCTTGTTACTGTCTTCTTGCCTGTCCACCCCGAATTCCAGTCCTTCCGTCCATGGGCCCCTAATTTCCTTTTCCTTCTTCCTTCATCCCCGACCTCCGACCCCTTGTCCATCAGCCCCTGACCTCTGACCCCTTGTCCATAAGCCCCTGACCTCTGACCCCTTGTCCATCAGCCCCCGATCTCTGACCTTTGAACATCAGCCCCCGACCTCTGACCCCTTGCCCACCTGCCTTTTCTCTTTCTCTCTCCACATTCACCCACTCTCTCCCCCATCTCGTTCCCCTCCTGCACCCTCGCCGGCCGGGCCGGAGCACAGGACCCACCGGCCACCATGTCAGGAGACTACGAAGATGACCTCTGCCGACGGGCACTCATCCTGGTCTCAGACCTCTGTGCCCGGGTCCGAGACGCCGACACCAGCGACAGGTGCCAGGAGTTCAACGACCTGCGAATCCGGGGCTACCCCCGGGGCCCCGATGCAGGTCAGCGCCCCAGCCCCTGCCCCCGGCCCCGCAGACCCGCTCAGCTTTCTCCTCCCTGGGGGGGCTGCTTCCGCTCACAGTCCTGCCTGCATCCTGTCCCCTGCTCTAAGGAGAAGGAGCTGTGAGGTCCATTTGACCCCTGACCTTGTGCAGCTTTGCTGTAGGCACCCCCACGACCCCCCCCCCCCCGGCCAGTGCTGCCATATGTCCCCTACAGCTACCTTTGTGCTTGCCTGGGTTCAAATCCCACCCCTCCCAGCAATAACCCGATGGCTGTAGGCGACTGACTTGTCTGTGCCTCGGTTTCCTCCCCTGGACAACGGAGACAGTGAGAGCGACCACCTGGTGGGGCAGATGAGAGACGCAGTGATGCCTGTGAAGAGTTTGGCCACGCTGGGCACACGGTGGTCTTTTAGTAAACGGTGGGGCAGCAGGCAGCCCGCGAGGTCCTCGGCCTGTCCCATCGACGACTCCCAGTGACCCTCGGCGGTACATACACGGAGTGGCCAGAGTATGATGATCTCTGGACGCATAATAATCTGGCCACACAGTGTATATTAGAGGCCCGGTGCATGAATTTGTGCATGGGTGGGGTCCGGCCAGCCTGGCCAGAGGGAGGGGACATGGACGGTTGGCCTGCCTGGCTGCTGGTCGAACTCCTGGTCAAAGGAACAATTTGCATATTAGCCTTTTATTATATAGGATAGACACCGGGTGGCCAGATTATTATGCGATCAGAGATCATCATAATCTGGCCACTCAGTGAGGGAAACTGAGGCCCAGAAGGGCGAACTGACGCCCCAGGCAGCGGGGTCCTCAGAGCGAGGACCTGCTGTGTGCCAGGGGCTGGAGGAGGGGCCTGTGGAAGCCACAGGCGGAACAGCCAGAACCGGCCCTGGGAAGTCAAGAGCAGCCTCAGTTCAGTGACTTCCCAGAAGGACCCCCAGAGCTCAGAAAAGGGGCTCCACAGCGGGACCGATTCTCTCCTCTCCGGCAAACGGGGAATGCAAGGCTCAGAGTGGTTAAGACAGCTTCTCAAGGCCACACAGCAAGCTGGGGTGGAGGGGGGTGACCCCTGACCTGCCTGATGGCGCCATGCGTTCTTTTTCTCTTTGATCTTCTCTGAGCATCTGGGGGGACTTTGGTCCTATTTCTGGGGGTGCCCCCTCTGACAAAGAGGCAGCGTGTGCGAGCGGGAAAGAGAACAAAGGCCGGAGACAGACCGCTGAGTGCAGATCCCAGACCGGCCGTTTACTTCCTGTGCCGCCTTCTACAGGCCACTCAGCCTCTCTGTGCCTCAGTTTCCTCACCTTTAAAACGGGTATATGAAATACCCACTCTGCCAAAAATAAATAAATAAAACACCCATCTTGTAGGGTCATGGAGTTTACTTTTTATTTTTAAAAAAAATTTATTTGATTGATTTTAGAGAAGGAAGAGGGAGAGAGATAGAAATATCAATGATGAGAGAGAATCGTGGATCAGCTGCCTCCTGCACGCCCCCCACTGGGGATCAAGCCCGCAACCCAGGCTTGTGCCCTTGGCTGGAATCAGACCTCGGACCCTTCAGTCCGCAAACCGACGCTCTATCCATTGAGCCAGACCAGCTAGGGCAGGGTCATGGAGTTTAAGATAAATAATATATGTAAATTGCTCAGGACGATGTGTGGCTAATACTAAACAATTATCTTTCAAATATATATATATATATATATATATATATATATATATATATACACACACACACACACACACACACACATATATATATATATATATATATATATATATATATATATATATTATTGATTTTTTACAGAGAGGAAAGGAGAGGGATAGAGAGTTAGAAACATCGATGAGAGAGGAACATCCATCAGCTGCCTCCGGCACACCCCCTACTGGGGATGGGCCCGCAACCAAGGTACATGTCCTTGACCGGAATCAAACCCGGGACCTTTCAGTCCACAGGTCGACGCTCTATCCACTGAGCCAAACCGGTTTCGGCTCAATTATTTTTTGAAGCTTAGCTCTTCCGGGACAACAGTGGGAAGATAGGTCGTGACCTCCCCCGGCCCTGACCCCTGACCCCTGACCCCTGCGCCCGCTCTCTCCAGACATCTCTGTGAGCCTGCTGTCCGTCATCGTGACGTTCTGCGGCATCGTCCTGCTGGGCGTGTCCCTCTTCGTGTCCTGGAAGCTGTGCTGGGTGCCCTGGCGGGACAAGGGCTCGGCGGTGGGCGGCGGCCCCCTGCGCAAGGAGCTGGGCCCCGGGGTGGGGCTGGCGGGCCTGGTGGGCGGCAGCGGGCACCACCTGGGGGCCGGCCTGGGGGGCCACCCCCTGCTGGGGGGCCCGCACCACCATGCCCACGCCGCCCACCACCCGCCCTTCGCCGAGCTGCTGGAGCCGGGCGGCCTGGGGGGCTCCGACGCCCCGGACCCCTCCTACCTGGACATGGACTCCTACCCAGAGGCCGCCGCCGCCGCCGCCGCCGCCGTGGCCGCCGGGGTCAAACCCAGCCAGACGTCGCCGGAGCTGCCCTCCGAGGGCGGCGGGGCCGGCTCGGGGCTGCTCCTGCTGCCCCCTAGCGGCGGCGGTTTGCCCAGTGCCCAGTCCCATCAGCAGGTCACCAGCCTGGCACCCACCACCAGGTGAGCCGGGGTGGGTGGGCTTGGGGTCCGCTCTGAACGTCTGCTCCTCCTCTGTGTGTCTGTTTCCCGACTTCGGCTCTCCTGAGCCCTGGGGGAGGAAGGGGTTTGGGGTGTGGGGATAGAGGAGGCTGGGGGCCCAGGCTCCTGGGTCTGGGAGAGGAGCGGGAGGAGCCTAGAGTCCTTGGACCTCAGGGAGAAGGGGGCTGGAGGTCTGAGCCAGAGGAAGGAGGAGGCTGGGGGCAGGACACTAGGAGGGTGGAAAGAATGAGGGTTAGGACCGCCCCCCACACACACACATACACACACAAGATCCTGGGTCAAAAGGCAGTCACAGGCCTGAGTGTGGGAAACAGAGAGCTGAGCAAACAGACAAGCCCTCCCCTCATTCACCCACAGTCCAGGGGAATGCCCCCCCCCACACACACACACACACACATGGGCTGTCTGGGTCCGGCTGGCCAGCCAGGCCAGGGCTGCAGAGAGGCAGCTGGGGAACACGTCCGTGGCTGTGATCCATCCCGCTGATTGGCTTATGGATGTCGAACCATCCTTGCCGTCCTGGGGTGGTTCCCACCTGGTCCTGGTGGGTGATCCCTCTCATGCATGTTGGATCTGGTTTGCCAATGTTTGCGTCTGTGAACATCGAGGATGTGGACCTGTCATTTTCTTCTTCTTCTCCTTTTTTATATATATTGTTTTTATTGATTTTTTTTAACAGAGAAGAAGGGAGAGGGATAGAGAGCTAGAAACATCAATGAGAGAGAATCATCCACCAGCTGCCTTCTGCACGCCCCCCACTGGGGATGTGCCCGCAACCAAAGTACCTGCCCTTGACCAGAATCGAACCCGGGACCTTTCAGTCCACAGGCCTATGCTCTATCCGCTGAGCCGAACCGGTTTCGGCTGTCATTTTCTTCTTTTTGACAAAAAGGAAAGGCAGGGTAGGGAGAAGGGCAGAGAGGAGTGGAGGGGGGTCTGTGCAGGCCCAGGGGCCCATGGGAAAGCGATTCGGAGTCACCAGCTTGAGGTTCAGAGGGGACTCTTTGCTGGAGGCTGTAGTCCAAGCTTAAGGAAGGGGAAATTCCCTCCCCAATACAGATGGGGAAACTGAGGCTCAGGGCATGCCCGTGGCTGGCTCCAGGCCTTGGGGAGCAGAGGTGGGGGCTTTGCTGGCCCCTAGCGGTGGGGTTCGGGGAGGAGGCAGGGAGGGGTCTCCCGGATCTTCAGAGGCAAGAATCAGAGACATCCACCACTCCTGGGTCTCCCCCACCCCACCGCCTGCAGGTACTCAGCCCTGCCTCGGCCCCTCACCCAGCAGACCCTGACCACCCAGCCAGACCCGGGCAGCGAGGAGCGGCCGCCCGCCCTGCCCTTGCCCCTGCCGGGCGGCGAGGAGAAGGCCAAGCTCATCGGGCAGATCAAGCCGGAGCTGTACCAGGGCGCGGGCCCCGGTGGCTGGCGCGGTGGCGGGGCCCCGGGCCCCGGGGAGGCGGGCGCCGGCGCGCCCTGCGGCCGCATCAGCTTCGCCCTGCGGTACCTCTACGGCTCCGACCAGCTGGTGGTGCGCATCCTGCAGGCCCTGGACCTTCCGGCCAAGGACTCCAATGGCTTCTCAGACCCCTACGTCAAGATCTACCTGCTGCCCGACCGCAAGAAGAAGTTCCAGACCAAGGTCTGGGCGGCGGGCTGGGCACCGAGTCCCACTGAGGAGGGACTGGGGACCTGGACCCCTGGGTCTGAGGGAGGAGGGGCTGGGGGCCTGGACCCCTGGGTCTGAGGGAGAGGGGCTGGGGGCCTGGACCCCTGGGTCTGAGGGAGGAGGGGCTGGGGGCCTGGACCCCTGGGTCTGAGGGAGGAGGGGCTGGGGGCTGGACCCCTGGGTCTGAGGGAGGAGGGGCTGGGGGCCTGGACCCCTGGGTCTGAGGGAGGAGGGACTGGGGACCTGGACCCCTGGGTCTGAGGGAGGAGGGACTGGGGGCCTGGACCCCTGGGTCTGAGGGAGGAGGGGCTGGGGGCCTGGACCCCTGGGTCTGAGGGAGGAGGGACTGGGGACCTGGAGCCCTGGGTCTGAGGGAGGAGGGCTGGGGGCCTGGGTCTGAGGGAGGAGGGGCTGGGGGCCTGGACTCCTGGGTCTGAGGGAGGAGGGGCTGGGGGCCTGGACCCCTGGGTCTGAGGGAGGAGGGGCTGGGGGCCTGGACCCCTGGGTCTGAGGGAGTAGGGGCTGGGGGTTGGACCACTGGGTCTGAGGGAGGAGGGGCTGGGGGTTGGACCCCTGGGTCTGAGGGAGGAGGGGCCTGGACTCCTGGGTCTGAGGGAGGAGGGGCTGGGGGCCTGGACTCCTGGGTCTGAGGGAGGAGGGGCTGGGGGTTGGACCACTGGGTCTAAGGGAGGAGGGGCTGAGGGCCTGGAGCCCTGGGTCTGAGGGAGGAGGGGCTGGGGGCCTGGACCCCTGGGTCTGAGGGAGGAGGGGCTGGGGGCCTGGGTCTGAGGGAGGAGGGGCTGGGGGCCTGGACCCCTGGGTCTGAGGGAGGAGGGGCTGGGGGCCTGGGTCTGAGGGAGGAGGGGCTGGGAGCCTGGGGCTGAGGGAGGAGGGCTGGGGTCTGGGGCCTGAACTCCTAAGTTGGGGCGGAAGGAAGGGCTGGTAGACATGGTGTCTGCCCTCCCCCCCCCCCCCCAGGTGCACAGGAAGACCCTGAACCCCGTCTTCAACGAGACGTTCCAGTTCGCGGTGCCCCTGGCCGAGCTGGCCCAGCGCAAGCTGCACTTCAGCGTCTACGACTTCGACCGCTTCTCCCGGCACGACCTCATCGGCCAGGTGGTGCTGGACAACCTGCTGGAGCTGGCGGAGCAGCCGCCCGACCGCCCGCTATGGCGGGACATCGTGGAGGGCGGCTCGGTCAGTGCCCCGCGCCCCCCGCCCCTCCCGGCCCCGGGCCGCCCCCCCCCCCCCCCCCGGAGTCTTACATTTTATTTTATTTTTTAATATATTTTATTGATTTTTTACAGAGGGGAAGAGAGAGGGACAGAGAGTTAGAAACATCGATGAGAGAGAATCATCGATCAGCTGCCTCCTGCACACCCCGCACTGGGGATGTGCCCACAACCAAGGTACCTGCCCTTGACCGGAATCGAACCCGGGACCCTTCAGTCCTCAGGCCGACGCTCTATCTACTGAGTCAAACTGGTTTTGGCTTACGTTTTATTTTATTGCAAAAGCTTGCAAGCACTCACGAGAGAGTAGGAAATGGCCCGGCCCCCCTGCCCGCCACACTTACCAAACAGGAACCCCCCTGGACCTCTGATGCTAACAGTCGAGAAAATGGTCACAGATGCCGAGGAGGCCCCCCCCCCCCAGGCAGCTCCATCTACACTTCAACCCCTGACCTCAGCACTTCTGCCCTCTGACCTCAGATTCCTGACCCGCCCACTTCCTGAAGCTGAGTTCTGGCTCTTCTTTTTCTTTCCTTTAAAATCAAAATGTTTTTTATGGATTTCAGCGAGAGAGGAGGGAGAGGGAAACATCCATGGTGAGAGAGAATCACTGAGCGGCTGCTTCTTGCGTGCGGCCTGCTGGGAATCCAGCCACAGCCCAGGCACGTGGCCTGACCAGCGTCGAACCCTGACCTGCTGGCTGGGTGGAGGGCCAATCACGGAGCCAGGCCCCCTGGGCCGGCTCCTGTCCTGCCAGCTTCCTTCCCCTTCCCGCCTCCTGACTTCCTTCGGATCTGTGAACACCTCACACCCCCAGCCCTTGACCTCCAAACGCTCTCATTTAGCCGAATGCGGTTCCTCCCGAGTCTCCACCTGAGTCCTAATAGTCCCGTGGTCGGCAAACTGCGGCTCGCGAGCCGCAGGCGGCTCTTTGGCCCCTTGAGTGTGGCTCTTCCACAAAATATACCACGGCCCGGGCGAGCGAGTCTATGTTGAAGAAGTGGCGTTCGAAGAAGTTGAAGTTTAAACCATGTGGCTCTCCAAAGAAATTTCAGTCATTGTCCCGTTGGTATCTGGCTCTGTGGACGAATGAGTTTGCCGACCACTCGGATGCCTATCCCCCAGGCCTTAGACGGCCCGGGATCCCAAGGCCCTGACACACCCGCCCCCCCCCCAAGGCCCTCGGCATTCAGATTGTGGGACCTTCCGCCCCCCACTGGACCCCTTCCTGTGTCCCATGATCCTCTGCTTCTGGAACCTCCTTCTCCTGTAACCCCGCCCCTTCCCAGCCCCTCCTAGTCCTTCTTGGGTCTCCTGATCCCTTCCCCCTCCATCCCAATCCAGGGGTTCCCCACATTCCACTCTGCCAACCCGGGGAAGCTGTGTGTACCGGGAGTGGGCGGGGGGTAAGCCCTGTCCTCACACAGGATGGCCATGCTCGGGGTCCTGGCCCCCTCTGGGCCTCAGTTTCCCCGTACGCACCATGACGTGGTTGGACCGGGTGCCTGTGGCTCTGCCCGCAGGCCCCTCACAGGGCTCTCCGTGTTCTACTCGCTCCGTCCAAGCCCAGCCCTGAGAACCAAGTGCCTGATTCCACGGTCTCTCCCCAAGGCCCCCATCTGTCCCTCCTCACCGTCCCCCCCTCTCCCCACATCCATCTCTGCCTTCTGTGTCTGTCATTCTTGTTTTCCCTCTCGCTCTGTCACTCAGGTCTGCCCTCAACCCTGTGTTCATCCATTCCTCTATCAGTGTTTCCCAAGCTTTTGACAGATGCGTACCCCTTCTATCATTTCCGTAACGCTGAGTACCCCTCGTCCTCGTGAGAACGTAGAATTAGGCGCAGCTAAGCACGGGGCAGTGCATATCCCCACCAAACTCTTCCCGTACCCCTGGGGGTGCGCGTACCACACTCCCTGCCAGGAGCCGGGCAGCCCAGAGTCCGGGGCCTGCTCGGGGCTGCCTGTGCTCTGGGGGCTCAGGGCGGGGGTGACAGCTGAGCTTGGAGAGTGAGAGGAGGAAGCAGCCTGGGGCGGGGCCTGGAGGGGGGCGAGTGGGGAGCCCAGGGGCCCAGGCCCGGGTCAGGTGGTTGGGAGGCAGGGTGTGGGCCCAGCCAGCTCTGGCCCCTGCCCTGTGTCCTCGTGTCCGCGTGGGAGGGTCCATCCCCTGGAGCCTCCCTCAGACCGGCCTCCCTCCGCCCGTGTCTTCTCGGTCCCACTCTGTCCGGGTCCCTGGCCTTCGTTCTGGGTCCCCATGGGCCTGGGTCTCTGTTTTTCTGCCTGAGAGCTCGGTGGTCTGTCTTTCTAGCTGCTCTGGTCTCTCTCTCTCACTGTGGCCTCCGCTCTGTGTGCCTCCCGGCTCTGCCCCCGCTCCTGCCTCTTCCGTGAACACACCTGCGTTGACCGTGGTGGGCAGTGGCTTGGGTCACAGGTTGGGCCCGGAGTCAGATGAAGTGGATGGACACCGGGGAGGAGAGCACTGGAGGGGGGGCGGGCCAAGAGTTGGGGAGATGGAGGTGGGGGGCCGCTAAACCCCTTTCCCCCCCCCTCCCCCCGTAGGAAAAGGCGGATCTTGGGGAGCTCAACTTCTCACTCTGCTACCTCCCCACGGCCGGCCGCCTCACCGTGACCATCATCAAAGCCTCTAACCTCAAAGCCATGGACCTCACCGGCTTCTCGGGTGGGTTCTGAGGGGCCTGGGTGTGAGGGAGGAGGGCTGGGGGCCTGGACCCCTGGGTCTGAGGGAGGAGGGGCTGGGGGCCTGGACCCCTGGGTGTGAGGGAGGAGGGGCTGGGGGCCTGGACCCCTGGGTGTGAGGGAGGAGGGGCTGGGGGCCTGGACCCCTGGGTCTGAGGGAGGAGGGCCTGGGGGCCTGGAACCCTGGGTCTGAGGGGGGAGAGGCTGGGGAGGAAAGGCTGGGGACCCAGACCTTGGGAGGGAGGGGTCTCAGAGAGTAAGTGGGGGCTCAGCTCTCCACGCTCTCCCCCCAGACCCCTACGTGAAGGCCTCTCTGATCAGCGAGGGGCGGCGCCTCAAGAAGCGGAAAACCTCCATCAAGAAGAACACGCTGAACCCCACCTACAACGAGGCGCTGGTGTTCGACGTGGCCCCTGAGAGCGTGGAGAACGTGGGGCTCAGCATCGCGGTGGTGGACTACGACTGGTGAGGAGGGCGCGGGGCGCGGGGCGCGGGGCGCGGGGCGCGGGGCGCGGGGCGCGGGCGCGGGGCGCGGGGCGCGGGGCTGGGCGGGGCCCCCTTCCTCTGGAGGCTCACGGCCCCCCCACTCCCTGGCCCCTCAGCATCGGCCACAACGAGGTCATCGGCGTGTGCCGCGTGGGCCCCGACGCCGCGGACCCGCACGGCCGCGAGCACTGGGCGGAGATGCTGGCCAACCCGCGCAAGCCCGTGGAGCACTGGCACCAGCTGGTGGAGGTGAGCGGCCCCCCCACACCCGCCCCTTCGTTCCACGTCTTTGGGGCGTCGGAGGCAGAGGCCCGGTTTCAGTCCTGCCCCATCAGCCTCTAACCCCCTCTGTGCCTCAGTTTCCTCACCAGCATCTGCCCTCAGCACAGGAGTGAGGGTCGGCGGGTCCATGCAGGACCCAGTGCCTGCCTCTTAGCAAGGCTCTCAATTCTTTTTCTTTAAAAAAAAAAAAAAAAAAAAAGTATATATTTTATTGATTCTTTTACAGAGAGGAAGGGAGAGGGACAGAGAGTTAGGAAACATGGAACAGCTGCCTCCTGTACACCCCCTACTGGGGATGTGCCCGCAACATGCCCTTGACTGGAGTTGAACCCAGGACCCTTCAGTCCACAGGCCGACGCTCTATCCGCTGAGCCAAATGGGTTTCGGCCAAGGCTCTTATTTCTGAGGCTAAATCCACAATAAAGGGGAAACCACAGGACAGCATGTCGCAGGACTCGGTTTTTTTATATATATATATATATAAATATATTTTTATTGAGTTCAGAGAGGGAGAGAGAGATAGAAACATCAATGAGAGAGAACACAGGGCCCTCCAGTCCATCGGCTGATGCTCCAGTCACTGAGCCAAACCAGCCAGAGGAGGTTGTTTTTTTTTTTGAAAAGCCAGGTGTGCCCCTGTCGGGTGTGGCTCAGTGGATAGAGTGTCGGCCTGCTGACTGAAAGGTCCCTGGTTCGATTCCCCGGTCAAAGGCATGTACCTTGGTGGTGGGCACATCCCCAGTAGGGGGCGTGCAGGAGGCAGCTGGTCGATGTTTCTCTCTCATCGATGTTTCTGACTCTCCGTCCCTCTCCCTTCGTCTCTGTAAAAAATCAATAAAATATACTCTTGGGGCTCTACTCAGGCCGACAGATGGCAGCTGCGCCCTCCTCCTGCGTGCTCTGGGCTCCTCAGGCACCCACTCGCTCATTCATTCCACCAGCTCCTCCGGAAGCTCCCGGGGGCCAGGGAGAACCTTGACCCTGACTTCTAGCCAATCGATCGTTCTCCCCCTGGAGCTGACCCTGCCCCCTCTCCCCTCACAGCGCCCCCTGGGCTCTCCAGCGCCCCCAGGAGAGAGTCCCCGGCCCCCTGAGGTCCTGCCCCCTCCCCCCTCACAGCCCCGCCCCCCTTCCTAGCGCCCCCAGGACACAGTCCCCGCCCCCCTGAGGTCCTGCCCCACTCACCCCTCATCGCTCCTCACATTTCCAGGGACTCCGTCTTTTCTTTTTTCTTTTCTTTTTTAAAAATATATTTTATTGATTTTACACAGAGAGGAATTGAGAGGGATAGAGAATTAGAAACGTCGATGAAAGAGAAACATCGACCAGCTGCCTCTTGCACACCCCCCACTGGGGATGTGCCCACCACCAAGGTACATGCCCTTGACCGGAATCGAACCGGGGACCTTTCAGTCCGCAGACCGACGCTCTATCCACTGAGCCAAACCGGTCCCGGCCGCCTTTTCTTTTTTAAAATATATTTTTATTGATTTCAGAGAGGAAGGGAGAAAGGGAGGGAGGGAAACATCCATGATGAGAGAGAATCTTCGATGGGCCGCCTCCTGCAGGCCTCACATTGGGGATGGAGCCCACAACCTGGGCCTGTGCCCTGACCGGGCATGGAACTGTAACCTCCTGGTTCAGAAGCCGACATCTAACCACAGAGCCACGCAGGCCGGGCCGGTGACGTGATCTTTGTGCCTCAGTTTCCCCGTCTGTGAAACAGGGCTGCCATGCCACTTGCCCCATCTCTCCAGAGCTGAGTGAAGAGGCATGCAGGACTGGCTTTCTCCTGTGGATTGTTAGTGACTGCTTTGCCTCTGGCCCGCCCTCCTGAGCCGCCTGAGTTTTCCATTTCAGGAAAAGACTTTGACCAGCTTCACGAAAGGCGGCAAAGGATTGTCAGAGAAAGAGAATTCAGAATGAGGGGTAAGGAACCCAGAGGAGAGGCGGGGCTTAGGATCCACACTCCTGGGTCTGAGGGAGGAGGGGCTGGGGGCATGGACCCCTGGGTCTGAGGGAGGAGGGCTGGGGGACTGGACCCTTGGGTCTGAGGGAGGAGGGGCTGGGGGCCTGGACCCCTGGGTCTGAGGGAGGAGGGGCTGGGGGCCTGGACCCCTGGGTCTGAAGGAGGAGGGGCTGGGGGCCTGGACTCCTGGGTCTGAGGGAGGAGGGGCTGGGGGCATGGACCCCAGGGTCTGAGGGAGGAGGGACTGGGGGCCTGGATCCCTGGGTCTGAGGGAGGAGGGGCTGGGGGCCTGGACTCCTGGCTCTGAGGGAGGAGGGGCTGGGGGCCTGGACCCTGGGTCTGAGGGAGGAGGGGCTGGGGGCCTGGACCCTGGGTCTGAGGGAGGAGGGCTGGGGGTCAGCATTCCTGGTCCCTGTGACGTGATGGGGCCACGGCAGGTCAGGGCCCGCTCTCTGCCATCACTGATACCACCTGCCCGTCCCGCAGGTCCGGCCTAAGCCCGGGATCGGACCAGGCCCCTCCGGACCCCCTTCCTTCCTGCCCGGACCATGAACTCATCTCAAAGCCATAACGTCCGAGCTGCGTGGTGCGGGGGCCCCGGGCCCGCCCGTCCCTGTGCCCCGGAGGCCGGAGGGCGGGCGGCCCGCGGCCCAGCTCCCTGTGTCAGGGCGGGGGCGTTTAGTCTCCTCTGTGTCCGTCTGTCCTTCCCTGGGGCTCCCCTTCCAGGCAAGGGGCCGTGCATGTCTGGGGGACCCCAGCCCCCCAAACCTCCGTCTCTCTCTCTGTCTTTTGCCGTTTGTTGAAGACTTGGTGTCCTGACCCCCGTTCCCACCTCGAATGTCAACGGACCAATCCCCAGACACACACACACACACCTGAGTGTACCCCTCTGTGCACCTCCCCCCGCGTCTGGCCGATCCCCCCACTGCTGCTGCTATCAACACCGGAATAAACACCGTGGGTCTCACTCCACCTGGGCTCCTGTCCTCCCTGGGACCCGGAATATCCTGGCTCCGGGTTCAAGCAAATGTCCCATCCGCTTTGGCAGCTGAATTGGTCTCTCTGAGGCTTAGTTTGTAAATGTCACCTTGGCCAGGATCACTAAGGGGCAAGAAGGTGCAATCCAGACTACCACCACCACCAGCAGAACTGGAGTCCTCAATCCTCAATCCATGGCAAGCCTGAGCGGACAGAAGGATTTCAGGCACGGTTCGATCCAGATGCTGGGGGACTCCGCTTATCTGTTTGGCTCTGTTCCCGAGCAAGTCTTTGCAGCGGCGATACGATGGCCCTTGGGAGCCCCGGGCGTGTTCTGCCACATCGGGCATGGTGCCTTCAGCTGCGTTTCCAATGGAAAGAGCTGAAGCGATAGCGGCTGCCTTTTGCGCAAAGAACAGATCTTCCAGAGACACAGAGTCCCCCAGGGTTGGCATCCCTGAGCTTCGGTTTGCCTTCCCATCCTGGGTACACGCCATCCTGAGTACACGCTGTTCTCACAGGGCGGCAGCGAAAACAGGAACCTTGGACAGGGACAGGGCCTCCCCTACGTGCTGGTCTTTTTTTTCTCTCTCTCTCCCCAGAAGAGTTCTCGTTTGCCAGAGCTGGGTGTGATGGAGAGCCGACTGGGGAAGGGAGCATCTGTCCTTCCCAGCGTCTGTGGGGGTGTGGGCCTTGTCAGTGATAAAGTACCCAGAGCGGAATGGTGGACAGGTAGGAAATTAACACCTGCCCAAATCACCCTCAGACCCGGCCATTTCGGAGGAGACAAAATCAGGGTCTCTGATTGGTTGCCCTTGGGTCTTGGGTGACCACCTCCGGCCAATCCTGTGTCCAGTTAGCAAGCTCGCTCTTGGGCCCGCCCCCTGCCATGACTGACTTCCCCTCCCCTGGCCATCCCACCAGGCCCCTTCCCTGCAGGATCTCATCCTTCCTTGCCCAGCTGGGAATTCATTTCCTGCAGCCATATCTTCTTTAGGAGAGAACAGAAGGGCCCCTTGATTGACAGCCCTAGCGGGATCAGATGGCCGCAGACAGGGCACAGTCCTTCAAAGTAGTGAATGCCCCAGCCGCGGGGCATCCATCCGCGCGCACACGCCCGATAAACACCATTGCAGAAAATTCTGCTGTGAAAAATGGTCCAGCCACTGCCTTCCTTCGTTCGCTAGGGTGGCTGTGGACAAATGACCACGCCAGCCGGCTGAGGACCACAGAAATGGATCTTCTCGGCGCTGTGGAGGCGGGAGGCTGCCGGAGAGGCCCTGGGACTCCGCGGCCCACCCCCCTGCAGGCTGCCTCTCCCCCAGGCTCCTCTCCCCAACCTTTACGTCTGCCTCGCCTTCCGGGTTTCTCTCTCTCTCCCATCTCCCTCTGCCTGTCTCTTTCTCTGCACACACCACACTGACATTCTCACTGCACTCGAACGAGGAGGCTATGTACTGTGCTGTCTTTTCTCCAGGAGCAAGCTGCACTCTTCAGTCCCGAATAAATGTCAAGGCTAGGAAGGTACCGTATCATTTGTCAAGGGCAGCTTAAGAGCATCCGCAAGAATTGCAAGTTCATTTTAGCAGCTAAATAAACATCTTGAAAACGGACATTCCATCATGCCAAAGCAGCTTATCCTTGGAACTGCTGTCATGCTCGCCCCTGGCCAGGAGGCTCAGTTGGTTGGTGTGTTGTCCCCTACACCCAAAGGTTTTAGGTTCAATTCCTGGTCAGGGCACATACTCGGGTTTTAGGTTCAATATTTCTCTCTCTCTCTCTCTCTCTCTCTCTCTCTCTCTCACACACACACACACACACTTCCTCTCTCTAAATGTATCCTCAGGTGAAGATTACAAAAATCTTAAGTTGCCCGGTCAATGGTGCTCAGTGTTAGACCTGGCCTTCGCACAGGTCCTGGGTTCAAGTCCAGATTGAGGGCACACACCTGCCTGGGCTGCAGATTTGATCCCCATCTCCTGTGGGGCACCTGCCCCAGCATCGATGTCTCTCTATCTCTTCCCCCTCCCGCTCTCCCTCCCTCCCCTCTCTCTAAAAATCAGTGGGAAAAATATCCTCAGGCGAGGATCAACAACAAAAAATGTAATGTCGCCCTAACCGGTTTGACTCAGTGGTCAGAGCATTGGCTTGTGGACTGAAGGGTCCTAAGTTCGATCTGGTCAAGAGCATGTACCACTGAGCCAAATTGGTCAGGGCTTAACCATTTTTAAAAATATATATATATATTTTTTATTGATTTCAGAAAGGAAGGGAGATAGATAGAAACATCAATGGTGAGGGTATCATTGTTTGGCTGCCACTTGTACGCCCCCTACTTGGGGGTGGGAGGATCAAGCCCACAATCTGAGCATATGCTCAGTATCCAACCTGGGACCCTTTAGTCCACAGGCTGATGCTCTAGCCGCTGAGCCAAACCGGCTAGGGCTTAACCCTTAAGTGTACAGTTCAGTAGCGGTAAATACATGCACATTGTTGTGCGACCCATCTCTGCAACTCCTTTCATCTTGCAAAAACGGAAAGTTCACACCCACTGAACAACAACTGCCCATCCTCCCCTCCTCCCAGCCCCTGGCAGCCACCGTTCTCCTTTCTGTCTCTGCGAACTTGACTGCTCTGGGTCTCTAAGCGGAATCATATCATTGTAACACATGCACCACACTAATGCAAGATGTCAATACTAGGAAAGATTAGGGCACCGGGTTCCATTATACCCATTGGGTCGTTCGATTTTTCTGTAAACCCAAAAAGTCTATGAGGTGTGTTTTTGTTTTTTTAAATCATGGGTAACAGATGTCAGTCTGGCAAACAGCAGGTGTCCGTTACACGGGTCCATAGCTGCAGACGGTGTCCTCCCTAATGATAGTTTGCACGTCTGGGAGTGATTGTGGAGACCAGAAGAGACAATACAGGTGAGTGCCCTTTGCACATGTGAGCACCTGAGTCCAAGGTCATGCAGTATTCCTGGGCACGTGCTTCTCCCGTCCCTCCCTCCGGTGATCCCGTTCTCTAAGGCCTTCCCTAGGATTTTGCTGTTGCAGAGAGATGCAGCCAATCGACAGCGGCTCGCCAGTGACGTCACTGGTCACCAAGGCTTCCTAGGCCCCCCCACCCCCCACCCCCGCACACAGGAGCGCCCTCTCGTGGGATAAAGGGACGCTGTACTTGAAAGAGCCGGCGTGGGCCTAACCGGTTTGGCTCAGTGGATAGAGCGCCGGCCTGCGGACTGAAGGGGTCCCAGGTTCGATTCTGGTCAAGGGCATGTATCCTGGTTGCAGGCACATCCCCAGTAGGAGGTGTGCAGGAGGCAGCTGATCGATGTTTCTAACTCTCTATCCCTCTTCCTTTCTCTCTGTAAAAAAAAAAAAAAATCAATAAATGCCGAAACTGGTTTGGCTCAGTGGATAGAGCGTCGGTCTGCAGACTGAAGGGGTCCCGGGTTCGATTCTGGTCAAGGGCATGTACCTTGATTGCGGGCACATCCCCAGTGGGGAGTGTGCAAGAGGCAGCTGATCGATGACTCTCTCTCATCGATGTTTCTAACCCTCTGTCTCTCTTCCTCTCTGTAAAAAATCAATAAAATATATATTTTTTAAACCAATAAAATATATATTTTTAAAATATATTTTATTGATTTTACACAGAGAGGAATTGAGAGGGACAGAGAGTTAGAAACATCGATGAGAGAGAATCATTTATCAGCTGCCTCTTGCACACCCCCCACTGGGGATGTGCCCGCAACCAAGGTACATGCCCTTGACCGGAATCGAACCTGGGACCTTTCAGTCCGCAGGCCGACGCTCTAGCCACTGAGCCAAACCAGTCCCGGCAAAATATATATATATTTTTTAAAAAAGAAAATGAGCCGGCGTGGTCGTTGAACACTCCTCACGCCCCCTGGCCTCTCAGGTCACTTTCCACTGCTGGTCCCGACGGGAGACACCCCGCCAGCGGAGAGCGATGCCGAGAGGGGGAAGAGCAACATTCTCTGGCATCCAATCAGATATCGGCATTGTCTCGCCAAGCATCCATCCAACCCAATAGCGCAGGCATCCGATTAGACAGGGCAGAGTTGCCATGACGACGCGAGTCTCCCTCCGTAAGGGTGGCGGGGCCTGGGAGCTCGGCAGTGAGCGCCACCTGGTGCTTGGCAGCGCCGGGCTGCCCACTCCGGCCGTCGCGGGTTGGGAAGCAGCCGAGGGGGCGGGGCCAAGGCCCGTGACGTCACCGGTTGCCGGGTAGCCGCGGAGCGCGTGAGCTCGCGCGCGAGTTCTCCTGAGCTCCCGCGGGCCCGCCGGCCGGTCGCGCGCAGTTTCCGGGCGGCGGTTGGTGCGCATGCGCCCAGGTTTCGGTTTTTCCCGCCTGAGCGAGCGATGCGGAGAGGTGTGAGGCAGAGGCGCCCGCGGGCGGGCGGACGGATGGAGGGATGGATGGAGGTAGCGCCCCTCGCTGCCAGAAGAGGCCTGGAGAGGAGGCGGCCCCGACAATTCTTGTGGAGGAACCGGACCCTGAAGAGAAACCCCCAGAGCCCGGCTTGGAGAAACAGCGCCAGAGGACGAGGGGGTCCCCCCGCCAACACCCAAACCCGCAGGGAAGCCGGTCCCGAGGCCCCCGCGGCGGAGGAAAAGCAGACCGGACCCACGGAGAGCACCACCGGAACCCATGTTGGAAAAGCCAAGAGGCAGACCAAGTTCATTTGCCAGGACCAACTGAGGATGGGCCGCCATATATATATATTATTTTTTGAGGGGGATTTAATATTGCAAGAAGCCATTATGGGGGAAGGGGAGAAAACAGAGCATGGATTCCCTTACATCCATTTTATTATTTCGTATTTTTAAATGAATATTGTCCTTGATTTTTCTTTCTTTTTTAAAATATATTTTTATTGATTTTTTTTTTACAGAGAGGAATGGAGAGTTAGAAACATCAATGAGAGAGAAACATCAACCAGCTGCCTCCTGCACATCCCACCA